TTGTTTTTTTGATCAGTCAAAATTTCAAATTGTTCAGCTTCAACACACTTATGTTGCTCCATACCTCTAAATGCAAAGGCTTTTCCATTATAGAAAAATATCGCGTTACTCAGTCCTTCTGCTGTGTTCATAGAAAAAACACCCTTATCCCACATTACTTTTTCCTCTTCTGGAAGCACTGGTTCACATGATTTTACTTTTGTTCCAAATCCAAGAGATGTCAGTCGTTTCATTTCGGAATCCAATATTTTGCGGAATGTACTAAATTTCTCATCATCATCTCTCAAAATATGCACATTATTTCTGTTACAATCATTTTTGATATACCTTTGTAATCCCGAAACAATTTGAACAAGAGTGTTTGGTGGATAATTTGTCGCATCTTTACGCCTTATCTCAACAATAAATCTTTGCAGCCAAAATTGTAATTCTTCATCATTTAATGTATTAATGTCCGTAGGAATTAATTTTCCTTTCTCAAAATATGTCTCTGGCTTAGAGTTCCTATTATCAACCCAGTCCTTCCATAAATTTAACGCCCATTTGTTGTTGTTTCTGGTCTTGATTGGAACTGAACAATTTTGTATATTTTCTAAATCTGCCTGCTTCACAGGACTAGAAAAACGTCCTTTATTATCACGAGTCACACATGGCATATCCACTAGTTGTTGCGTTGGAATATCCATCACTTGCGATAGGCTAATTAGTTCATCATCTGATGGAAACGATGCCCAGTCGACAGCAAAATCTGGCACATCCATATTGAAGTACATTTACTATAGTGACTATAAAATTACTACTGAATGAATGAAGGAACATAATAAGATTAAAGTTGTACTCATTAACGATCAAAAGTTACTTGTAATCACTTGTAATCACCTTTAATTTCTTAATCTCATGACTTATACAGGTGACATTGAATGACTCCACCCAATTGTCAATCACTCTATGACCACACCTACAAATTATTCAACTTTAACAAATTTCATATTTCAATTAGTTAAGTGTGAATACGTACTGGTATACTTTAGTCATTTTTAGAGAAAGGGTTCAAATAGAACCCGGCACGTATTGCGCACAAAAACAACTGCGTCCGTTAAGCCGGATTGATTGCTCCCAGACCGTATTTTTGTAAAGTGCGTCCGGCATTTCGGCTAGTGAGCCGAGCTTTAGCCAATCAGCGAGTACTTTCCCCTTATTACATCATCTCCCCAAACAGAAACTCAATCTCTGACAGACAATTCAGTCTTGAAAGCCGGACGTTTTCGCGTTTTCTATTTGAACTGCAAAACGCGGATACGGATGCGGGTGCGGATACGGATGCGGATACGTTTATGGATACGGATACGTTTATGGATTCGGATACGTTTATGGATACGGATGTAGTATGAACCGAGCTTTAAACTACACTGACGCAACGTATCACGTATACGATATCACGGATGTGAAAGATTCCGCCTGCCAAAAGTCTATAATATCCAAGTCTACTTTGACGTATGCTCTCACTAATACTGTTGTTATGTCGTGTTGACGGGTTATGAAAATGGCGAAAAATTACATGGCCACTATCAGCCACCATAGTATTGGAGAAAATTTGCGTTAGAAAATCGTGAGTAGGAAATCTGAAGTGGAAAGTCGAGAGTCAAAAGTTGACAGTAGAAAGTAGAAAGCGGAAAGTCGAAAGTCAAAAGTTGATAGTAGAAAGTAGAAATTATGTCCATGAAAGTTGAAAAGCTTGATGTTTCTGCAGACTAAGTACATAAATTTATAGGTTTTCACCTTAAAAATACCCTTTTAGATAAGAATTTTCCCGTTTACTTTAGATTTTCTACTTTTTACTGTTGACTTTCTGCTTTTTACTCTAGATTACATTTTGAACCCGATACCCCGCCATAGTGCGCTACATCGATCAAGCTCTCAGACCCCACACCATAACACATTTCGCACGTCATCGAAACAACGTTTTCCAGCATGACAACGCCGGTGCCCACACCGCCAGAGTTACTCTGGACTTTCTACAGCAGAACGGTATCTACGTTATGCACTGGCCAGCCCTTAGTCCGCACTTAAACCCGATTGAACATCTTTGGGATGAAAATTCAGAGGAGACTTAATAACGTCATACCGAGACCAAACACAGCCAATGGATTGCGCCAAGCTTTTCCGAGAGTGTGATTCTAGGTGCCAATGGCGTTCATCAATCGTCTGGTTCACTCCATGTACAGACGTTGCGCTGCTGTTATTGAGACCAGTGGTGGACACACCAGATACTGACGTATAGAATCTGTACAGACTCTAAACCTTCTCGTAATGTCTTGGAATTGTGATGAATTAATCACTAATGTGTCAACATACCGTTCACAAAAAATTGCTTTAATCCATTTAGTAAGTCGTTTTCTAGACTGATTTGATTAAAGTGCCTCTCTGATTTTTAAATCGTAATGGTATATATTGGTCTGTCTGGGATTTAACTCAATCACCCCAGTAGTTATTATAAGCAAGCAGTATGATTAGTCGTAAAGTCCAACTCCTTCTCGTCTTGTTGTCAGTAACTGTTGAAGCCATGTTGGAGAGGGGGGGGGGGGGCGAGTGGTTAGCGCGTTGTATCATACGGCCTGCATTTCAGTCAACTGGCGTGGTTTTGATTCCCCGGGTCGCCCGTCCAACTTCGTGGGTTTTCTCCGGGTCCTCCGGTTTCCTCCCACTGCTAAAGACACCTACGCGCAAGCGAATTATTGAAATCATTGAACCATATGTTCGTCCTGAAATGACCTAGTTTGTGTCGAGTGGTTTTGAGGTTCAGACTTTTTCCATAATGTATGAACTGTATGGATCTTCGATGTAGTTATACCACTTATTGTATCTTCATTTACATATAGTTAGACATGTATATGAGGCTAACATAAATCGCCACCAACCACCCGGACACGGCCCCTAAAGTTATATACATTGATAGGTAAAATATAGAAATGTTGCAAACATATAAACGTTCTACAAAAAAAAGTATCCAGTAGACGTGGTACAAGGGTTAATCAGCGAACTGGATGTATGAGATGTGTTGTTGACGTTTGGGAAAGTAGGACGAGGGGAAATGTGTAGGGAGTGAAGTGCTGTAAAGGGATAGTTAGATGTATTATGAATGGTTAGAGTGGCTGTGGTGTTACGGTGAAATACTATGCCGCCACCGTAACACCACAGCTTTATGATTTGTTAGACAGGAGTGATGTAATGGGTGTCAACAACTGGTACCGTCGCAACGTAGCCGTGAAATATATATTGTGGGGGGGGAAGGGCGGAAACGGAAAAATATACAATGTTGACAGTATGTGCCAGACATGAGGCTGCGCAGACCGAGCGGCAGCTCGATAGGGAGTGTGTAGGAGGGTCACCCTCATAAAAAAATTTTTTTTAAATTTCAGTTTTCTGTAAGCAGTGAAAACACTATTTTGGCATTGTTTGCGGGGTTAAACCTAAAAATCACATTAATACACCTATTGCACGATATTGTGAAACTAGCTGACGAAGACAGCTCGGGCGGCGATTGTTCGACTCGGGGCTGCTCTGTCAGTATCTAACAAACGCATTTAGTTCGCGTACAACTTTTAAAAACCGAATGTCAGTATGGTATTTCTCACATAATTGGTTATCGCAAAAACAGAGTAAACTGAAAGCGAGTAATCTCGACTCAAACCTATAGTCTATAGCCTACTTACTACACTCGTCACTAGGCTTCCTATATTATTGTTTGTGGACGGTTTACTACTCAGTGATAAGCCTGCGCCGCAAAAAGAGGTCTCGCCTTTTATTATTAGTATAATGACTTCCTCATGTGCGGCAGGTTAGTTTGCTTCTAAAAACACTGTTTTCCGTTCCAAAAAATACAAAAGTAATTTTCTACCAGATGACCAAGGTTCTTTTCACCGAGACTAGATAATTTCTCTCGGTGTAAGGATATAGCTATGGATAAGTTCATACAAGGTCAATAAATCCGCGGTCACTTCGGGTCACACTGTTGAGAAAATAAACCGATGGGTTTGTTTAGTAGCAAATCGAGCGTGAATCAACTGAGTTTGTACTGAAAAATTTTTGAGTGATATGTATGAACTGTCTTCACACATTCGGTTTATAATTAGCGATACACAGGTACAGTGGCAAGTGTTGTACTTCCCAGACTGTTTACCTCCGAACTACCTCCGCACGAAATCCCCGATTTGGGTACTTGTTAAAAGAAAAGGAAATAGTACCTGTGCGCATGCCAGTAAAAAAAACCTAAGAGTTCGCGCATAAAAATGCCCGAACGTACCAGGCGCCAGGTCATCTAGCTAACAAAAAGATTCGGGATTACGTTCTTCGCATTAATTAATATTCACTGTAGATAAAGTATTCGGGATTAACTGGCACAATATCCTACATACACGTAGTACACATAGTACACAGTTCTTATATTCCACATAAACATAGTACACAGTTCTTAAACATACAGTATGCAAGGGCTAAATCTGCCTATTGCAAGTCTTTATTTAAGCTTCAAATTATTAATTAGACCTTTATTTACATGACAAGCTCAAAATCAACCCTGTAGACCCTCGGATGGCTTGGATACAGCTTGGATTTAAACAGTCGTCCATTTAGAATTAAATCAATAAATGACTGACCAAGCTAACGTTTACCGTTAGTCACTGACGTCACTAACGGAGACTGCCGATGAAAGGTCTGTCAAGCGAGGGTGTAGCTATTGAGAATGTTACTAGATAATCGCGAATATGCGGGTGGAGTTATCGTCTGTCAATCAAACCATCGGCGATTCTCGTAGACGGTGCGGACACAATTGATGCCTATTTCTAACAGTAACAAGTCCGTTCAGAATAAAGTAATTTGACTGAAATTTTCAATATTTTCTTTTTTGAATTTTGAATTATTATAGCAAGAATGACCAACAGTTTATTAAACTCTTAACTAATGTATCTTTTGAGTTTTTATATTTCTATATGTATTTGCAGTTGGCCTTACTGTTATTGCTGTCAGTCTATCGGTGATCATTGGTCTCTTGGTCCTCCTTAGGTAAGATGTAGAAAATTAACAAAGCGCTTTTAAAGATACATTATGCAAGAACTAACTCTGCCTATTGCATAACAGGTCCATAATCAACTATCCAGGTCAACGAGTGGCTTAGATATCAAATGGATTAGAACACGATAAATGGATAATCGAGGATTTGTTTATTATCATAGAATGGCAACAACAACGGACAGCACGTAATCTAAAGCTTACATAATGTATCCTTAAATCGAAAGGAAAGTAAATAGTAAATAAATTAGTTAGCCATAAAGGCGTGGTGTTCATATCGATTAAGCCAGCTTAAACATGCATTATGCAAGAGCTAAATCTTCCTATTACAGGTCTTTCTTAGACATTTCTTAACATGAAAAGACCATTAATCAACTCTCGATGCCATCTTATGGATCCAATTTTCATTGGATTTGAATCAGATCTGTTGATAATCGAAACTTTGTGCATTATCGTACCAACGGTAACAATGACAGTCGGTCGAGGCTGCAGTGTTTTCTAATTGATGTTTTCTCGGCCCAGACTGAAGTAAATTGACTGCAATTTTCAGCATATTCCGTTTACAATATAGCGCGAACTGCCAGCTCTTTATCTAATATTTTATAATTGATGCAACCACAGTTTGTTGTCTTATATGCTGGAAATTCAAACCGTGGTGCCCTTGCCATAGCCTTTAAAGTTCAAAGAAGTTTCTATGTACTAAACGCGATACAGTGTGCCATGAGGGAATTTTGCCGCGGACAGCGGCGCTACCGCCTACTCTTATATCGAATTTCAACTGTCAAGGATCCTTATACGTGTATGCCAATGTGTACACGGAACCTCGGATTTTCGTACCATCAGGAAGACTATGTCCCTTGCGATAAACATAATAGAAAATATCCTTGAAATATTGGTTGTTGTTTGGTTTCAGGTGGCAAAAAATGAAAACCAAGAGAGACAAGGCTGTGACATCATCAGAGCATGAACACCGAAGTCACAAGTGCGTGGAAAATATCTATGTGATGTCCTAAAAAAGAAGAAGGTGATGGTATGACGCATGACGCTTCAAGTCGTCGCTTAATGGTTTGTTTAAACACGAAATTAAATAGTTCGCGGTAATACAGTAAAACCTGTGTAAGCGGACACTATATAGAATCAAATAAAATGTATGTGATTCATGTGTTGAATGTTATAATGTGAAAACGCCATTTTAGTCTGGAAAATCTGTACATTACCGATAAATGTGAATAATGTAATGCGACCATTAGGTCGCATTTTGTCTATTCACTTTTTGCGTCAGACATGTAACAATGTCTTTCTTTAATGGTGTCACTTCGTAACAATGTCTTTAATGGTGTCACTTCTATCGCAAAAAATAATAATTTATATACAGAAAATTTATAGATTTGAATTTGATTGAGTCATTCATCAAAAAGTGGACAGGCTATATCTGAAGATAAAACATAATAATGCACAACACGACCAATCAGAAATGAAATGAAATGGGGTTTAAGGTCCTACTGTTCTGCTCCGAACTGGGCTAATGAAGACGTGCTATGTGGGAAATTTAGCCCAGAAAGCGGCATTACGGCCTACTCTTATATCGAATTCCAATTGTCAAGGGATCTTTAACGTGCACGCCAATGCGTACACGGGACCTCGGTTTTTCGTCCCATCCGAACGACTAGACAGCTGTCCTTGTCAGGCCCTTCGTCCTGCATCACTTACAAGAGGAAACCACGCCGGAAAATCTGGATGAACTTTCTCGGCCAATGCAGGGATCGAACACCCGACCTCCAGGCTAGCGAGCCAGCGTCTTACCCACTTATCCACCGTGATCCTCACGACCAATCGGTCTAATATGAAATGTAATGAACAATACAGCCTGTAACCAATCGGTCTAAGAGAGAGAGAGAGAGAGAGGGGGGGGGGAGCGTGTGAGGGAGAGAGAGGTGGGGTTTTACGTCTGACAAAGGGTTAAACAACCTAAGGTACTGCTCTGACTTGTCTGATAAAGACGGGCAACACAGTGTGCCATGATTGAAATAACGTCCACTCGACACAAACTAGGTCATTTCGGGACTAACATATGGTTCAATTTTATTTCAATAATTCACAGCGCGTAGGGGTCTTTAGCAGTGGGAAGAAATCGGAGGACCCTGAGAAAACCCACGAGTTTGGACAGGCGACCCTACTGCTTGTGTCACTTGACACAAACTAGGTCATTTCGGGACTAACATATGGTTCAAATTTATTTCAATAATTCGCTTTTCGCTTGCGCGTAGGGGTCACTAGCAGTGGGAAGAAATCGGAGGACCCGGAGATAGAAATTATCTTATCAATTATGTAGGAATTAAATATGTTTTAAGTTTACCGGTAAGATAAAATACATAGCCTCTATTTCAACTACAGTTTGTCAACTATAACAAGTAAGTCTTTTCTTCTTAACTTAAAAGTCTGCAGCCCGAAACGGATTTATTCTTCATAATTTGCCTTCCACGCTATATTATTTTCAAAGCATTAACGTTAAACATACATTATGCAAGAGCTAAATCTGCATGTTGCATATCTTTTTTTAGGCCTGAAATGTGATATAAATTATTAATTACATATTTATTAACAAAACAAGACCATAATGAACTCTCGATGGCATCGGATGCCCGAGATTTTAACTAGATTAGAACGGTTCGCCATTTAAAAATTTAATTTAAAAATGGGAAAGTGAGGCAAAGTCTCGAATATACCAGTGCCCTAGTTACCACAATGCACATAATACTAAGCAGCAAAAGAAACTTCAGGTTGGTATGCAAATAACTTGCCAAATGTTTTATTGTATATTTGTGACCACATCTCCAACTTTACCTGAGCAATAAGGCTCCTTCCCATACACAGAATTGAACCCAGGAAATGTTCTCAAAAACACAACCTGACTTCTGAGATGGTAATGTGTTCTCCATGATTTTCGTGTAACTCGTGCTGCACGTGCTGTTCACCGGGACGAGCCCTATTAAAAAAATGCACCCCCATACCTGGTTGAATCATTCACACTACAACGTCAGCAGCATGCCACGACTCACGACAGCTCAGAGAAACCAGGCGTTTGGAAGACTCGACGCTGACCACACTGCACAAGCCGTTGCCAATCACTTCCCGGTTTACGGCGGTATATTAGATTAATAATAATAATAATAATAATAACTTTATTTAATGAGGCAACGTATTTAGTTTGAAAAACAACAAAAAAACTAATCTTCCATAGGTCCCTCCTAAGCTACAAAGACATATATACATGTAATATCAGGATAAATTTAAAATCATTAGAAATGCAATAGCATTTTAAAGTGGGAAGTTGGATAAGTCACTCCCAAACTCCCAAACTACAAAACATATACATTATACAAGAACACTATAATTACACACAAAATAAAATAGAATGCAGTTGCAAGTTAAAAATAATAAGTATGTCATCAGTTAAATATTATGGTTCCTTCAATGTGCAAAATAAATGAGTTTTCAGTTTAATCTTAAAATTTTCAACATTTTTACACATCTTTATATCAAAAGGCAGATTGTTCCATAAAAGACATGCAGAATAATGAAAAGTACGTTTCATGGATTCCGTTTTGCATTTTTGAAGAAAAAGAGATTTACTGGTCTGTGAACGGAGCAAGATATCCGTTTTGGAAACAAGAGATTTTTCAATAAAATAGGAATTTAGATAAAGTGGAGTATTAAATGTAATAATATGGAATGATAAGACAATTTTATTGTAAAAAAATCTCTGTGTAAGGGTAAGCCAACCGAGTTTAGTAAATAAAGAGGTGGACGGAGTTTCAATCGGTGCATCAAGAATAGTTCTTGCTGCCGTCTTTTGTAATTTTAAAAGAATGTCTAATCTACTTTTGGTAGCATTTTCCCAAATAATAGAGCAATTATCAAATATTGGTAGTATGTAACTGTTATAAAACAAAATTCTTGTCTCGTAAGATAAATGATCTTTTATCTTATTTAGGAGAAATATTTTTGATGCAAGTTTTTTAGACATATCTGATATCTGTGCTTCCCAATTAAGGTCTTGGTCAATTTGAATTCCAAGTAATTTTGCGGTAGTAACCGTCTCAATTTTCTCACCATAGAGTGATAAAGTTAGGTTTTTCTGATTTCTTTTGTGTTTTGATGAAATCAGCATTGATTTTGTTTTCGAAGGATTGATTACCATCTCATTGTTTTCACACCATTTAGCAACCAAATAGAGATCATTTTGGAGATTATTGGCGATGGATAAAATATCTTTGTGTGGACAATGCAGACTGTCATCAGCAAACAAATCTATCTGACTTGATTCAATATTGAGTGGGAGATCATTTATAAAAATAAGGAATAGGAGAGGACCCAGGATCGAACCTTGTGGAACCCCGCATTTGACTGTAGTAATTGAGGAGGTAATTGATCCTAAACATACTTTTTGCTTCCGTGAATCAAGATGTGATTCAATCAAAATTTGTGAATTATTATCAAATCGATAAAGATGTAGTTTTTCAATAATAAGCTTGTGACCAATGAGATCAAATCCTTTGCTAAAATCAAGATACACTATACCACTCATCGCACCATTATCAATAGCATCAGCCAATTATCTGTCATTCGGATCAGTGCAGTAGCACATGAATGATTTGATCTAAATCCAGATTGGTAAGCATAAAGAACATTGAAGGTTTCCAAATAAGTTTGAATTTGAGTGCTCAAGTGCCTTTCGAATATTTTTGAAATTGTGGGGAGAATTGAGATTGGCCTATAATTGTTCGGATCATCTTTAGCTCCCTTCTTATGTATATGAATAATTTTAATACAAAGATTAATGATATATGCCAAACTGCTACAAATTGTATACGCAGACAATTTTAAAATTGTGGGTCCAATACCATCACACTCAATGGCTTTGTTACTATTTAAACTCAATAAATGTTTTAATACCTCTGTGGTAGTAATACAATTAATAGAAAAGTTGTTATTTGGGGGAATCTTATCATTTACGTAATCTGATATATTTCGTTTGCACTCTTGAGAAAGTGTTGTATAGGGGGGCTTAATGTCATCAGTTAAATTAGTGAAGTAATCATTCATTACATTAGCAATAGCATTAAGATCATTAACTGTTGTTTTTCCATATTTAATACTGTTGGGATAAGGGCAATTATTGGGTTTATTCTGTATGTCACTAAAATATCTCCATATGTTTTTAGATTGCTCTTCATTTTCGATAGAGTCCTTGATAAAGTTTCTTTTGGCTTTATTAATGAGATTTTTGGTCTTATTTCTCCATATTCTGTTGTCGTCACACCTCTCGGAGGCTTTAAAGAAGTCCCTGAACTTTCGGGCTTTATTTATTTCCTCATTAAACCACTTCGGTTGATAATATATTTTTACTCTTTTTCGCTTTTGCGGAGCATGGCAGTCTAAAACACCTATAAAAAGGTTATACCAAGTATCAAGGGCAGAATTTGGATCATCAATTGACTCGACTAGTTCAAATGGAATTTTAGCAAGATCATTAATAAAATTACAATCATCAAAGTCTTTGTAATTTCTGTATAGAATTTTAATTTCTAACGTGCTCTTGTCTAAATTCTAACTTCTATTCATGTAATTTCTAAATTAAAACAATGTATAATCCAATTCCTTTATTTGTTCAGCGTAAATTTTAAATCGATGGGCCGTGTTCATCCAGGTTCAGGTCCAGTGACCGTATTAACTATTCTGGTACACACCTGGTTAATTGGGCTAAACTGGGGTCGACCCACAGAGTATGAACATAATAATATATTAACTTGCCAAACACTAGTCATTGCTGTATACTAGCTTGGATCTTATCTTGTTTGATAAGAAAACAAATTCGGGTCAAGTGACAATACAAGCTTCGATCATTTCTTGTAGATGAAGAAGATGACGAATTGCTGGTGGTTGTTGTTTGTTGTTGGGATAAATTTGGTAAACCTTGACAATAGTAGAAGCGTCACTAAACGAGAAGGTGAGGTCTTAATTCAAATTTTGCTTTCAGCTCAATTCAAACCCCGATTTATAATTTGGTTAACAGAACACAGTTTTTATGGGATAGGGGGGTCACGTGGCTAAGACGCTGGCTCGCTAGTCTGGAGGTCAGGTGTTCGATCTCTGCATTGGCCGAGAAAGTTCATCCAGATTTTCCGGCGTGTTTCCCCATTATCAGTGATGCAGGGCGGGGGGTCTGACAAGGACAGCTGTCTAGTCGTTCGGATGGGACAAATAAACGAGGTCCCATGTACACATTGGCGTGCACGTAAAAGATCCCTTGACAGTTGGAATTCGATATAAAAGTAGGCCGTAGTGCCGATGCCCGGGCTAAAGTTCCCTCATAGCACACTGTATGGCGTATGCCCGTCTTCATTAGCCCAATAGGAGCTAATTTCATTTCATTTTCATTTGCTTTCAGCCCAATTCAAACCCCGACATATTATTTGGTTGGGGGTTGTCTTCATTTCTATTGCTATACGGACTACGAACGCACATCAACCGCACACAACAATATTTTCTTGTGTTGTCGACTAATGACACATTCCTTGAGGATGCTCCGTGTCCGACACATCCGCTCTTACATCTGCGTAGCACACAAAGAGCTGACAAGCAAAGTATGTCTACGTTGTGAAAGTTTGGAAAAAAAGGTCCACCCTTTTATACGTTTAGTAGTTGAAATTAAAAAGAAAAATAGGCGGAGACACTGCTGTCCGCCTGGAGAGAGAGAGAGAGAGTTTAACGTCCACTCGATAAAAAATAGATCATTTCGGGACTAACATACGGTTCAATTTTATTTCAATAATTCGCTTGTGCGTAGGGGTCTTGAGCAGTGGGAGGAAACCGGAGGACCTGGAGAAAACCCAAGAGTTTGAACAGGCGACCCTACTACTTGTCACGTACAACCAGGGATTCGAAACCACGCCAGTAAAGCGCGCACTGCTAACCATTTGGCCATCCACGAAAACCCACGAATTTGGACAGGCGACTCTACTCCTTGTCACGTACAACCGGGGAATCGAAACCACACCAGTTGACTCAATGACAGACCTTATGATACTGCGCAGACGCGCTAATCATTCGACCTTCCAACCCCCGCTGTGTGGGATGATTACATACGTAAGAACAGAAATGAAAATTGTCACATGACCGAAGTATTGTTTTAACGAAAGGTTAAAACCGTACCATATGGTTTTATATTTCAGACAAAGTTTTATGGCAGTTAGATAAATATAATAACTTTGATACGTTATATCATTTTAAACCTCTAGAGGTGGGATATTATAACCATGGCTCCCTTTCAAGTCAAACGGACCCTACCGACAGCGACAGGAGGGTTATCAGAGTCTTTTATATGAAGGGATCTTATTCCCAGACAAAGGGATACCGAGGAGCCCAGTTTTACAGCACCCCTACTTCTCCACAGACGTCTATGAAATTCTCCTATGAGATTTACTTCAACGATGGGTTTGATTTTGTCAAGGGTGGTATGCTCCCTGGACTAGCTGGAGGGGAGCTCGCTCATTGCTCCGGTGGAAGTCATTCCGACACCTGCTTCTCGTCGAGATTCACGTGGCGGGAACATGGTGACGGTGAAGTATATGCGCACATACCGCAGCAATCCAGCCATGTCTGTGCTCGCAAAGATGTCATCTGCTCCTCTAGCCACCAGTCTGTTTCTCTGGGTCGTGGGAGTTTCAGATTTAAAAGTGGAAAATGGATGAAGATAAGTCAATATGTTGGGTTAAATGATGTTGGTAAAGATAATGGCTTCCTGCAGATCTGGTTGGATGATAACCTGGTTTACACGGGGCATGACATCACGTGGAGAACTAAAGATGAAGTTAAAATCAGTAGCATCTTCTTCTCGACGTTCTTCGGTGGAGCTTCGTCTGATTATGCGGCTACTGAGGATAGCTACACTTATTTCAGAAATTTTGTTTTATCCACCGGTTCTGATTCCCCAGTCGTGGGTTAAATATTTCTGAAATAAAATAATCCCATACAAATTGTTGTTTGTTTGTTGGTTTTTTTTTTTGTTTTTTTTTGTTTTTTTTTGGTTTTTTAGATTTTCAAGCAAAACATCAAGATTTCTGTTGCTATATATGGGTATTCGATTATATAATCCAAACCCTAATCCTAGTAGCTTTCCTCCGTTCAACTCAAATTAACCCTCCTTGGCTACAAAATCATAACAAAACCGTGGAAAGACGTATGGTCATGTGATCAAATAATCAGACGCGCTGGTTTGGTCAAAGTCGCAGGATAATACCCTCGGTTTCAATTCACGAAATGCAGTGGGAAAAAATCGGAGGACCCGGAGAAAACCCACGAGGTTGGACAGGCGACCCTACTGCTTGTCACGTACAACCGGGGAATCGAAATCACGCCAGTTGACTCAATGACAGACCTTATGATGCAGCACGCACTCGGTAACCATTCGGCCATCCACCCGGCCTACCTGAGAACCAAGCCTGGCCTTGGGACATTTACTTTCCATTACGATTACAGCGGCCCTGGTATTTATATAAGGATGGGTTATTATATCACGCTCGTGATAGAAATTATCTTATCAATTATGTAGGAATTAAATATTTTTTAAGTTTACCGGTAAGATAAAATACATAGCCTATATTTCAACTACAGTTTGTCAACTATAACAAGTAAGTCTTTTCTTCTTAACTTAAAACTCTGCAGCCCGAAACGGATTTATTCTTCATAATTTGCCGTCCACGCTATAATTATTTTCAAAGCATTAACGTTAAACATACATTATGCAAGAGCTAAATCTGCCTGTTGCAAGTCTTTCTTTAGGCCTGAAATGTTATATAAATTATTAATTACACATTTATTAACAAAACAAGACCATAATGAACTCTCGCTGGCATCGGATGCTCGAGATTTTAACTAGATTAGTACGGTTCGCTATTTAAAAATTTAATTTAAAAATGGAAAAGTGAGGCTAAGTCTCGAATATACCAGTGCCCTGGTTACCACAATGCACATAATACTAAGCAGCAAAAAAAACCGTCAGGTTGGTATGTTATTCTAGACGCATTGCAAAAAACTTGCCAAATGTTTTTATTGTATATTTGTGACCACATCTCCAACTTTACCTGAGCAATAAGGCTCCTTCCCATAGCCAGAATTGATCCCAGGAAATGTTCTCAAAAACGCAACCTGACTTTTGAGATGGTAATGTGTTCTCCATGATTTTCATGTAACTCGTGCTGCACCGGGACCAGCCCTATAAAATGCACCCCCAAACCTGGTTGAATCATTCACACTACAACGTTAGCATCATGCCACGACAACTCAGAGGAATCAGGCGCCTAGAAGCCTCGACGCCTACCACACTTCCCAAGTCGTTGCCAATCACATCCAGGTTCACGGCGGTATATTAGATTCAAAATTCTAACGTGCTCTTGTCTAAATTCAAACTTCTATTCATGTAATTTCTAAATTAAAACAATGTATAATCCAATTCCTTTATTTGTTCAGCGTAAATTTTAAATCTATTTTATTATTAAGACCAAAAATACTTCTTTGACGCTTTACATTTTTAGCATGAACGTCGAACAAATTTAAAATTTTGACACTTCCGTCTAGCAACCATCACCAAATGGAGCACGCAGTGGCGACATCGACGACTCCATAATGATGGTTGCTAGGCAGAAGTGTAAAAAGTCTACATTTGTACGATGCTAAACGTGTAAAGCGTCAATGAAGTAGACATTGATCCATTGATGATAGAAATAAGATGAAATAGATTTAAAATTTACGTTGAAGAAAAACAGAAATTGGATTATGCATTGTTTTAATTTAGAAATTACATGAAAAGAAGTTAAAAATTAGACGATTAGAATTTTGAATTTAATATATCGCCGTAAATCTCGGCTTTGGTTGTTTTTCAGCATAACCCCGGGTTTGACCCTTTTGAGCATAACCCCGGGTTTGACCTTCTCCAATATAACCTTCGGTGAAGCCTATTTCAGTTTCACAAACCCACATTTATCCTTTTCACCTAACCCACGCACAAACTGTCTGGCAGTGGCCATTCATCATTCCTGTGGTGGTACTGGACAACTCCAAAGTTGTTTTAGGTGGTACAGATTTCAGCTATTCGAGCCTAGCTGTGATCTGGAAATTGGATAACTAACTCTTGTCTGGAAAACTCCGCCACTACAGATGTCTGGCAATTACATAGCTGTGTCAGGGGAACCCCACCACTAGAAATGTCTGTCGGAGTGTTTTTGTAATACCTGAAGGTATTTTCATGTGGTACACTTTTGAGTTAATCTAGCCTAGTTGGGGGGGGGGGGGGCATGTCATTTTGGACGTGGAATACCACACCCACCACCAGATACCCGGCAGACCTACATTCTGGTGATGCTAGATGTGCATGCCTTGACACCATATAGGAGAAAATTGGTACATTTTTCATCTAGGTTGACCCCGACCTCCCCGGGTTTGCTGGTGTATTTAGACATATCGACGGGCCGTGTTCATCCAGGTTCAGGTCCAGTGACCGTATTAACTATTGCGGTACACACCTGGTTAATTGGGCTAAACTGGGGTCGACCCACAGAGTATGAACATAATAATATATTAACTTGCCAAACACTAGTCATTGCTGTATACTAGCTTGGATCTTATCTTGTTCAAGAAGAATACAAACTTGGGTCATATCGGGTCAAGTGACAATACAAGCTTCGATCATTTCTTGTAGATGAAGAAGATGACGAATTGCTGGTGGTTGTTGTTTGTTGTTGGGATAAATTTGGTAAACCTTGACAATAGTAGAAGCGTCACTAAACGAGAAGGTGAGGTCTTAATTCAAATTTTGCTTTCAGCTCAATTCAAACCCCGATTTATTATTTGGTTAACAGAACACAGTTTTTATGGGATAGGGGGGTCACGGTGGCTAAGTGGCTAAGACGCTGGCTCGCTAGTCTGGAGGTCGGGTGTTCGATCTCTGCATTGGCCGAGAAAGCTCATCCAGATTTTCCGGCGTGGTTCACCCTTATCAGTGATGCAGGATGGAGGGCCTGACAAGGGCGGCTGTCTAGTCGTTCGAATAGTACGAAAAACCGAGGAGCCCTGTATACATTGGCGTGCACGTAAAAGGTCCCTTGGTAGTTGGAATTCGATATAATAGTAGGCCATAGTGCCGTATGCCCGTCTTCATAATCCCAGTAGGAGCAGAAAAGTAGGACGTTAAAAGCAATTTCATTTCATTTTCATTTGCTTTCAGCCCAATTCAAACCCCGACTTATTATTTCGTTGGGGGTTGTCTTCATTTCTATTGCTATACGGACTACGAACGCACATCAACCGCACACAATTTAGTAATCTGGAAATAGTTTCTTGTGTTGTCGACTAATGACATATTCTTTGAGGGTGCTCCGTGTCTGACACATCCGCTCTTACATCTGCGTAGCACACAAAGAACTGGTTATACGTTTAGTGGTTGAAATTAAAACAAAAACAAAACAAAAAAATAGGCGGAGACACTGCTGTCCGGGATTATAAAACACGTAAAAACAGAAATGAAAATTGTCACATGACCGAAGTTTAACGAAAGGTTAAAACCGTACCATATGGTTTTATATTTCAGACAAAGTTTTATGGCAGTTAGATAAATATAATAACTTTGATACGTTATACCATTTTAAACCTCTAGAGGTGGGATATTATAACCATGGGTCCCTTTCAAGCATGTCGGATCCCACCGACGACGACAGGAGGGTTATCAGAATCTTCTACATGAAGGGATCTTATTCCCAGACAAAGGGATACCGAGGAGCCCAGTTTTACAGCACCCCTACTTCTCCACAGACGTCTATGAAATTCTCCTATGAGATTTACTTCAACGATGGGTTTGATTTTGTCAAGGGTGGTATGCTCCCTGGACTGGCTGGAGGGGAGCTCGCTCATTGCTCCGGTGGACGTCATTCCGACACCTGCTTCTCGTCGAGATTCATGTGGCGGGAACATGGTGACGGTGAAGTATATGCGTACATACCGCAGGAATCGAGCCATTTCTGTGCTCGCAACGATGTCATCTGCTCCTCTAGCCACCAGGCTGTTTCCCTGGGTCGTGGGAGTTTCAGATTTAAAAGTGGAAAATGGATGAAGATAAGTCAATATGTTGGGTTAAATGATGTTGGTAAAGATAATGGTTTCCTGCAGATCTGGTTGGATGATAACCTGGTTTACACGGGGCATGACATCACGTGGAGAACTAAAGATGAAGTTAAAATCAGTAGCATCTTCTTCTCGACGTTCTTCGGTGGAGCTTCGTCTGATTATGCGGCTACTGAGGATACCTACACTTATTTCAGAAATTTTGTTTTATCCACCGGTTCTGATTCCCCAGTCGTGGGTTAAATATTTCTGAAATAAAATAATCCCATACAAATTGTTGTTTGTTTTTTTGGGTTTTTTTTGTTTGTTTTGTTTTTTAGATTTTCAAGCAAAACATCAAGATTTCTGTTCGTAGATGTTTGCTATCAATTGCTATACACTATTTTATTCCAATAATTCGCTTACGCGTATGGGTTCTTTGGTTGCGGGCGACATACCACAGCACTGGCTTGTGGGAAAACAACACTGACTTAGATGATAACAGAACCGACTTAAAAGGGATTGAAATGTATATACATTTTCAATATCATTCTGTAGCAAAACATGTTTACAGGATGAGCTCAACCTGTTTAATCCGTGACTACACGAATAACCACGTCATTGCCGAATTTGGCCCAAATCTATGATTAGAATCAACATATGTTACAGCATATGTTTCTATCTTAAAGGTCCAGTATATTTTTTTTTAGTTAAGCCTGAGATAGTCCGTAAAGTACAAGTAGGCTGTACTCCGTAACACATGCTACATTCTTATTTATATCTTAAAGGTCCAGTATATTTTATTTTAGTTTAGTTTGAGATAATCCGTAAATTAAAAGTATATGGTACTCCATTACTAGTAACACATGTTACATTCTTATCTTATCTACAGCAGAATAAAATATATTTTAAAAAATCACCCCAGGTATTCAGGTGGATAAGACGGCATCTTTGTATTTTGTTGTTGATAGGACGGTATATTTGTATGTTGATAGGGGGATCTGAATATGGCTGTGGAAGTAAGTATTCATTTATTTCATTTTGTTTCTTATACTTCATCAATCTAGATCAGTAATTCCAAATCTTCGTCTACTCGCGTTCACCTTGAAAAAACAAATTCTTTGAGAACCCACACATCTCCATTTGTGCCCCTGTCAGACCGGGTGGCGTATTTACTGCGCTGCTACGGCGGCGGAAAATGGCCCTAGGGCGCGTCAAGATCGTCATAATCGTGGTAAAAGCATGGAAACGCCAGATTTCGCGCTGTTATCTCCACGGTCGCAAATGATAGCCGAGACACGGCGTTTGTTTTGAGCATGTTCAAAACAAACGCCAAGGCTCTGCGATCTGCGCTGAATGATGTGTGAACGCGGCTTTTTTTCAAGTTTGTAATTTTGTGGGGCATTTTCTCGCGTTGTGTTCACATTTGCCGGCGAGGGGGCGGGAAGTGTTCTCAGGGATGCTGTAAAATTGACGGACACTGTATATCTAGTTTTTTTTATGGTCGACAATTTTTTCACAGGGCCTGTGACCCCCCCCCCCCCCCTGCGCCCCCTTTAGTTACGGGCCTGATTGTCCTTAGCAATGTATTTGTTAGTTTATATCCGAGTACTCCCCATTGCCAACTGTCAAGGTTTCATTTACGTGCACGGAAATGTGATACGGGACCGGGTTTATTTATCCGACCCGAACGACTAGATAAGCGCGTAAAAGAATCCTTGATGGTTGTAATTCAATTGCCCCCCCCCCCCCCCCGTATGCCCGTTAGTCCGGTAGGTGCAGAAAAGTTGGACGGAAACCATTTCATTTCCCCATTCCCTAATTTTTATTACAGGTGAGACATGTGTTAATTGTGTTGAGCTTGGTTGGATCTAACCTGGCTAGCTCGGTAAATAGGACAACCGTCAACAAGCGTGCAAGTAAGTATCTCATGTAAATAAATATAGGTTACCAGGAAACATCAGATTAAAACACAGATCCTATTTCGTTTCTTTTTTTTTTTATAGTTTAAAATTTCGTTTTACTTGTCTTTACTACACTACTATCTGGAAGAGTTGTTATATTACCCACATTCTGGCTAATGTGAGGGATTACCTAATGAAACAGTCTGTTACGGCGAGTTCTTGGCGTGCGATGCACAGAACTGTGGGTATCCCACTAGAAACATCAACGTTGATTGGTTAATCAAATGTCTGACGTCATAGGTCAAAAGCCGCTTTATGACCCCTGACGCGACCTCTCACTACAACTGGTCGGATCTTCATGCAGTAGAGGCCATCGAAAGTATAAAAAAACGAAACGAAATATATATCTGCATTTTAATCAGCCCACTAAGAGTTTATGGGTCGTCACCAATTTGAATAACAAAAACTACCAAACGAGGTTAATAATTGACTATACCCACTAGATAGCTTTGTCACCCGAAACACTGTATTGGTCGTCTCCAATTAAATTTGGAAAAAAAGGTTTCGAGTACGAGGGGATAACTGCTTTCAACTTTCAGTTTTAATATTATTCATAATTGCTAATAGATACTCGCTTTATGACACAAATATACGCATATATTTTAATGAGCACAACCAAACCCAGTTGTAAAGTAAGCCAGTAGTCCACTGTTCGAATGTTAATGGGATAGGAGAGGGGGGGGGGGAAATAACATGGAAAATAAGAGAGAAAATCAGGGGGCTTCCTGGTCGATAATTATCCCAATCTAATTAAAGCAGATCTATATTTCGTTTCGTTTTTTATACTTTCGATGGCATCTACTACATGAAAATCTGACCGGTTGTAGTGGGGCGCGCGTCTGGGGTCATACGAGCGGGTTTTGGACCTATGACGTCATGCATTTGATTAACCAATCAGGGTTGATGTTTCTAGTAGGATGCCCCCAGTTCCGTGCATCGCATTGGCTAATCCATCACATTAACCAGAACGCGGATTATATAACAACTCTTCCTAATGTAATAAACAAAAGTAAAACGAAATTTTGAACTATAAAAAACAAACGAAACGAAATAAGATCTGTGTTTTAATCAGATTGTATAATTATCTCCCTTACCTTTCCTTCACTTTGGGCCATGTTTATGCATTTTAGTTTTATTTCAGGTAAAATATTATGGCAACTTGACAATTTCCCTAATTCTGATCCTTTGAAATATTTCAAACCACACGATGATGGATTCTACAACAAGGGATCTTTGTCGACTTTTGCTGATCCAGAAGACCCTCACAGAGATGTAATAAGGGTGTTTTATCAGAAAGGAACCTATTCTTCTATACAGGGTTATTATGGGGCCCAGTTTTATAGCAGACCAATATCAGAGCAAACGTCCTTGACCTTCTCCTACCAACTCTATTTCAGTCCTGGATTTGATTTTGTTCGAGGTGGTAAACTCCCGGGTCTAGCAGGAGGCGAAGAAGCGACGTGTTCAGGTGGACGACACTCGGAAACTTGCTTCTCTGCCAGATTGATGTGGCGCAGAGAAGGAGATGGGGAAATCTACGCCTACTTACCTGAACAAGTCGACGATTTCTGTGAGCGACCCGATGCCATCTGTTCTCCGACCATCAAAGGAACATCTTTGGGACGCAGCGATTTCCGGTGGAGAACGGGTGTATGGATGAAAGTGAGCGAACACGTGACACTGAATGACGTGGGTAAAGATAACGGAATTGCCAAGCTTTGGATTGATGACAAGTTGGTTTACTCGGGTCATAATATCAGATGGAGAGTTCGAGATGACGTCAAAATCAGCAGCGTCTTCTTCTCCACCTTCTTTGGTGGAAATACTCCCGAATGGGCGGCGACTGACAACTGCTATACATATTTTAAAGAATTTATTTTATCAACAGGAGACCAACCACCAGTTGCAGGGTGAAATTGAATGGTTTTATCTGTGAAATAAAATGATTTCCCACAAGACAATATATCATATCTATTATACTAATATTTGTGACTGTCGTTTGTCTGTCTGTCTGTCTGTCTGTTCGGGGTTGGCGGCTACACTAGGTCTGCCCCGAGTCTGAGTCTGAAATTTGGGGTATAGGGGTATTGGGGTATAGGTGGCGTTAGTCTACCACTTTCGGTTTCGGGGTTATGACCCCCGAGCGAAGCCGGACATTCTTCTAGTATCTTATAATTAGATTCAGAAATGGCAATTTCCTCTTAGTGTGTGTGTGGGGGGGGGGCTAAGTGGTTAAGACGCTGGCTCGCTAGCCTGGAGGTCACGTGTTCGATCCCTGCATTGGCCGAGAAAGTTCATCCAGATTTTCCGGCGTGGTTTCCCCTTGTCAGTGATGCAGGACGGAGGGCCTGGCAAGGAGAGATGTCTAGTCGTTCGGATGGGAAGAAAAACCGAGGTCCCATGTACACGGTGGCTTGCACGTAAAAGATCCCTTGGTAGTTGGAATTCAATATAAGAGTAGGTCGTAGTGCCACAGCCCGGGTAAAATTTCCCTCATAGCACACTGTATGGTGTATGCCCGTCTTCATTAGCCCAGTTTTGGAGCAGAACAGTAGGACGTTAAACACCATTTCATTTCATTTCTCTAAAAACCTTTACCATGAAAATGCAGTCGATGGTGGTTGCTTGTGATGCTGAACTGGAAAAGTATATTCATAACAACATAGCCTAGACACACCGTGTGAATGTGATGGATATATGGGCAATCATTTCTTAGATTCTTGTAACCCAGAAGCAGAGCACTATCTATTATATGCATAGTAACTGGGAGAGAGAGAGAGAGAGAGAGATGGGGTTTAACCTCCACTGGACACAAACTAGGTCATTTCGGGACTAACATATGGTTCAATTTTATTTCAATAATTCGCTTGTCGACTAATGACACATTCCTTGAGGATGCTCCATGTCCGACACATCCGCTCTTACATCTACGTAGCACACAAAGAGCTGACAAGCAAAGTATGTCTACGTTGTGAAAGTTTGGAAAAAAAGGTCCACCCTTTTATACGTTTAGTAGTTGAAATTAAAAAGAAAAATAGGCGGAGACACTGCTGTCCGCCTGGAGAGAGAGAGAGAGAGAGAGAGAGAGTTTAACGTCCACTCGATAAAAAATAGATCATTTCGGGACTAACATACGGTTCAATTTTATTTCAATAATTCGCTTGTGCGTAGGGGTCTTTAGCAGTGGGAGGAAACCGGAGGACATGGAGAAAACTCACGAGGTTGGACAGACAACCCCACTCCTTGTCACGTACAACCCGGGAATCGAAAACAGGTCAGTTGACTCAATGACAGACCATATGATACAGCGCGCACATGCTAACCATTGGGCCATCCAACCCCCACCTCGTATCTAAACGAATGGTTACTTGCATGCATTATCATTATCAATGACAGACCTTATGACATGCTAACCATTCCGCCATCCAACCTCCCATAAGAAAAATAAACACAAGGTTTTGGTCAATGAATATGTTTAATGAGATAAAAAAGGGAGATTTTATTTTACAACTTATTTCAGTCAATTATCAGTAAATAAAGTTTTCACAACAAATGGAAAAATAATAAAACAAGCAGGAAAAAAATAATAATTAGAAAATTTGTTTTGAGTATTAATATAAAAGATAGGAAAAGTGAGTATAACTGCTGTAACAGGCTATAAAGGAAGAAATCAAATTGTTAACCAGGCATCCTTTAAAACACTGATCTGGGGCCTTTTCACAAAATTTTAACTAAGATAAAATTAAAATTTTAGTAATTTGATTGGATAATATTAGATTGATTTTAGTACTTAGCCAATCAAAATTGAAGTATCTACTAAAATTTGGATTTTACCTTAGTTAAGATTTCGAGAAACAGGGCCCTGGACTTATTTATAACATTATTTTGAGACCTGCTTTTGTCTTTCTATCAATTTCAATCTTGGGACAGATCTGGAATGTCCAGACCTAGAACGTTCAGTTCACATCTAGAACGCCCAGACCTATCAGATGCAGTCAAGCTCTTAGTGGCAGCTCAGATAACAATTCTGAAAACCTCTGCACTCCATATTTTAAAGTTTGAATTAGTTTTCTACGCCGACTTATTCATCTAAATCCCAAGGAATTAAAAATCAAACTGTTTTGTCAATGCAATTCTGTTTCCTGTGTCCTCAATAAACACTTCTCTCATGTCGACTTCATTCTGATTAAAATACAGATCTATATTTCGTTTCAGTTTTTTATACTTTCAATGGCCTACAGATCTGACTTGTAGTAGTGCAAAGTCGCGTTAGAGGTCATACGAGAGGCTTTTGTCCCTATGACATCAGACATTTGATTAATCAATCAGCATTGACATTTCTAGTGGGTTACCCAAAGTTCAGTGCACCTCATGCCACAAACTCGCCGAAACAGACCGTTTAATTGGCTAATCCCTCACATCATCCACAACACCGGTTATATAAACAAATCTTTCAGATCCTAATGTAGTAAAAACAAGTAATACAGAATTTTAACTATAAAAAACGAAACGAAATAGGATCTGTGTTTTAATCAGATTGTGTGGACATTTGAATCATAATAATATAGTTATTGGTGATTGTAATCACTATGGAAATATACCATGGCCATTCAGATACCATGAATCAAAGGCAACATAAGTAACAAATATACCAATGACGGAACCCTCCCCAATATAGTGAATATTATTGGTGATGTTTTTACCTGATGATGAGCAAGGTGTCTAGAATATAACTCGGCAACAATTTCCTGTTGGTACTCATATTTTAAAATTAACCATCAATAAAAATGCATTATCTAAGAGCTAAATAGACCTATGGCAGGTCTTTCTTTGGGCCTTAATGTTATATAAATTATTTCTTAGGCATTTATTAACAAAACAAGACCATAATCAACTCTTGATGCCATCGTATACTCAAGATTTTAACCAGATTAGAACGGTTCGCCATTTAAAAATTTAACTTAAAAATGAGAAAACGTGGCTTAATCTCGAATATACCAGTGCCCTGGTTACCACAATGCACACACCTTGTCAAAACTACAAACAGTGATAATTTAGCTCAGAATGAAGTAATTTGAATGAAATTTCAATATTTTGGTCAGCTCTTTATTTAAATCTTACTAAATCTTACATAATGTATCTTTAAAATCATTTCAAGATATTTATTTTTTTTGATGAATGGGCCATGCTTTGTAGACCTAGTTTACAGGAAGCAATATATATTATACAGGCAACATAGTAGGCATAACAATAACAACATCAAATACTATAGTTGTTAAATAAGGTATTCTTATGCTTTCCAGAACACCTGACAACACTTCTCATTTATCTGAGAAGTTCTCATGGCTAGCAGATTATTCTGTACTTCTGTATCCTAATCTAAATACACAAATAAAATACATCTATTGAACATGTTCTTATATACACTAACAGCTCAAATATACAATTAAAATACTCAACAAAATAGAGTTAACTCCCTTAGACATTATCAGCTCACATAATTTGTTCAACAAATATACTGTATAACTAAGCAGCCTGGTCTCGGTTTAATTTAACACTAATAGCTAAAATATACAATTCATAATACCCAATACACATTCAATTTAAACAAGGTTATCTCCCTTAATACTACATAATCCCTTTAAATCAGCAAACGTTTTTTCATAAAACAGATCACAGATAAATATATTTGTGCAAGGGATCTAAAAGCAAGATGGGGTAAATTAATTCATCAGGTTCGGTCTTAATTTCAATAAATAAACCTGACTTATTTATTTAAGACAACATATTATGCCTCGATAATCAAGTCTAAAGATATCTATATATCAGGTTATCCAGTCTGTATGTCCTATAGCACACATTTAATCAAACTGTTTCTACTGTATGGCTGCAATGAGTTAATATAAATAAATAAATATTAATGTAAATATAATTGAGCACTCATTGATATCTTCTACTATTTATCAGGTTATATTACTTGGAACAAAACAAAAACCAGAACTCTTTACTTTTATACTTTCAAATATTGCCAGACCCAATATTCTTACTTGAAATTAATAACTTAAAGCTTACTCTTCCGGACACCTGTTACCCAGAGAAAACCCACGAGGTTGAACAGGGGACGCTAATCCTTGTCACGTACAGCCGGGGATTCGAAACCACGCCAGTTGACTCAATGACAGGCCTTATGATACAGAGCGCACGTGCTAACCATTCGGCCATCCAAGCCCCCGTCTAATGATTTGGATTGTTCGTACTTGGTTTTATTTTATTATTACTTTAAAGTAAAGGTAGGACTGTTTTTTTTCTGCATCTATTTCTGTCTTGCTTTTATGAAATAAAACATGATTTTAACTTTTAACAGAAAGAGAAGACAGATTCGGTTTTTAAACCTGCTTATCAGTAATAGTTATTACTTGCATTTTTTCTGACGAACTCAGACTGGCAACAAATGGTACAAATTAAGAGTCCTGGAACAAAATCATCAACAACAAAAAAAAAACCAACAAGAATTAAATATATATCATGAACTGGGGTATTTAACTAAGCAGTTAATGGGACAAATATATGGGAAACACTCAATATGAAATTACAGGGTCATCATCTTATTATTATGTACACAGAGATATTGGGTCATCATCTCGTTATTGTGTACACAGAGATATTGGGTCATCATCTCATTATTGTGTACACAGAGATATGGGGTCACCATCTCATCATTGTGTACACAGAGATATTGGGTCACCATCTCATCATTCTGTACACAGGATGATGGGTCACCATCACATTATTATGTACACAGAGATATTGGGTCATTATCTAATTATTGTGTACACAGAGATATTGGGGTCATTCATTATCTCATTCAAAACATTTCTCTAGCGGTTTCATGCTCTAACAGAACACGGTTGTTATGGGATACAACCACTAGTTTTATTCTAAAAGCACAACGTTTCTACAAGTATCCTCTTATCGTTATCAAGCACTGATTGTATCCCATAAAAACTGTGTTCTGTTAATGTGTTTCTGATCGCTAAATGCCACTTAAAGATTCATTTCATGCTCATTGTGTCTTTGCTCCATTTTCCTGTTTATCTATGAACAGGAATCAGAGATTTGCGAGTAGTGAAGTTTTTTTTAGTGGTAATTGAATATTTGTAATATAAAATACATCATATTTACAAATTATTATGAGAGACATTAACCTGTAATGTTAATTCTAATCAAAATGATTTCTATACAGCCACATTCTACAGGCCTTGTATTCTACTGTGTGAACCAACTTTTGATGAGGGTCGGCTAATTTATCTTCCAAGGATAAATACTAATTCTACTGCAATGTTTCCTTTATTTGGCCTAAGATGTTAGATTCAAGAAAACAGAGAGATAGAGAGAGAGAGAGATGGGGGTTCAAGGTCCACTCGACACAAACTAGGTCATTTCGGGACTAAGATATGGTTCTAGTTTATTTCATTAATTCGCTTCTGCGTAGGTTGACAGGCAACCCTACTCCTTGTCAAGTACAAATGGGGAATCAAGTCCACATCAGTTGACTCAATGGCAGACCTTATGATTCAGCATGCATGCACTAACCATTCGGCCAGCCAATCCCCCAATTAAGAAAACATACCTGCCCCAGATGTCAGAATTAAGACCTTTTTTGGACCCACAATGTCAGCATTAAGACCTTTTTATGGTCATTTTCCTGCACAGAACATGTAGAATGTGGCCGTATGAAACATCCACGTTCTCATCTATAAAATATTATTTCTAACCAGATACACAGAATACAGATATATATATGTATAATACACAATCAATTACTTACATTGTCTTACGATTTCAAAACTTACTAATAATTTGACTAGAAAATAAACAATTTGAAGAATACTTGTATGATGACCTTCCTACGCCGTCACGAACTTATCATTCACTGGTCATTATAGGGATTTTAATTTCCAACAAAAACAATGATAGCTGTTGTCTCCAATAGAGGAGAAAACTGAATCAAAATAACATGTGCTGTAACATACAATAAATATACTTCATTAATACATGGTCTTTATTTAGCAAATTGCACATCAAACTTCATGAAGGTGGGACAATTAACGTGAATTAAATGAAGTGGCTCCACTAGAAGAAGTTTGTACACAAAGTCACCTTTCTAATAGTCCTATAGTTAAAGTGTCCATGTATTTCACCTTTCTAATGGTCCTATAGTTAAAGTGTACATGTATTTCACCTTTCTAATGGTCCTATAGATAGAGTGTCCATGTATTTCACCTTTCTAATAGTCCTATAGTTAAGGTGTCCATGTATTTCACCTTTCTAATAGTCCTATAGTTAAAGTGTACATGTATTTCACCTTTCTAATGGTCCAAAAGTTAAAGTGTACATGTATTTCACCTTTCTAATAGTCCTATAGTTAGAGTGTCCATGTATTTACCTATCTAATGGTCCTATAGATAGAGTGTCCATGCATTTCACCTTTCTAATAGTCCTATAGTTAAAGTGTACATATATTTCAACTTTCTAATAGTCCTATAGTTAAAGTGTACATATATTTCACCTTTCTAATAGTCCTATAGATAAAGTGTACATGTATTTCACCTTTCTAATAGTCCTATAGATAAAGTGTACAGGTATTTCACCTTTCTAATGGCCCTATAGTTAAAGTGTATTTCACCATTTAAGGGTTTTGGCGCCATTCATCAATCAAGTCCCATTCCCTCCCCTATAATGTATCGGTTACTATGGTTTTGAGACATAATTCTGTGAATCTGAAAATATACATGACATATTTTCTACTCTATTCTATACAAATAAAATAAAAATTATTGGTCTTTTTACAAATTGTAATCAAAAATAAAATTCTTTTTTTTTTCTTCTTCATTATGGATCTACCTATTTCCGTTTTAATTTTTCAGGATTATTGGAAGCCATATTGGAAAAATCTTTAAACACATCTTGAAAAGTCTCATCGCTGGTCTGTCCAAAATATCCTTCTGTTTCCTTCATCTCATCGTTTAGTTTTGATAGACGTAATCTAAAATGATAATTGTATTAATCAATGGATATTCAGAGAATAAACATAAAATAATATGAAATAATTACGACAGAAATGCCTGTATCAATCATTTTAATACATTATGCAAGAGCTAAATCTGCCTATTGCAGGTCTTTCTTTAGGCCGGAAATGTTATATAAATTATTAATTCAACATTAATTAACTTATCCAGACCATAATCAACTCTCGATGGCATCGCTAGCCTGCGATATTTACTGGATAATAATGCCATTTGCTGCTTGACTTCCATTCATAATTTAATCATGAAATGGATGATAGAGACTATGTTTTTTATCGTACAGACTTTAGTAATGATGATCGAGGCTTGGCCGAAATTTCAATCGCTTAATCCTCGGTTTATAGTGGATCAATTTGACTGAAATTTTCATCAAATTCCCTTTACATTATCTAGTTTTTAACTATTATAGTGAGAACTGCCCCCTCTTTATCTAATCTCCCATAATGTATCTTTAATAGAACGAACCCAACACATCCAAATAAATAGAGAGAGAGAGAGATGGGGTTTAACATCCACTCGACACAAACTAGGTCATTTCAGGATTAACATATGGTTCAATTTTATTTCAGGGGCAGGTGCAGGGGAGGGGGCACAAAGAAAGAAATATATTTACAATGTAACAATATCAGCATTAGCAGCTTCAACAGCTATAGTCAATGGATCCTGAAATACAATTAATTATAAATAAGTACAAGGAAACATATATGTTTCTGAAATACAATTTTATGTGTACTACATCACTTCACGATAGATTAAGAGATTTGTATGTATTTTTTTAAAAAAAGTTCTTGAGGAAATAAATCTTTAAATGATATTTAAAAAAAAGGCTTCTACTAACCTTGCCTGAATTATCTTTGGCATTTAAATCAGCCCCTCTCTTCAAAAACTGACAAACTTGACTGGAAGAAAAAGGATATGAAAAATGAAATGAAATTGGGTTTAACATCCTTCTTTTCTGCACCACTGGGTTAATAAGATGGGAATAATAGCCCTGCAGTGTGCTAATAAGACAGGCATAGACCTGCAGTGTGCTAATAACATGGGCATTCACCCTGTAGTGTGCTAATAAGATGGCAAAGCCCTGCAGCGTGCTAATAAGACGAGCATTCGACCTGTAGTGTGCTAATAACATGGGCATTTACCCTGTAGTGTGCTAATAAGATGGCAAAGCCCTGCAGTGTGCTAATAAGACGAGCATTCGACCTGTAGTGTGCTAATAAAATGGGGCATAGCCCTGCAGTGTGCTAATAAGACAAGCATACCTGCAGTGTGCTAATAAGATGGGCCTAGCCCTGCAGTGTGCTAATAAAATGGACATGGCCTACCGTGTGCTATGAGGGAAATTTTACCCAAACAGCTGCTCTACAACCTACTCTTATCAAGAATTTAAACTGTCAAGGGTTCTTTTACGTGCACACCAATGTGTACATGGGACTTCCAGATAAGCAAGTCAACCCCTTATACACTGAACTAACACAGCTTCCAAAAGGCGTAGGAATACATCAATAAGACAAAAAGAGGAGGATAACTGCTTTATCTGACTAGTATGAGGATGTCTGGTAGCATGATGTAACTTACCCAGTATGACCATGTATGGTAGCATGATGTAAAGGTGTTTTTCCAGTAGTATCTTTACGATCTAACTTTGCACCATTCAACAACAAATATTCACAGGCTGTTAGAGATCCCTAGGAAGACAGAACAATTTACACTACACATCAGGAGTCTTATTACTATTCATACTGATTTAACACTCCAGAATGTCTAAACCAGTCATGTAGGTTTGAGATGCACCCAGAGGTTGCAGTCACGCAAACAATTTTTCAAAATAAACGCAGAAAATTTGCTGACATGAGAATAATTAGATTATTATATGTAGTAGTTTGTACACTACGTCATCAATTTATGTGCTTCACGTGGCATTTACACACCACTACTGTGCGTAGTCTCCTTAGGTTTTTACATTTCCTCTTATTTCATTCATAATCTTTAAGTTCATGGCAAGCCTTCTATATGTAGCTATTCTGAGACACCCTCTATTTTGCCATACTGGAAGTAATAGAGCATATTTCATAGAAGATTTTGGATTGGCTAGAACATGATAAACTGTTTACATTCAGCCAATCAAATATTGGCTTTCGTAGCGATAGTTTGCTGTTTACTTCCTGTCGAAGTGAAAGATTAAAATGACTGTCGTCAACCACAGATATGCTGTCAACTTCCAGTCTTCATTAGACTAAATACAGTATCAATAAAATATGGACGCTTAAAACAGGGTTGTTCAAAATCAATTTTACTTGCTTCTATTAAGTATTTTGCGAGGCTCTAAGAAGAAATCACACAGATGTAGAGGGCAAAAACGCAAAATTTTAGAATGTCTGCATATTTTTACGCAACTTGAAATGTATCCACTGCGACCACTGGACGCATCTACTGCTTGCATTTGTTGATGTTAACTCTTCATCAGCGAAAATAACATAATCATTCACCCAGGAAACGTTCATTTGATTTGAATCTCCCTGTGAAATTTAGAGGACTCTTAAGGGGGGCTCAGATCGACCTTACGACGCGACTCAACTGGTCGCCGACTGGTTTTCATTCAGAGCGGCGAATGAAAAATCATAAACAAAAATTTGAATCCCTCGAGGTAATTTAAATTGCTTTCTCACTATAATTTCGCTAATTAGATGGAGAGATTATGGAATAATTAGGCATATTATTTTGTATTTTTATGGGAAAAATCTGTGTGCGCCATTTTGAACGAGTCACATGATCTATTCATGAGGACGCCACAAGTCGTTGTATCGGTGTCGATGTGAGCGCGCTCGCGTTCAATCGTACGACCGATAGCAACTGGTCGGCGATCATTGCTGAATTCGATCTGAGTGCAATCTACGATAGTCGCCGACAGTTGAGTTGAGTCGCGTCGCAAGGTCGATCTGAGCCGGGCTTTATACTCATTCGACACTAAGTTTTAGACCAATCAGAATCAAAGAAATTTCCATATTGGGCTACAAAAGATTTTCATCAGTGTGGGAATAGATAAGACATTTAATTCACTTTCATCAAAACTACATCATTTCGGGATTAACATACATATCTTTACTTGATACTTCAAAATTCTGCCAATTTTAATGTATCTTGTTCAGCTCAATTTTTAGCATTATCCTAATTTTAATACACAGGTCTTACATACTAAAGCCAAATAAAATGTAATAGGGTTTAACGTCATACTGTTCTGCTCCTAAACTGGGCTAATGAAGACGGGCATACGTCATACAGTGTGCTATGAGGGCAATTTTACCGGGGCAGTGGCGCTACGGCCTACTCTTATATCAAATTCCAACTGCCAATGGATCTTTTACGTGCTCGCCAATGTGTACATGGGACCTTGGTTTTTCGACCCATCCAAACGACTAGACAGCTGTCCTTGTCAGGTCCCCGTCCTGCATCGCTGACAAGGGGAAACCACACCGGAAAATCTGGACGAACTTTCTCGGCCAATGCAGGGATTGAACACTCGGCCTCCAGGCTAGCGAGCCAGCGTCTTCCTAAAGCCATAACTGTATCTATTGAGATTTATGAAGCGGGGTTGGATGGCCGAATGGTTAGCGTGTGTGTGTTGTATCATAAGGTCTGTTATTGAGTCAACTGGCATATTTTCTCCGGTTGTACGTGACAAGGAGTAGGGTTGCCTGTCCAGACTGGGTTTTCTTTGGGTTCTTCAGTTTCCCACTACTGCTAAAGACCCCTACATGCAAGTGAATTATTGAAATAAAATTGGGCTATATGTTAGTCCCAAAATGAACTCGTTTGTGTCTGTTTGTCTGTCTCTATCTCTCTGTTTCTCTCTCTCTCTGTCTCTCTGAATTAAGATTAAATTCTTTGAAACTAATTCCATGATGACATGTGAATTCACTGACAGGTAAATTCTTCAAATGGTCAACTTCAGATTCTCAGGTTTAAGTTAAGAATTTACTCAATTTTCAATTACTGTTTATGAGAAATATCTTTGATCCAGAAACACAAAACTTTGCACATAGTTTATTATTGATATATTTGATACATTAAAACAACAAAGTTTTATAAAGGGCTATATTTTAGGTAAAATAAGGAGAACAATTTTAAGTAACTTCTTAATTTAAGTCTGAGAATGCTTTGTGAAGTCAGGTCCTGGTGATATTTCCTGAGTTGTTTTCATAACAAATTTTACTCACAGCCTCGACAGCCTTCATTATAGGTGTCTTCCCCTCATCGTCCTTATTAGCCCAATTAACATCTGCTCCATGAGTCAAAGCTTCCAACATAACAGCAAGATTTCTAGCCTCCGCAGCTTTATATAATAATATATTTGGATCTAGTTTACTCATATCTTCCCACGACGTGGTTGATTTTGCATCTCCTTCCTCTTCTTCTTCAGTGGCAGAACCCTCGGAACTATCAAGATCTAAATCTAGTAGAAAAAATAATCAAATAAATAGTTACTGGAGATACACATGCACGAGGCAGGCTATGCTTACATTTTCGATACCCCTTCACTTGCTCAGGCTATGCTTACATTTTCGATACCCCTTCACTTTGCTCAGGGAAATCCATAGTATTCATAACTATTACAAACTCCTCTGAATTACTCACCATATCCAACCTTACTCACATTAGCCAATCAAATAGTCTGTCTCTTACTGAAGCACTCCTGTTAGCCATTCAAATTGTCTGTTTCTGAATCATGTAACTAAGGGACATGGTCACACACACACAGCATGTAACCATGGGACATTGACAAACATTTTGGTTATAAATTTAAACAAAATCAGTTTTTCTGTGCGACAAGACAGTGAGGTAGAATATAGAAGTGCTTAACTGTGAAAGGATAATGCCTTTCATCCCTAAAACTTTAAAATGCTGTTTTAGTTCAGTCAGGCTGTTATTCTGTGACAATAAATTACATTTTACAAATTCTTTTCACAATAAATTCTATTTTGTGTCAATTCAGGAATTAACCATATTAAATATATGTGTGAAAGGCCAGGCGTTTGATTATACGTGCTGGGTAGAGCAATTAAATCAGTTCATTTTTTCCCCCAGTGTAGTCCAAAATCTGCTAAGGAACTTCTATTTATGGGTATAATGCATGAAGCAGGGCATGCTAACTGTAGCCAGAACAACTGATACCACATCTCATTGATTAAGAAACAAATCAATTAATGTTGTTGTAGTTTTGTATATTGTATTTTGTTAGTTATTTCAAAACAAAAATAAATCATAAAAAACTTTGACAACACAACACTTCTTACTTTTACTGAATTCAGCCACTTGTTGTATATCAGTGCCAAAGACAATGACGTCAGGCGAACTGCCACCTAGACCACTGTCACTGTCTTTATTCACCGACGACACCGACATGACAGCTGAAAATGACAAATCAAAACATGGAATGGATGCTGTTAGATGACGTCACAAACTCACAAATTAATTGTTAACATTAACACCACATTTTTACAACAAACTTTATTTCAAAGTTTACACAGTGCTGCTACCTTTCAAACAAAAACTATAGACATAGCATCACTGTGTGCCAATCATCAGACCACTGTTAAAGGATTTACATTGGCTTCCAGTGGAAAGCAGAATTAAGTTCAAATGAAATGAAATGAAATGGAGTTTAACGTCCTACTGTTCTGCTCCTAACCTGGGCTAATGAAGACGGGCATACGCCATACAGTGTGCTATGAGGGAAATTTTGCCCGGACAGCGGCACTACGGCCTACTCTTATATCGAATTCCAACTGCCAAGGGATCTTTTACGTGCACGCCAATGTGTACACGGGACCTCGGTTTTTCGTCCCATCCGAACGACTAGACAGCTTTCCTTGTCAGCCCCTCCGCCCTGCATCACTGACAAGGGAGAACGACGCCGGAAAATCTGGATGAACTTTCTCGGCCAATGCAGGGATCGAACACCCGACCTCCAGGCTAGCGAATTAAGTTCAAACTTCTGTGCATGGCCTACAAATGTCATAAAGGTGACGCACCAGACTACTTGTCCTCAATGTTTGTTTATTATGTCCCCACAAGAAAAACAGAGAGAGAGAAATGGGGTTTAACATCCACTCAACATAAAATAGGTTATTTTAGGACTTACGCATTGGTTCAATTTTATTTCAATAATTTGCTTGCAAGTAGGAATTTTTAGCAGTGGGAGGAAACCGGAGGACACGGAGAAAACCCACAAGGTTGGACAGGTGACCCTACTCCTTGTCACGTACAATCGGGGAATCCCCCAAAAGAAATCTTTGGTCTCAACATGAACATCGTCTTATGATACCGAACTATAGACTTAAGACATTTGGCCATATATGCTTCTCATACACTGTACCAAACCAATGAATTTTCTACCCTTGACCATTATTAACAGTAAAGAAAATAAAAGAAAAATAACCTTTCCTAAATTTCAGACAACCCTGAATTTATCAGAAAATATGAAGGAATACGAAATGAAATGAAATGGGGTTTAATGTCCTACTATTCTGCTCCAACTGGGCTAGTGAAGACGACCATACGCCATACAGTGAGCTAAGGAGAATTTTTGGTCGCACAGTAGCGCTATGGCTTACTATTCTTATATCGAATTCCAACTACCAAGGGCACAGGACTTCGTGTTGTTTTTTTTGTCACATCAGTTGTCCCTTGTAATGCCCTCTGTCCTGCACCACTGACAAGGGGGAACCACGCCAGGAAATCCTGATGAACTTTCTCGGCCAATGCAAGGAAAAGAACAATGAAACCCCAGGTTAGCGAGTCAACATCTTACTCACTGAGCCACCGTGGCTCCCGTGAAAGAATACCAAATGATCTCAAATATCCAGGGTATGTTAAATGTCCGATAAACGGACTGACGACAAAACTGGTTTAAAAACTCAATCTTGAATCTTGAAACCAAAAAATACAAATTCTAAAAAAAAACTGTGTTTATATATCATATATTGTTTTGGGTTTTTTTTTAACATGCAGCAGGTTTGGCTTGAAAATGGATAAGGGAGGCAACTCTCAAAAGGGATGTGACACATGCAAGTGAAGTGCATGAACTGTGTATTGTTTTTTGGTGGAAAACATGCAAAAGGATAGGTTGCCAGGCAACAAAACATACACCCACAACAGCTAAATCGTCAGGGCAGTCAACAAGAGTTGTTGCATATTTTTTCTTTTGTTGATAATGAAACATTTAAGAGTAACAACTTATTAAGTAATTATCAGAAAATCATTAGAATTTGTTTGGCTTCCAGTTCTACCCCATGCTAACGTTTAGTATACAAAACATTTAATATCATGGATTTAGCTGTTCCAGTTATCAAGAATCACTGAAAATTAATATACTTTGTTCAATGGACGGACGGATGGATGGGGGCGATGACAATATATGACCACATTTCAATGTGGGCCTATAAAAACAAAATTACAATATTCTATATTAGTCAGTACAAAATTCACATGTAACAGATACAATTTGGTGAGAGCAGCTGATCGATTTTTGTATTATGCTAGGTTCCCACTAACACGATTCGTGCTACGATTGAAATCGTGGTTTTAATCGTAGTGATCCTATCATCAGGGCTGCCGACAACCAGTATCGCAGCGCAATTTGCGATACATATTTTGTCCGTTGCTTATCAAAAATTGAAATCTAACGTTTTTAATTCACTGTAACTGCGAATCATTAATAATTGACACGAAGATTTATCCACATTTTGAAGACTTTCTCAATATTGTCAACTTTCAACGTGTATAAAATATCAAATAAATTCTATAAGCAAAACCGAATTCTCCGTGTGACATTTTCTTCTCGAACTACCCAGACTCAATTCATTATACTATATAATACAGGGACATAACTCTATGACTAGTGACTATTAAACTGGAAATAGGGAATCAAGTAGTACCACTCATGTTGCAAGACATGACAATTTCAAGTAATTATATCAGTATTCAATTTGGACAAAATAAATTCAGTGTATCCCCCACGTATTGTCAATAAAATATAAAAAATAAATACGTGTAAACGTATTGTAAACTGAGAAATCAAAGTAAGAATTCCCGTAGAATGTTATTGTTTATATCGCGTGCGTCTAGTTAATCGAGATTATTCGTAAAAAAACTGTGTGCGTCCGATTGAAAAAAATAGTAACACACGATAAAAAGCAGACAAAATTGTTTTCTATTGAAGAAATAAGAATTAAAATGAGTGGGACTTCGGAAGCCACTGCCAAGAATTGGCTTCAGACATAACCAAAAGTCTACATTCAGAAATGTTCACAGCTACCTGTAGCAGTGCTAAAATTTTAAAAAATCTTAAGAATGAAATCTAATCATTTGTTATAAATTAAAGTAATCTTGTTATTTAGGTGTTTTATGTTGAAACCGAAAAACTGCTAATCAATTTTTAAATTTGCTAATCAAATTTGGCAAAATTGGACTTTTTGATTAGCAGTGCTGCTAATCATCTGTGAAAAATTACCAACAGCCCTGCTTATCATGTGGTCAGTCGTAGCAATCGTGTTGATCACATTGTAACGTATCTGCATGCACCAGAGTGTGGACTCAATAGCGATAATCCTATCGTAACACATCAAACGATAGTGGGAATCTAGTATTACCAATTTGAACAGGGGATCTTGGTTGTTATCCGATAAGAACAACTCGATACTCCCGGAGTAATACTTGATGTGTGTGCAACTCACCCTCCATCAAACCACTAGCGACATCTTCAGACTCAGAATCCTCTCGGGAATTTTGTTTAGTGGTTGTTACAGATTTACGTATTTTCTTCTTCACGCTCCAACTGCGTATCCGTTCCCCAGACGGTGATTTCGCTCCCGGTAATTTATTGACGAAGGCTTTTTTCACATATTTTGCTCTAATCCACGCTTCTCGTATATTTCTGAATAACAAAGATAGAAATAAAATGAACGTCTACTGAACACAAAACCAAGTACTTTCGGGATTAACACTGTAACCTGGGTAGCATTAAATCTTGTGTATCTAGCATTAATTTCTTTCATTCATTCAATATCAAATCATTGTTTAAAAATTCGTAAAAATTGTTTAAAATCACCAATGATCATCTAATTGGTACTTGTGTCCAGTTTAAAGCTGACCATTCAATTTTGATAATGAGTGTCCAATTTACAAGCATTTAATTTCTTGATCACTTGTGTGCAGGGAGGAAACCGGGGAAACCGGGGAACCCTGAGAAAACCCACAAGGTTGGACAGGCGACCCTACTCCTTGTCACATACAACAGGGGAATCGGTGGGGAGATGGAAATGGTCTTTTTAAGGTCAATTTTACCTTTGAATAATGACCAGGTAAATAAAATAAATGTCAATTTTACCTGTTACTCTCAGGAGTTGCTGGAACGGCTATCGAGTCATTTAACTTGGCCGCGTAAACTCTATTGATGATGTCATTTCCTAGTTCCATCATGACCTTGGTTTGTTCTGGATCCCAGGCATCAAGTGTTATAGATCGTACTTTAGACATATGAACACCAAATGACCTAAAACAATCAAAACCGTCAACAATAAAACATGCATGAAACACAATAAAACAACTGTCCTATTTTTTCATTTAATATAACTTTGCTAAAAATACGATCTGATTAGAACACAGATCCTTTTTCGTTTTGTTTTTTTATAGTTTGTCTTTACTACACTAGGATCTGGAAGAGTTGTTATATAACCCACGTTCTGGATGGGGGGGGGATTAGCCAATGAAAAGGTCTGTTATGGCGAGTTTTTGGTGTGGGGTGCACGGAACTGTAGGAAACCCATTCCAAACATCAATGCCGATTGGTTATTCAAATATCTGACGTCATAGGGTCGTATGACCTCTGACGCGACCTTTCACTAAAACTGGTCAAATCTTCATGTAATGTAGGCCATCGAAAGTATAAAAAAAAAAACGAAATGAAATATAGATCTGTATTTTAATTAGATTGCCAAAAATAAGTTGAACAAGGGAAATAACTCTGTAAGTAATGATTCTTCACATAATTTATATCCATGTATAATTTCCAGTGGGGCCCAACATCAGGGTTAATCAAAAGAATCCCATGGGACAAAGAAGATCTATTGTTTGTATTTAACATAATAGCTAATTGTAAATAGATTGTATATAATTAATATAAAGATAGGTTGCCAGGCAACAAAACATACGCCCACAGCAGCTAAATCGTCCAAGCAGTCGACAAGGGTTGTCACATATTTATTCTTTTGTAGGTAATTAGGGGAATTTAATAGACAATTTCATACAGATGACATTATAATTTTCGTTGTTTGAAGGTTCACAAGGTTCTAAAAACTAAGACAAGGGCTGTAACTCTGGAAGCAATCTACAGAAATTGTTCAAATTCGACAGGCTTTTTTCGTTTTACTAATTCAAATAATGCATATACATTTCATACAGATTGGATGATAACTTTTGTTGTTCGAAAGTTCACAAAGTTCAACAAAGTAAATCAAGGGCCATAACTCTAGACTTAATTGACGGAAATTGCTGACATTCAATAGGCTTGTTCGTCTTCATTTCACTAATTAAGGTGATAACTGAAACTCAATAGGCTTGTTTGTTTTACTTATTTAAATGATACATATAAATTTCATACAGATCGGATAATAACTTTTACAAGGTACAACAAAGTGAAACAAGGGCCATAACTCACGTCGTAATTAACGGAAATTACTGAAATTCAATAGGCTTCTTCGTTTCACTAATTTAAATGATGCATATCAATTTCAAACAGATCGGATGATAACTGTTGTCATTAGAGCGTTCACAACATTCAACGAAGTGAAACAAGGGCCATAACTCTAGATGTAATTAACGGAAATTTCTTAAATTCAATAGGCTTCTTTGTTTTACTAATTTAAATGATGCATATAAATGTCATACAGATCGGTTGATAACTTTTGTCGTTAGAGCATTCACAAGGTGCAACAAAGTGAAACAAGGGCCATAACTCCAGAAGAAATTAACAGAAATTTCTGAAATTCAATAGGCTTCTTCATTTCACTAATTTAAATGATGCATATCAATTTCATACAGATCAGTTGATAACTTTTGTCATTAGAGCATTCACAAGATTCAACAAAGTGAAACAAGGGCCATAACTCTAAATGTAATTAATGGAAATTGTTTAAATTCAAAAGGCTTCTATGTTTTACTAATTTAAATGATGCATATAAATTTCATACAGATCCTTCGGTAACTTTTGTCGTTAGAGCGTTCACAAGGTGCAACAAAGTGAAACAAGGGCCATAACTTCAGAAGAAATTAACGGAAGTTATTGAAATTAAATAGGCTTCTTCATCCCACTAATGCAAACTACATATATCAATTTCAAAACAATCGGTTGATAAATGTAGTCTGTAGAGTGTTCACAAGAAATTGTGAACGATGGACGGACGGACGGACGGACGGGGGCGACAGCAATATACGACCACATTTCCATGTGGGCGAATAAAAAGTTATATATAAATAGATACATTGCATATATTTAATATAAACAGTTAAATGTAAATAGATATATTGCAAATATTTAATATAAACAGCTAAATGTAAATAGATATATTGCATATATTTAATAAAAAAAAGTTAAATGTAAATAGATATATTGCTTATATTTAATATAAACAGTTAAATGTAAATCTATTTACCTGTGTATACCCGAACATTCTATACAGAGTGTGATACCCAGATTAATACTGGCCCATCTTGGATCAGATGCTCCACAATCACAACACTTATCATTACCTGGTATCTGTAACAACTGTTGACTACTGTAATAATAATACACATAACAACTGTTGAATACTGTAATAATACACATAACAACACATAACTGTTGACTACTGTAATAATAATACACATGACAAAATATCACAGCTTCCAAATTAAATCAAATCAGGTCAAACTTTCCAACTTTTCTATTTTTCTTTCATGTTCTCTTATCTGATGACATTCAATTTCTTTTTTGAATTGTCAGATATACTCTTACAGTCTCATATAACAACTTTTGGTCTTCGAAGGAATTTTTAGTGAGCAGAAATTCGCCAATGTATCTGTTATCACCCGTCACTTCAGGCAGTTATAATAGAAGGATAACTTGTGTTTTCCTTTTGCGTTCCTCACTTCCTATTGTTGAAACACTGATTACTCATCTATCGTAGCAATGATCTCTGTGATAAAATAATATTTGGAACGTGTTTAACCAGTTCTATCACATATGTGATAATGACTGGCACCAATATTGTCCTTTAACATCCTACTGTTCTGCTCCAACTGGGCTAATGAAGGCAATATGTCCTACTCTTATATCAAACTTCAACTGCATAGGGATCTTTAACATGCACGCCAATGTATACACAGGACCTTGGCCAATGCAGGTATCGAAACGCGACCTCCGGTCATCAAAGCAAATATGAGGAGATAACTTACATGAAGGCTTTACTTGGTCTAGGTGAAGGTTTTGATTGGGTGTTAGGTATGCTGACACCAGATGCTGGATCTAATACACTAGGCTCACTTGATTCTTCTGGCTATGAAACACACAATAATAAAATAAAACCAAGTACGAACAATCCAAACCATTAGACAAAATTCGAAGTCCTAAAAAAACGGTATAGGCAAAATAGTGTAATAAGGGAAAATAGTGTAATCAGCATATGGCTAATTTAACTCAGATTTGACTAAAGAAAAAGAGATTTATATGATATAACAACTCAGTAATCGAGGCAGATAAATAGGGTTTAATGTCCACTTGACACAAACTAGGTCATTTCAGGAAAAACATATGGTTCAATTTTATTTCAATAATTAGTTTGTGCGTTGGGGGGTCTTTATCAGTAGGAGGAAACCGGAGGACCCTGAGAAAACCCATGAGGTTGGACAGGTGACCCTACTCCTTGTCACATACAACCGGGGAATCGAAACCACGCCAGTTGACTCAATTACAGACATTATGATACAACATGCGCCTGCTAACCATTCGGCCATCCAACCCCCCAACTCAGTAATCAATATAGTAATAAAGTAAAGATACTATTCCCCAAGTAATAAACTTGACAGGACTGTACTGTAGAAGTGGAGTAGTTTTAATCCAGGACACGTTACTTTATTATTTCACTTTTGGTCCCCAACTGTATCTCTGCGATCTGATCTTGCCTGCACTGTACAGGGATTCTTCCATCCATAGACAGGACTTTCAGTAAGGAGTTAATTTGTCACGGTCTTGAATTTTCTCATTTATATAGTATTAATTCTAGTTATGTGGTATTACAGGATGGTTAACATGAGATAATTGATTAATGTTGTATTACTGATAGTGTAATATACAAGTTTACTGTCTGGATAATGCATGTGAATTGTTGAGCTATGTGAGACTACTGGGTGTGATATTAGGATTGAGTAATGTGAGACTACTGGGTGTGATATTAGGATTGAGTATCATAAGACCATGGATGTGATATTAGGATTGAGTAATGTGAGACTGCTGGGTGTGATATTAAGACTGAGTAATGCAAGACTACTGGATGTGATATTAGGATTGAGTAGTGTGAGACTATTGGATGTGATATTAGGATTGAGTAGTGTGAGACTACTGGATGTGATATTAGGATTGAGTAATGTGAGACTACTGAATGTGATATTAGGATTGAGTAATGTGAGACTGTTGAGTGTGATATTAGGACTGAGTAATGTAAAACTACTGGATGTGATATTAGGATTGAGTTATGTATGACTACTGGATGTAAAATTAGGACTGCGTAACATGAGACTACTGGATGTGATATTAGGATTGAGTAGTGTGAGACTATTGGATGTGATATTAGGATTGAGTAGTGTGAGACTACTGGATGTGATATTAGGATTGAGTAGTGTGAGACTACTGGATGTGATATTAGGATTGAGTAATGTGAGACTACTGAATGTGATATTAGGATTGAGTAATGTGAGACTACTGTATGTGATATTAGGATTGAGTTATGTATGACTACTGGATGTAAAATTAGGACTGCGTAACATGAGACTACTGGATGTGATATTAGGACTGAGTAATGTGAGACTGCAGGATGTGATATTAGGACTGCGTAACATGAGACTACTAGATGTGATACTAGGATTGAGTAGTGTGAGACTACTGGATGTGATATTAGGATTGAGTAATGTGAGACTACTGAATGTGATATTAGGATTGAGTAATGTGAGACTACTGGATGTGATATTAGGATTGAGTAATGTGAGACTACTGGATGTGATATTAGGATTGAGTAATATGAGACTACTGGATGTGATATTATTATCAAGTAATGTGAGACTATACTGGTTTAAAATACTTACTGGGTTATTGTTTCGGGTTTGATCTCTGTAAGCCCAGGATATATTATTTATTATAGCATTCATCCATAACTGACATTCATCTTCAGATTCAGCTTGTAACGTGTGACTCCTGCAATGTCAATATTTAGATATCATCAATACCATCAATATTTAGATATCATCAATACCATCAATATTTAGATATCATCAATACCATCAATATTTAGATATCTCTGAGCAAAAATCATCTTGTCTTATTGTATGATATATTTGTTTATGTTTTCAATCTGTTCTGCACAATACGAAGAGCTATTCACATAGTTTGAGGCAGTTTATCGCAGTTTATCGAACAGTTCTGGGAGTCCACAGTATAAAACTGGGTTGAGAGAGAGAGACAAACATTTGAATTTTACATTTTTATAAAGTTAAAGAGAGAGAGAGAGATAGAGAGAGAGAGAGAGAGAGAGAGAGAGAGAGAGAGTGGGGTTTAACGTCCACTTGACACAAACTAACAGTAACATATGGTTCAATTTTATTTCAATAATTCACTTGCGCATAGGGGTCTTTAGCAGTGGGAGGAAAGCATAGGACTTGGAGAAAACCCACGAGGTTGGACAGGTGATCCTACTCCTTGTCACGTACAACCGGGGAATCGAAATCAAGCTAGTTGACTCAATAACAGCGCTAACCATTCGGCCATCCAACCCCCCTCCAGGGCATGAAACTGGGGTAGTCAATACTTACATGTACTAATTAAGTGCTAAAGGGATAAGTTACATTGCTATAGAATTTAATGGGTTTAGAGAAAATCTGAATAAATTCCACAAACCTAGCTGGAGAGAGAACTTCAAAACAAAATCTACGTTCTGTTTCTAGAACTGGTTTAACGGTACATAAACGTAGATCTTCCTCCATTATTGTCAGAGAATCTTTTGATCTTTTACGATAAACCAATTTACCCTCTTTTATTGTAAACCATCTCCTACAAGAAAAGAAAATCCAACATTTTAAATATTGTTGTTTCAGACTTCAAATAATTCACAACATAAATTAAAGGACAATATTGGTGTCAGTCATTATAAAATATGAGATAACTCGTGTATGTCATGTTTGTCCTCACTTCCCGTTTCTTCACGTGCTTGTTACACATCTCCCGTAGCAATGATCTCTGTGTTAAAATTATATTTGGAATGTATTTAACCAGTTCTATCACATATGTAATTATGACTGACACCAATATTGTCCTTTAATAGTCAGCACCAAGAGCGGTTGATTGGCTTAGTAGAAGAGAGCCTGTGTTTGTACGCCACAATCTGATTAAAATACAGATCTATATTTCGTTTCGTTTTTTTATACTTTCGATGGTCTACAATACATGAAGATCTGACCAGTGTAGTGGGAGGTCGCGTTAGAGGTCATACGAGCGTCTTTTGACCCTATGACATCAGACATTTGATTAAACAATCAGCATTGATGTTTCTAATGGATTAACCAAAGTTCCGTGCAAAACACGCTGTTACAGACCATTTCATTGGCTAATCCCTAACACCATCTAGAACACGTCAATGATAACAACTCGTCCACATCCTAGTGTAGTAAAGACAAGTAAAACAAAATTCTAAACTATAAAAAATGAAACGAAATAGGATCTGTGTTTTAATCAGATTGTGTACGCCAAAAAGTAAACATACGTTGGGGCACACATGTGCACACTTCACGTTACAATAAACACTGCAAAAAACTTTTTTCCACATGTGGAAACGCTTACATGTAAACGGTCCTATTATATTTGCATTAGACCCAGTTTTTCATCGGTGGAAATTCAAACATTTAAATGGAAATGGGAAAGCGTGCCTCAAACTGTGTAATTTATATAAATGAATTGATATTCGATAATTTATAATAGACAAGACATTAGTGAGGCTGATGTCCCACACCAAATTGAAAATGTTGAACAGACAGACAAGCCATTTCAATAGTCTTCTGCTTTTTGTCCTGCAAAAATCTAAATACACAGTGCTAGGGTGACCCATGTACTCACAGAAATACAGTCCACCGCTGATAGTTCGAGACCACCACTGAAGCGCGCACATTCGCCGTGCCGAGACCAACTTTCTGACAGTATGATACTATAAATAGCCATGGCACGTGCAATTCTCTACAAATCTATCAACTAATACAGCCGTAAAAAATTTATTGTTGACGATTTTGAATAGCAGTTAAATTAAGCTTCTTGGTTATTACAGCAGATTTAGAAATTACGTTTGTTTCATTTTTTAAATCGCTTTATCATTAACTGTACCGTTAAGAGCGGCATCTTTTGGTTTAGTACAAATAATATCTCTGAATCACTCGGGTTAGGCAGGAACATGATACTAGCAGAAGTTTCATTTTACTTTAACAAGCTTCTTAAAACGATTGTTGAGCTACCTAACGTGCTTATTTCTAAATTCAATTTCTTGTTCTAGCTTTCTGTTACGTTTCGTAAAAAAGTAGTCTTGATTATCCCGACCTGTCAATCAGACGTAGAATGGTCGATAGACTGGTTAAGCGAGACTAATTTCAAAACAAGGGCACGTAACCCATCTTTTACTCAAAAGTGTCTGGATGTTATGGACGACTCTTGGAACCAGTTTTCAGTCTATTATTTATACATGATTAATGGTCATAGCTTATTAAGTACAACATGATTGTTTATTTAGTGACTATAATTGTGTGAAACTGATTTGAGGCTTAACATATATATAAATATTGTGGCGTAATTGTCGAGATATATGGAGATATTTATTTATGGTGGGTCACCCTAACAGTGCAGTGTGTTTTAATAGAAATGATCAACAGCCAAGCTTATCAAATTTCATTTGACCTGCCAAAACATAAAAAAAACTACATAATAATAATAATAATAATACAGACTTTACATCAAAGCTTTAACTTACAAAAACAACACATTAAACTTCAATTAACAGAATATTATTTTTTCCTAAAACATTAAATATTTTTTCACATGAAAAAGTAAGTTGCTGTAATTTCACAGCTAATTTAACTGAATTTCGAAAAAAAAATCAAAACTCTATATTTACAGATGAATTAAGGATGTTAAATAAAATAAAATAAAATGGAGGAAAATTGTCCTACTTTTCTGGATCAACTGCTTACATAAAGCGAGAGAGAGAGGGAGAGAGAGAGATGGGGTTTAACGTCCACTTGACGTCATTTCGGGACTAACATATGGTTTTTAATTTTATTTCAATAATTCGCTAGCGCGTAGGTGTCTTTATCAGTGGGGGAAACCGTAGGACCCGGAGAAAACCCACGAGGTTGGACAGGCAACCCTACTCCTTGTCACGTACAACTGGGGATTCGAAACCACGCCAGTTGACTCAATGACAGACCTTATGATACAGCACGTGCTAACCATTCGGCCATCCAACCCCCCACTTACTTAAAGCAGCATTATGTAAGATTAGATACAGAAAATGAAATGGGGTTTAACGTCCTACTGTTCTGCTTAGATGAAAATCTGACAGTTCCTGCTCTAATAGTTAAAAGATAGATTGCCAGGCAACAAAACATACGCCCACAGCAGCTAAATCGTCTGAGCGGTCAACAAGAGTTGTCGTATATTTATTCTTTTGTAAGTAATTAGGGGCATTTAATAGACAATTTCATACAGATGACATTATAATTTTCTTCGTTTGAGGGTTCACATGGTTCTATAAACTAAAACAAGGGCCATAACTCTAGAAGTAATCTACAGAAATTGTTGAAATTCGACAGGCTTTTTCGTTTTACTAATTCAAATAATGCATATCAATTTCATACAGATCAGATGATAACTTTTGTCGTTCAAACGTTCACAAGGTTCAACAAAGTAAAACAAGGGCCATAACTCTAGAAGTAATTGACGGAAATTACTGACATTCAATAGGCTTCTTCATTTCACTAATTTCAATGATGCATATGAATTTCATACAGATTGGGTTATAACTTATGTCGTTCAAGTGTTCACAAGATTCAACAATGTGAAAGAAGGGCCATAACTCTAGATGTAATTAATGGAAATTTGCTGAAACTCAATAGGCTTGTTCGTTTTACTAATTTAAACGATACATATAAATTTCATACAGATTAGATAATAATTTTTGTCGTAAGAGCATTCTCAAGGTACAACAAAGTTAAACAAGGGCCATAACTCACGGCGTAATTAACGGCAATTGTCGTTAGAGCATTCACAAGGTACAACAAAGTGAAACAAGGGCCATAACTCACGGCGTAATTAACGGAAATTGCTAAAATTCAATAGGCATCTTCGTTGCACTAATTTAAATGATGCATATCAATTTCAAACAGATTGGATGATAATTGTTGTCATTAGAGCATTAACAAGATTCAACAAAGTGAAACACGGGCCATAACTCTAGATGTAATTAACAGAAACTGCTGAAATTCAATAGGCTTCTTTGTTTTACTAATTTAAATGATGCATATAAATTTCATACATATCGGTTGATAACTTTTGTCGTTAGACCATTCACAAGGTGCACCAAAGTGAAACAAGGGCCATAACTCCAGAAGAAATTAACGGAAGTTATTGAAATTAAATAGGCTTCTTCATCTCACTAATGCAAACAACATATATCAATTTCAAAACAATCTGATGATAAATGTAGTCTGTAGAGTGTTCACAAGAAATTGTGGATGCCAGACGGACGGACGGAGGCGACGGCAATATACGACCACATTTCCATGTGGGCGTATAAAAATTTATAATGAAAAAGGAATATGTTGAAAATTTCAGTCATATTTTTTCACTCTGAGCCGAATTATTGCTGATACAAGAACAGTGTAGCCTGGATTGTCATCGCTACCGGTGGTACGATAATAAACAAAGTCTTGATTATCCATTTGTATGTTAAATTATTAACCGCAAATCGTATTTAAATCTGTATAAAATCTAGAGCATCCTATGGCATTAAGAGTTATTTCTAGGTCTTGCTAAATTAATTAATGTCTAATTAATGATATATTTAAGGCCAAAAGAAAGACCTGCAACAGGCAGATTTAGCTCTTGAATAATGCATCTTTACTGAAAGTGGGTTTTACTATTCATATAACTCCCAACTGGCTATTTAAAGAGTTTTTATACAATCTGAATAACCATATGCTTTTTTCTGTGCCAGGCCCTCTGTAACACACAAATGACAAGGCTGGGAAATGCACTCAAGATTTTTCTAGGCCAACATTTACTAGGACTAAAGCCAGGACTGTCTGGTTAATGAGCCATAGTACTCACTGAGTCACCATGCCCCCACAACTATGCATAATTGACTTCATTTCAAGATTCCATCAAAACATTCAATATTCAAAATAATATTTTTAAAGATAAAAAAAAAATAAAAAAAATAAAATTCCAAATGTTCTCACAATAATTTGAACAAGCGTATGAGATTATGTCTGAAGTTTACTTATGTAAAGATAATATTTTCTGTTACATCGGAACTTTATATTTTAAAATAACAGAAAACAAAGCCAACTGGGTAACAAACACATGTCTAATCTTATCATTGATAGGTTTCCGGCCCTAGATGGTTAATAATAAATCTCTTCAAAAACACCAGAAATACCAGTTGACATAAAATAACAAACATTCTAATTTTACAGTTTTATCAAGTTAAAGAGAGAGATGGAAATGGGTTTTAACATCCACTTGACACAAACCAGGTCATTTTGGGACTAATATATGGTTTAAATTTATTTCAATAATTCGCTTGCGCGTAGGGGTCTTTAGCAGTTAGAGGAAATTGGAGGACCCGGAGAAAACCCATGAGTTTGGAAAGGTGACCCTACTCCTTGTCACAACTGGGGAATCGAAACTACACTAGTTGACTCAATGACAGACCTTATGATACAAGGCGCATGCGCTAACCATACCAATAAAGTTAAAGGGACAATAACACTCTTTACTGGCTTGACTGCTACAGAAAATAAATAATAGTCTTATTCTAAGTACTAGATGTTTAAGTGTCCCTACCTGTTGTGTAAATTATCTATTACATCCTATTTTACTTGTCCAGAGGGTTTGAAAATATTTTTAAACCCAAGTCACATTTGAAAAGGTTTACGTTAGGCTTTTCAAATCATTTAGTTGAATTTTTCCAATTTTTTAAATTAGGTGTGTTAAGATGAAAATTGTATCATCAATTAATTGGAATATTGTAAAATAGTACAATTTGTTGACCAGAATAAAGATTGGGACATATTATTCAGTTACAACAAGAGTGGTATTGAGCCTTTAAAGAGAAACTGTCTTACACAATACATCTAGCTTCAGATGTTTAACAATTTTTGCAATATCTTATTTGAATCTGACACAATGCTGTCTTAACACCACCTTGGTGAACTCTAAGAAAACTCTAAAACCATGGGTGAATTCCAGCAGTACTCTAAAATCATAGGTGAATTCCAGGAGAACTCTAAAAAGAGGGCTGATGTCCAGTGCTGTAATGTTTGTAAAAGACTTACCTAACCCAGGTACGAAAGGCGTTAGTTGTTCGTTTAAACAGGTATCCCTCAGTTACAACAATCTTATCTTCATCATCAGTTGATGTCTGATTTGTTGTTGATTTTACTTCCTGTAAATAGATGATATAAATAAATAAAATGTACCTGGACTGCTATGTTACCACATGATCTTCTTCAGTTTCAAAATGTCATTGATTCTTTGTATGTGTGAAATGTGTCCAAGACAGGGTTGGGGGTGATGGACATGTTTGAAACATGCCAAAGGTTCTTCTCAGTTCACACCAGGATTTCAACTCCAGGATCATCTAGACTAGAGTCAACAGTTCAGTCATCGCTTGACTAAAGCAACCCTAGGATCATCTAGACTAGAGTCAACAGTTCAGTCATCGCTTGACTAAAGCAACCCTAGGATCATCTAGACTAGAGTCAACAGTTCTATCATCGACTAAAGCAACCCTAGGATCATCTAGACTAGAGTCAACAGTTCAGTCATCGCTTGACTAAAGCAACCCCAGGATCATCTAGACTAGAGTCAACAGTTCAGTCATCGCTTGACTAAAGCAACCTTAGGATCATCTAGACTAGAGTCAACAGTTCTATCATCGACTAAAGCAACCCCAGGATCATCTAGACTAGAGTCAACAGTTCAGTCATCACTTGACTAAAGCAACCCCAGGATCATCTAGACTAGAGTCAACAGGTCTATCATCGCTTGACTAAAGCAACCCAAGGATCATCTAGACTAAAGCAAACCTAATATTTTAGTTTGAATTAACAAATAGAACAATGGCATGAAATCTTGTGTATTCAAAGGGGGAGCTAGGTGTTCTGAATATTATATTATATTTCTTCGTCATTTACAGAAAATAGGTTGCAAGGCAACCCCCCCTCCCCCACCCTGTCAAAGCTCCTCCGTTCAAGCAGCAGTCCATAAAAAATTTCATATTGTGAATCTTTAGATAATAAAAAGCTAAATCTCTATACTGTAAATATCATTGATCTATGACCAGATTCTACACCATAATCAAGGGCAATAACTTCACAAGTAAATATCAGAAATAGCTGTAACTGCTATTCAATGTGATGATCGAAACAAAGAATATAATCTGAATAATGTACATGGCTTTCATACAACCTGGTTGATAACTTTTTGATTAGAGCATACACAAACGCAATAACTCTAGAAATCATAATTAGAAACTGGGGAATCAAACAGGATTCTTCAACTCAGTAATGTAAATGTAACATAAATAGAGAGTTCACAAGCTGAGGATAGATGTAGTCTGTGGAGTGTTCACAAGATGAAGATAGATGTATTCTGTAGAGAGTTCACAAGCTGAAGATAGATGTAGTCTGTAGAGTGTTCACAAGCTGAAGATAGATGTAGTCTATAGAGAGTTCATAAGCTGAAGATAGATGTAGTCTGTAGCAAGTTCACAAGATGAAGATAGATGTATTCTGTAGAGAGTTCACAAGCTGAAAATAGATGTAGTCTGTAGTAAGTTCACAAGATGAAGATAGATGTAGTGTGTAGAAAGTTCACAAGCTGAAGATAGATGTAGTCTGTAGCAAGTTCACAAGATGAAGATAGATGTAGTCTGTAGAGAGTTCACAAGATGAAGGAAGATAAATGTAGTCTGTAGAGAGTTCACAAGAAATTGAGGAAGAGCACAATACTGGTGTAAGGGGATGTTTTAAGAAGATTCTACAAAGTGATCAAGGGTTATAACTCTGAAGTTTTATAAATTAAACAAAGTTTGACTGTAAGATAAACAAGTGGAGTGTATAATACCAGATAAACAAGTTTTATTGGAGGAGATTATAAACAGCAAGTCTTATTTCAACATCAACCCTCTTCACTCTCTCTCTAGTACATGTACATCTATATCATATACTGTAGTCAACCTAATAAACACACATGCATCAAATAGCCTAATGAAGACAGGTATATGTCATACAGTTTGCTATGAGGGAAATATTGCCCGCACAGCAACTGAATTTGAACAGTCGTGGGTTTGTAACACGCGAAAATGTACACATGACCTCAGTTTTATATGTCAACATGTACATAGTCCATACAATCGGAACCAGAAACATTTTCTTGCTAGGTCCTCCATCCTGTTTGAAAACTTGGTTATAAAATGACTGAATACTAACATCATGTACTGTTTAATAGTGGTATTATGTTCTTTTATATAACACACACCAATAGCTGTGTCAGCAGTATCACTGGCACCAATACAAATGTAGCTGAATCAGCAGTATCACTGGCACCAATTGCTGTATCAGCAGTATTACTGGCACCAATAGTTGTATCAGCAGTATTATTGGCACCAATAGCTGTATCAGCAGTATTATTGACATCAATAGCTGAATCAGCATTATCACTGGCACCAATAGCTGAATCAGCAGTATTATTGGCAGTGTTAGCACCAACGCATAGTAAATTATTAGATTGATAACGTTGAGACAATACTCTTCAAAACATTGCTGTTTTTCATCAGTTATCTATGACATTTCAGGTTCAAGAAGAGACAAATCGAAGAATCACCCTCTTCCAGACCACAGATTGAATCACCTACTTCCAGACCACAGATGGAATCACTCTCTTCCAGACCACAGATTGATCCACCCTCTTCCAGACCACAGATGGAATCACTCTCTTCCAGATCACAGATTGCATCACTATTTTCTATACCACAGATTGAATCATGCTTTTCCAGACCTTTTCACTCTCTTCCAGACCACAGATTGAATCACCCACTTCCAGACCACAGATGGAATCACTCTCTTCCAGACCACAGATTGCATCACTCTCTTCCAGACCACAGATTGAATCACCCTCTTCCAGACCACAGATTGAATCACCCTCTTCCAGACCACAGATGGAATCACTCTCTTCCAGATCACAGATTGCATCACTCTTTTCCAGACCACAGATTGAATCATGCTAGTCTTCCAGACCACAGATTAATCACCCTCTTCCAGTTCACAGATTAATCTGACCAAATTATTCCGTCCTACTTTTAGTAACAAATGCTGGTCTACACCGAAACATTGCATAGTAGATTTAGTAAAAGTACATTTTTTATTTTTTTTAAGAAGAATACGGTTTTCAATACTTGCACGCTCTGTATACATACCAGGTGACTTAAATTATGCTAATTATAAAGGTCAAACAATACTTGTATAAGAGAGGTGTGATTAACTAAGGTCAATATTATAATATGTAAATATTACAGGTCAAGTGTCATGGTATATCTAATAGAGTGTACTTATAATATCCATCATAGCTGTTATTCGATGCTAGACGATACAAGCTACAAGTACATGAAGGAATAATAAAAAAGGTTCACAATTAATTATTGGAACAAATAGTTGCGAAAGGTAAGGTTTTTACTCTATTTGCAAGATTCAAAGCAATTATTGCACAGTTTTAAAAGATTAATATTTTCTTGTGATATTTTCATCATTTTCACTATTGACTTCTTAGGTTTGGGATGAAAAATATTTGGGATCTAGAAATTGACACATGTCGCAACTTGTAATATGAATTTATATAAACTGATTTACATTCAATCGTTTATGTTTTTACTGTAATTTCTAATCCGTTATGTTCGGCGAAATACACCAGAAGTCTCAATCGAAAAGCAATCTCTTGCATCTGGTTTTCCAGTCTACACCGATAGTATTTATTGTGCATGCTCTCCAGATAAGAATATTTCATCACCGTTTGACATGACTTATGGAATATGTCTAGTCTCGTTCATGTACCAAAGGTACGGTGTTTATTTAACTTAAATATTGGATATCAGAAGTCCATCTTTCCCGGTAAGATCATAACATCAATGTTGATTTAAATTGACAAATGATAACCTGCATTATCATTTTCCATTTTTGTGGAAATTCCACACTGGATTTTTAGGACTTGGTTTGTTGATTATTTCAAGTAACTTTTATCTCTGTATTTGTAAGAACTTTACTCAAGAGACAGAGTTGGAATTAGGGCTGTGATATATCGATCTGTAAAATACTGTTTGATCAATATAAAACCGATATGGATCTTGTATTAGTAACATTTTAATAACGTTGAATGTAAAATAAATATCAATATAGAATTTGTTAAAAAGTTGGCAGCTGTAGGACAGTATCTAATCTTTCATGCTAAAATATATGGCACTGAACTAAAAAAAACAAAACAAAATTATCAAGGGTAGATAATTTCTTGGCATGGATGAAAAACAACAGGCAATGTAACCTGGATATCATTTAATCTTGTGTATTTAACACTAACTTCTCTCGTTCATTCAATATCAACTCTTTGTTTAAAAACTCGTAAAAATCATTTAAAATCACCCAAAAACATCTAATTTGTACTTATGTCCCATTTAAAGCTGACTGATTAATTTTGATAATGAGTGTCCAATTTAAAAGTGTTTAATTTCCTGACCCCTATTCAAAAATTAATCATTATACATCAATAATCAATTGGGTTGTTTATTTTTTTAACAGTGATTGAGAAGTTAAATGCTTGTAAATTAGTGCTAAATACACAAGATTAAATGATATCTTGGTTACAATGAGAGTTTCCTAAAACTTATAGGTGGTATTGGTTTGTTTCTATCATCTGAAGAGGATGATTTTTACTACAGAATAATTTTTATTTCACTATTCCCTTTGTTTTTCCTTCGAAAAAGAAGGGGTAGAGTCGCCTGTCCAACCTCATGGGTTTTCTCCGGGTCCACCGGTTTCCTCCCTACGCGCAAGTGAATTATTGAAATAAAATTAAACCATTTGTTAGTCCCAAAAGGACCTAGTTGCGTCGAGTGGACCTTAAACCACATTTCTCTCTCTCTCCCTTTGAAAAGACAGAAGGAGATTGAAACATTTTGGGATTTAATATCTTTTTTAGAGATTCAACATTCACAATATTTGCAAGCCTACAAAGTCTCATTGTAGAAACATACGGGATAATCAATCAATATTAGGGGTTTCAGGGGACAGGGGAAAATACCTTGACAAAAAGGTGAGATAAATACAGAATATATCATATTACAAATTATTTTGTAAACAAGATATTGGGTTACAAGAAACATTGTTGACATGAAGATCATGTTTAAGTGGAGTATAATACTTGTCCAACCAACTTAAAATATAACCATCTATTATTCTGAAAGGGTTCAAGGTTTGACATGAGAATTAACAGCTGTATCATAAAATATATTTTTACATTTAGAAGAACAGTAGGACGTTAAACCCCATTTCATGTTACATTTGAAGATACATGTACACTCTCTCTCTCTCCTCTCTCCAACCCTGGAAATAAGGCACCTGTAGGGGTGATGATCTTCCGTGATCGCGGAAAAAACGCGGAAATCGCGGAATTGTCCACTCAAAACGGAATTTGAAATCTCACACGGAAAAAGATGGAAAAGCCGATATTTGCTGATACTAAACACAAACTCAAAATAATTTTGCAGTTATCCAAGTATTTCATCTTTTCATTCATAAAAATCGGAAATATTGAATGATATCGCGTGGTTTTGTTACTGTCTATTTTAGTATTTCGCTACTTTCATTTCATCATTTAGGAATCATAATTTTAATCGAAACGAAAACCCGTCTTTCATGTATCCCATTATAAAATTACTCTGTAGTTTAACTTGAATTAAACATTGTAATGTATATATATGTCTTAAAAAAAACTTCTGTCACTTCATAAAAGTAAAAATCGTTTCATTTACTTCTTATTTTACTGCCGGGCTCGTGACTCCTGTTTATCAGCATTAACCACGTGACATCAGAAATATACCGTAGCCTTGTGAATCCAGCCCTTATTCTCGAAGAAACAGTAGTAACTACGAAGATGTCTGGATAAATCGCGACTACACCTAGCAGCTGAGAAAAATGGCTTCGTCTGCTAAAAAGATGAAACGAGCTCACAAGATGTAATTTTCTGTTATTTAATTCGGGAAACAGGTTTAAAGAATAACTAGTCATTGAACATTACAAGTCATTCACAATTCAACATTTGTTATCATTGGTTTAAAATGATCCGTTTTGTAATAAAAGGCATTTTAAGATATTTTATTCATTTATTCATAAAATAACATTTTATCTCGAGAAAACGGAATATGGTCAGCTCTGAAACGGAAAATAACGGAATTAAAAATACTTAAAACGGAATTTGCTATTTTCTGAAACGGAAAATCATCACCCCTACACCTGTCACAAACATTGTCAGGAAGAAATTCAGTTTTTGTCACACATCATCATTATCTCCTGGAACATTATCTCACGTTGGTGAGAACCAAACATCAAATTTCGAATACAAGACAATTAATCAGGAGCTTAGTTGAACTGAGTTCTTAAAATTAAACAAAATGTCTGAAATATTTAATATTATATTTGATTTCTTTGGGAATAAATTAATATTTGAAGAGTCCAAGGGAAGAGCAATCTAAGTCACATTTTTGTCTTTTCGCATAAAAGGCAAAAAAAACTTTTGGGATGAGAATGCTTGACAAGAACAGAACAACAAGTGGGTTTAATTACAACTTCAAATTGATGTTTAATACGAATCATAATTACCAGTATAACAACTGACTTCCACTTTTCAGTCAAATTAAGGTCAAATAAAGGGTACAATGGACATATTTGTCCAGGAGGCCATTTCAGAAGGGCCTTGGTTCGATGTGACTGATCGTTTTTACCTGAAATTAATTATTCCACAGAAAGCTTATAGAATTTGCTACCAGATGGCGCCATTAACTGGGGTTCGTTGAAAAAGTGACTTAGATTATTCTTCCCCGGGGCTCTTCATTTTATTTTTTGAATTGTAAATTGAAACTGGTTTGTTGAAATCTTTTAATTCGCCTTGTATCAGAACATCAGTATATCATCAATCAGAGCTCGCTAGCCTGGTGGTCGGGTGTTCGATCCCTGCATTGGATGAGAAAGTTCATTCAGATTTTCCGGCATGGTTCCCTCCTTGTCAGTGATGCAGGAAGGAGGGCCTGACAAGGACCTGTGTACACATTGGCATGCACGTAAAAGATACCTTGACAAGTGGAATTCGATATAAGAGTAGGTCGTAGTGCTGCTGTCCGGGCAAAATTTTCCTCATAGCACACTATATGGCGTATGCCTGTCTTCATTACCCCAGTTCGAAGCAGAACAGTAGGACGTTAAACCCCATTTCATTTCATTTCAGTTCATACATCAGAAATTAAAATCTACTTTTAAAACCTTTATCTCCAAAATAAAATGCTGACTTTTCAAGATTTACACGCGTTCAAATTTAATTGTGTGTTTGGTAATAAATCTGAACAATTCCCCTTTCTACGTTTCATGGATTTCTCAAGGCGAAAGCCTCTTAAAACATGTACATTTTTTTTTATTGTAGTTTAAATAAATTGGGCTACAAATCATTTGCTGCTTCAATGGATTTAATGTGTGGCCAATTGTTTATGACATCACTGGGTGGCCAATTTAATCATAGGGGTATTCAGTTTTCTAAATATGTAATTCAAGAGTTTTCCATACAATTACGTGAAATATGAGATAACTAGTTCTACATGATCACAGACACACAGATAAGTGACTGTTTTACAAGGACAATGTCCTTTAAAGTAAGAAATAAATATCCCCTCAAAAACTCCTCAGTTTATTTTAATTTTTGTGCTTTTTTAAAACTTTTATGTCTCACACACTAACACTATTTATGGCATTCTGATTAAAACACAGATCCTATTTCGTTTCGTTTTTTATAGTTCAAAATTTCGTTTTACTTGTCTTTACTACACTAGAATTTGGAAGAGTTGTTATCATTGACGGGATCTGAATGGTATGAGTAATTAGCCAATGAATCGGTCTGTTACGGCGAGCTTTAGGCGTGTTTTGCAAGCAGTAACAGGCCGTTCCATTGGTTAATCCCTCACTTCAACCAGAAAGCTGGTAATATAACAACTCTTCCAGATCCTAGTGTAGTAAAGACAAGTAAAACGAAATTTTGAACTATAAAAAACGAAACGAAATAGGATCTGTGTTTTAATCAGATGAGTTAAAACGTTAATATTAGTGTTATAAAGTTGTGCTAAAATAAACGTCACTGCATGTTGCATGTTTATAAATCTGTTTACACAATTTCATGTAAACAATTCATTTTATTTGTTTAAACTACAGCATCTGGCAGTTTGGGAAATACAGCTTTCATTTTATTAAAGACATATCATGGGAGATTAGATAAGAGCTGGCAGTTCTTACTATAATAGTTAAAAACTAGATCATGTAAAGGAAATTTGCTGAAAATTTCTGTCAAATTGATCTCCTCTGAACCGAGAATTTAGCGATTGAATTTTGGGTGTAGCCTCGATCGACGATCATCATTACTAAAGTTGGTACAATAAAAACATAGTCTCGATTATCCATTTCTTGATTTAATCATGAATGAGCGTAGGACAGCAGATCGTATCCTAACCCAGTAAATATCGCAGGCTACCGATGACATCGAGAGTTGATTATGGTCTGAATAAGTTAATTAATGTCTAATTAATAATTTAGATAACATTTCAGGCCTAAAGAAAGACCTGCGATAGGCAGATTTAGTTCTTGCATAATGTATGTTTAATCATCAAGCTTTAAAAGTCAAATACAGTCGCATATACAAAATCCCACAACAATGTAGGAAATTTATGATGATAGGATTCTTACTTATACACTAGTCAAGAATCCAAATAATCCTGTTCACAAGCTTAAACGGTAACAGGGAGATAACTACACAATGTTTTATCGAAAAAGACCTCTGACCTGTAGAGCGTTCAAAAGAAATTGTGAACAGACAACAGACGACCAGCCAGACAAACAACCAGTTTCATTCCATTCGGAAAACTGGAAACTACTACCCCAACCCTTTGGCTTTGATTACCACAGCCTCTGTCTATACAGGCATCTATTACCCTGACCCTTTGATTACCACGGCCCCTGTCTATACAAGTATCCAGTACCCCGACCGCTTGACTACTATAGCTTCCGTAACATTATATGTAGGTTTCAAGTTAAATGTTTAAGTTAAATCATCCCAAGTTTCTAGCATTAAAATAGATGTTCATTTTAAATTTAAAGTAAGTTTTTCTACAAGTAGAGGATTGTAATCAATGTAATGTGTTTATTCTAAATATAACTTCACAGGTCTGTTATTCACCAATGTTTAGTCTGTTTTGTATTAAGTATCTACTTATCCTAGCTATTAACTATTCTTAATTTTAGATGTAATCACATGGGTGGTAATAACCTGTCCAGTAACCATAAGCGAGAGAGAGGGAGAAATGGGGTTTAACATCCACCTGACACAAACTAGGTCATTTCGAGACAAACACATAGTTCAATTTTATTTCAATAATTTGCTTGTGCATAGGGGTCTTTAGCAGTGGGAGGAAACTGGAGAACCGGAGTAAACCCTACTCCTTGTCACGACACCACAAAATTTTGACTCAATGACATACCTTATGATACAACGCGTACACGCTAACCATTCGGCCATCCAACCCTCCATAGTCAGAAGCACCTTGCAGTAGTCACGCAACCTTTTTATCTGGAATACCTGACATCACATTGTTAACCAATTCTTTTTTTACTTTTATTTTTTAGGACTAGACAATCAAGAGTTAAAGAATGAGACAGGTATATACATCAACTTAAAATGGCTTTTTACTGGATAATTGTGACTTTAGTAGCTATACTTGTTAATAATGTTACTGGATGTCCACAGCAATGTCGATCATGTGCCAATAATGTAGCTGACTGTAGCGAGGCAAGCATCAATAGTCCACCTAAAAATTTTGCAGAGGGAATATCCATAATAAACTTAAGCAGCAATAGATTTTCTGTTCTCGGTCCAAGATCATTTCAGCGACTTGCGTCGGTAGAAATTTTGAAGGTACGTGGGAATCGAATCCGTGTGATTCGATCATCCGCTTTTCGTAACTTCCGAAATTTAATGACCCTGGATTTAGCTGATAATCAGATTGTGAAGATTTATGGGCGGGGATTTCTGGGGATGAGAAACTTAGAGACATTGACATTATCCAATAATCGTCTTAGGTCGTCATCGCGGATTTTCTCATATACGCCAAAACTTTATCAACTGAATCTTGCCTTTAATGCTATAAAGAAAGTAGGCGATGGCGACTTCTCCAATTGTAGAAATCTTCATCAATTAGATCTACGTGGTAATCAGATAACCAGTATCCATAGAAACGCGTTCCAAAACCTTGTTAATTTACGCACGTTGTTTTTGAACAGCAATCCTATAGCAATTCTTCCCGACCTCAATTTCGGAAGCCAGGTCTTAAATTTATTGGACTTTTCCGAATGTCAACTGACACGAATTCCCAAAACTCTTCCAGCATCGATTGGTGACTTACGATTCAACAAAAACAAACTAACCAGAATTAACCAATCAGATTTAGCCAATGTGACAGGACTAAAAATGATTACGCTAAACTATAATGAAATTGACATTGTTGAATATTTTGCGCTGGGTAATGCCCTTGGATTAAAAGAAGTTTGGTTACGTGGCAACAAGCTTGTGTACATTCCTCGCGGACTTCCAGATAGCGTCACACAACTACACATGGGCTCAAACATAGTCTATCAAATCGAAGGACGACTTTTCTCGAACAAATCTCAATTAGAGTTTGTGGATATAATGGACAATAATGTGGTGAATATCAGTAGCCAAGCTTTCAAAGATCTGAAAAAATTACGAATTTTAAATTTTCAAGGGAATCAACTGGAAGACATTAAGCCTGGAACGTTTACCAACCTGAATAACTTGACATCATTACTTCTCGCTAACAACCCCATTACAACCATTCATGATGGAGCATTTAGTAACCTTGCCAACCTTACCACCTTGACTATCAATTACAACCCCGTAGAGGATGTGTTTTTTGAGGAAAACTTTCTGGAAGCAATGCCAAAATTAGAAACGCTTGATTTAATGGCGAGTCCTGGAATGACCAAAAATCTCCTGCGACTTCTTGATGGTACCAATCTTGTAATGGAACATGTTAAGATGGTGTCACTGACATACAATAATTTGCATAAACTGGCGCCAATTTTCCGACAAGTATTTCCCAATATAGAAAAAGTGACATTAGATGGAAATGCTTGGATTTGTGACGACAAACTTTTGTGGTTAAAACAATGGATTGATTCAGCCAGTTCTGATGTCGTGTTTTACGAATATTCTCCTCCGAAATGTGAGACTCCGTATGGTTTGAATGGACAGGAAATACATGAAGTTCCAGACAGGGATTTCATAGCTCCAGACGAGAATATGTTGAATGATTTCCCGTACTGGTTGATAGAAGAAGAGTTTAAAGATTTCAACGAAGGTCAATATGATAGGACTAGCGATGACAAGGTGAAAGACAAACAATACGATAGAAAAGGTGACAAGGTCAAGGACAAACAATACCACAGAACAGATGACAAGGTCAAGGACACACAATACCACAAAACAGGTGACAAGGTCAAGGACACACAATACCACAAAACAGATGACATGGTCAAACAATACCACAAAACAGATGACAATGTCAAGGACAAACAATACCGCAGAACGGATGACAAGGTCAAACTATACCAAAGAACAGATGACAAGGTCAAGAACAAACAATACCAAAGAACAGATGACAAGGTCAAGGACGATGAAAAGGTAAACAAGCCGAAGGTTAGCCAAAAGGTCAAAGATCAAGAAAGAAACCAAGCTGTGAAGAAGGAGAGAAGAAACAAGAAGAAATCAGAAAGAAAACTTTCCAAAATTGACAAGAAACCATCAGTGAAGAAAGCAAGTGAAAGAACTCAATCAGATGATAAATTAAAGCCAATCAAAACTGCTGTTTCAACAGATTCTAACCAACCCTTGGCAACAGAGCAAAATAAAGTCTTAACCAACAACGATAGCATACCTCCAACACCAATGAGTCGTCAACAAAAGTCAAGAGGTAATGGCCGTAAACATAAAGGTAAAGGTCGCAAACATCGAGGAAAGGGTAGAAAGAGAAATCGTCAACATAAAAAGAGAAAAGAGAAAGAAAGATTGAGAAAACGTAATCCTGTGTGAGTAGATGTTCCATATTCAACATTATAACTTTCACATGTTGACGTATCAGAGTGGGAGGTGCTTGTTACACAATGCATGTTATTCTAACCAATGAGAAACTAGGTGCTAATGTGTCTAACCAATCAGTAATAACATATCATTTTAATTCATATAACTTTTCAAAAAGACAATAGAGATCATAATTGTTTACTTTATTTATATAACCTGGAACCAATATGTATACTGATGATTTGTAATAAATTAAGTTACATGTAGATCAGTGGTATGTACATGACACCCTACAGATCTGCACATGGAATCAATACTGATGATTTGTGATAAATTAAGTTACATTTTGATCAGTGATATGTACATGACAACCTACAGATCTTAACAGTATTTATATTATCTCTTGAATCAAGAAAATAAATGTAATTTAATAAACTCCATATTTAAAATAACCCAATTTGTTCAATATTTTGGGCGAATGAAGAGAAATGGGGTTTATCGTGCACTCGACACAAACTAGGTCATTTTGGGACTAACATATGGTTCAATTTTATTTCTATAATTAGTTTGCGCGTATGGGTCTTTAGCAGTGGGAGGAAACTGGAGGACCTGGAGATGAGGTTGGGAAGGCGACCCTAGTCCTTGTCACGTACAACCGGGAATCGAAACCACGCCAGTTGAATCAATGACAGACCTTATGATACAGCTCGCACGCTCTAACAATTCAGCCATCTAACACCCTAATTTTTGGCGGAGTAAAGAATGTGATGGAGATCGACGTGGGATGTGTTTCAAAGGTTTTAAATGAGCATCAAGGGGGCGCGGCCTATCCATCGCATAATAACATGGTATATCCAGGAGGCGTGGCTTATCCAATGCATGCGATATAACATGGTATATCCAGGTGGGTGTGGCTAATTACTTGGCATGTCCTGGGGGAGGGGTCTATCCTTGGCTATAAGAACAAACTATCAACATTAGCTCGTTATTATAATGTCCCTAAATATTTTATAGGAATGACCCTGTACATAGTTTAATTCTGTATGATGTATGACTTTGGCTATATAGTAAAAGAAGAAGAAACCTACCTTTTGTTGGACTAATGTATGACGTTCTTCCATTTCCTTCCTTTCTACTTTTGCTTTAGCACTTAATTCATCCACCTGAATATAAATAATGCAAATCATGAAACCACGTCAGAAAAACCCAATGAACTTTCTCAGTCAAAATCAGGAACGAACCCGCGACTTCAAGACTAACAAGCCAGCATCTTACCCACTTAGCCACCTTATTTAGTACACTTAAGAAATCTGTGCAAGAAAGAAATAATGACAGAGATGTCACTAATCTTGATGGACGGCTGTCATCTGCTGTAGCATTATTAAGAAGAATTTTAAAAACACTACAATATGGATTGTAAGTTAAATCTGTCATATACCCCCACAAGTTTGCCTTATTGACTTAATTAATCCAACCCCTAAATCAGTCCTATTTTCTTTTGCCCTAAATCAGTCCAATGTCTTATCCTAAATCAGTCATTTGCCCCATCGCCCTTAATCAGGCATATGCCCCATTGCCCTTAATCAGACATATGCCCCATTGCCCATAATCAGTAATATGCCCCATGGCCCTTAATCGGCATATGCGCCATTGCCGTAAATCGGTCATATGTAAACATCCTGCGTGTATGAATCCACATCATTTAACTTTATACTGATATATAACGCTTGACAGTGGGCAGATTGTAGTTGAATACCAGCCAGACATAACCAAAGGGAGAGAGAGAGAGAGAGAAATGGGGTTTAACGTCCACTCGACACAAACTATATCATTTCGGGACTAACACACGGTTCAATTTTTATTTTCATAATTCGCTTGCGCGTAGGGGTCTTTAGCAGTGGGAGGAAACCGGAAAACCCCGGAGAAAACCCATGAGGCTGGACAGGCGACCCTACTCCTTGTCACGTACAACCGGGGAATCAAAAACACGACAGTTGACTCAATAACAGACTTTATGATACAGCACGCATGTGCTAACCATTCAGCCATCCACCACCCCCCCTCCCCATAACGAAAGGACTCTGGTGCTATCAGCAAGACATAACGAAATGGATGGATATTAAACAAACTGACCTGGGATGCGACATCTTTCATATAAACTTCTAAATCAGCAAATAAATCATGACCTTGATGAAAAAATGTATTCTGAGCGTGCATAAATGACAACATCTGAAACAAATAAAATCAAAAATTAAATCTAAACATGCCAAGAAATAAAAGTCATGTTTTAATATAAAAGTGTCTCAAACTTACTCTAGTTGTAAAAAGAATAATTTGGTAATCAAAACAATAACATGATTCAGAAAACCTGACAAAAACGTATGGCTGTGGATGTAAACTATCTCAAGTGAGATAGGCAAACCATAACCTTCATCAATTCATTTAGTAATTAGTAAAGAATAAGTCTACTACAAAAGTTCTTTTGTCAGCTCAATTCAGCTACAGCATATTCAGATTTTTGGTGCTGTAGTAGAAAAATCCTAATTTTAAGCATAGTCATGCTTTACTAATTAATTGTGCAGCAAATAATTTCTCATTAGATGTTGTGTAGTAAGCGTGACCGATTATTCCTTCGTTTCCTGACTAACAATGACATACATCTACATCAATTACCATGACAATCAAGGTATTTTAATGTGTAATATATTTTAATAAGTCACTACCGGTAATCGTATCTGTGTATTGGCCAACATGTTTCACTGATAGTAGCCATATCGGTACAACACAATTTTGATTTGCCATTCAGTGGTTAAATTTCCCAGTAAGATGGGTCTGCAAACATTGTTAACAGTGCGTCAATAGTATTATAAGAGCAAAGGCCTAAGAATTTAATCACTTCTTTGACATTCTATGAGTTGGCCAATTCTTAACACACTGTCTGGCACCTTCCCTACTAAAGACATGACTTAGGAAAGAAACACCCATTTGAGTCATGTGCACTCCTTTGGGTCCATTTTTAGTTTGAGTCCAATAGTCTTCAAAATACTTGTTCCAAATTTAATAAGTAATTTTTAAACATTTTTTAAAAAATTATTATGTCTTCTAAATACATTATGCATTTTTTAAATACCAATTTTTTCATTACACGTTAAAAAGTGGAAGAGCATTCCAAAACCCAAATGGCACAGTTTGTTCAAAATTGCTGCTGTGTACAGCAAATGAAGATTTCTGTCTAACATTATTATCTAACTCGACTGGACAAAAGCAGCTTTGCAAACCAACTGTCGAGTATGAACAGAACCAGAAACAGTTTCGATTTGTGGAAACAGTAAACGGCTATCACTTATCAGGTGTGTTGTGACCTAGTCTATGCAAAAGAGAGAGAGAGAGAGAGAGAGAGATGGGGTTTAACGTCCACTCGACACAAACTAGGTCATTTCGGGACTAACATATGGTTTAATTTTTTATTTATTTCAATAATTCGCTTGCGCGTAGGGGTCTTTAGCAGTGGGGGGAAACCGGAGGACCCGGAGAAAACCCACGAGGTTGGACAGGCGACCCTACTCCTTGTCACGTACAACCGGGGATTCGAAACCACGCCAGTTGACTCAAGGACAGACCTTATGATACAGCGCGCGCTAACCATTCGGCCATCCAACTCCCCTCTATGCAAAAGAGTTACGTAACTAAACATTTTGCATATATAACTGTGAAAGGTCTATATAAAGGGAATTAACTCTAACATGTAACTTACTGTTCCTAATACTTCAAATCTTTTCTTCGACTGTAAAACATTGATCTGAAAAAAAAATATAAGTTGGATAATATCTGGAATCAAGAACACTTCTGACAGTGTCATTTCGTTTACTAATATCTGGTGACGGTGGCATTTGATTTACTAATGTCTGCTGACAGTGGCATTTGATTTACTAATGAATACACACAAATTTTTCTGTGATTATTGACTTATTTACTTTCCCTTCCACATTTTTTAGCAGAGGAATATTTGATGTAAATGCCAGGAAAGGGGGCTGATTGCATACAGCATCTCAAACAGAAATAACTGAAGTAAACACCTGTAATTTGCTTTACCTGAAAGACGTAATCAAGAGAAGTGTGAGCAAAACAAGATTTCATGGCTGTTAAAACATTATATGCTTCCTCACATTCAGGTTGCTTAGATCTCTGAGCAGATGCATTCCTTATTAAGGCATTGTCCATATCATCACTAATCTTCTCAAAATGTTTCCTTGCTTCCTTCACTTTACGTACATCACTAAAATAAAAACAACACAGAAAATTACAAACGTTTTTAGTTTTAATGAATTATGAAATTGTGTGCAGCTGTCTCAGATTCTTTCACTTGATATATACAGTAGGCCTACCGCTGATTTCGTAAACTCAATGTTGGTTCTGAAATCTCTTTCATTAAATCCCTTAAAGTAAGTTCACTATTAAAAAATTCTGGATTTCAAAAAGATTCTGTCATGATCCCAAATAATGATGGAGATCAGTTGCCCGGGTGACAGGTTACCATGGTGATGCCATCTGTATGGTTACCATGGTGACACAAAATCTGTATGGTTACCCTGCAGCTCATTTAATACCTATTCCATGCCTGATCAACAGCATTTATGACAATAAATAGAACTATTAAATAATTGCAAAAGATAATGTTTCAGGTACATGTATTGTAAATATATAAGGATTGAATGTTGCATTTTTGAGGTTTATAAATTTCTCTTGGTTGCCACACCCACAATAAACAGTGAGATAAAATATCATCTTACTTTTTAATAAAATTATTTAAATTTTTACAAACACAGCGATTAGCTTGGTCCATTAATATCTGAAAACAGAAAATATTAAAATATTGATAGAATGCTACAAACAAATTCTCTTTCCCTATGGTTGCAAACAGAAGTAGATCATGTTGAATACACCACCGAGACAGTAAAATAACGGAAGACAACAGTAATTCAAATGAACAAAGTGTTATAAATGACAAAATGGGGATATTTATAATGAAGAATATCTGTGGCATGTTCAAAGCACAGCCTGTCATTACCATGGTTCAGGGCACTACATATTATCATACTTCAGGGCAATGAACATTATTACCATGGTCACAAAGAGAGAGAAACTAGGTCATTTCGGGACTAACACATGGTTCAATTTTATTTCAATAATTCGCTTGCACGTAGGGATCTTTAGCAGTAGGAGGAAACTGGAGGACCTGGAAAAAACCCACAAGGTTGGACAGGCGACTCTACTCCTTGTCACACACAACCGGGGAATCGAAAATACGCCAGTTGACTCAATGACAGACCTTATGATACAGCACGCATGTGCTAACCATTCGGCCATCCAACCCCCCACCATGGTCACAGTTCAGAGCAATGTTTTCTGGGATACTGGTAAAGTTGGATGACCAGCCATAACCATATTTATTTTTATTACCAGTCAGTCATGCTGTAAAACAGTTATTTTTTTCATACACCAGTACCCATCGTGGAATTAAGAGATAGACCAGCTAGTCAGAATACAACACACGATAATGCTAGTTTCTTTTCATATAAATATATGAAATATATACTATTCAAAAAAAGTAGGGGATATTTGATTTTGGGGGCATAATACTAAAATATGCAAATGACTACGAAAAAAGTCACTATAGAACCTAACAGAAGAAACATTTCCAGTTACATGTGACGCCCAAACGCACCAATAGCTACCGCATGGAATGCAGGTGATGCTTGGGATCATCATGGGGGTCCAACCCAAGATTTGCACGACTCTGACTTTGAATGTTACAGTCATTGTGGCATTGAATTCCAGGGTGGAAACATCAGTTTAATTGTTTTAGTGACCAGAAAACAAATTTTGATATGCGTCGGCTTACCCAAAATGAAAGGTTACTTGCCCTTGGCATGCTACAGATCGGCACAACACAGGCGGTTGTGGCGCGGACGATGAATGTTTCTCAGTCTGTCATAAGCAGGCTATGGTCCAGATACCGTGATACACAATCTGTACAGGACAGACCACGCTCAGGTCGACCAAGGGCGACAACTCAAGCCCAGGATCGATTTATCCGTACCTTGGCCTTGAGAAATCGTGTCATCACAGCAAATCAGATCAGCGCTCGTCTTCAAACAGACACTGGTGTGAGAGTGAGTGGCCAGACGATTCGGAATCGACTGCATAGGGGTCACCTTCGCGCCCGACGTCCTCGCGTGATCCCTTGTTTGAGAGATCATCACATTCAGGCAAGACGTCGTTGGTGTAGGGATCGTCAACACTGGGATAATCGACGCTGGAGCAATGTGATGTTTTCAGATGAGTCAAGGTTCACTGTTGATTTTTTTGACAGACGTAGGAGGGTGTGGCGTCGTCGAAACGAGCGCTTCCAAGACGTTAACGTCATCAGACATGATCGATTTGGGGGTGGTTCTGTTATGGTGTGGGGAGGCATCACTGTTGCTGGAAGAACGGCTTTACATGTTGTTGCAGGGCGTGTTACAGGCCAGTACTACCGGGACAACATCTTGGCAGTCCATGTTGTGCCGTTCGCACGACGTCATGGCCGCCGTTTCATCTTCCAGGATGATAACGCAAGATGTCACAGGGCCAGGATCGTTACAGGTTACCTCCAACAACAGAACATCACCACATTACCTTGGCCAGCACTGAGTCCCGACCTCTCCCCCATCGAGCATGTCTCGGACATGCTTGGACAGAGGTTACGTCAACGTCAACAACGTCCTGCCAATGTCCAAGAACTTGCTGCTGCGTTGCAACAGGAATGGGACAATCTGGACCAAAATGACCTTAGACGTCTCATTAGGAGTATGCCACGTCGGATCAATGCTTGTTTGGCAAACGGAGGAGGATTTACCCGTTACTGACTTGGTTGTGATGCTGTGGTAACTTTGCTGTTTGACCCCGGGTATCATTTTACCCTTATAATGGTCAGTCTGTGCCTTACTTAGTCTAACGATCATTTGGAATAAATCGATGAATGTGAACTTCATTTCATTTTGTCATTTGTTTCTTCGTCAGTTTCATTAGGTGACTTTAATAACACTTAAAAATCAAATATCCCCTACTTTTTTTGAATAGTATATATAAATATGTATAAAATAAACTTACACTAAAATATTTCAACATTTCATTCATTGCATGGGCAAATCGACTTAAACTGGCCTGAAAATATAGTACAATTAGACTAATAAGATATAGTTCAAAATCTTAGGTTAAATTCCTAAAGATGATTAAATGTACTGATGGAGCTATCCATCTGCCTCTGTTTCATTCTAGTAGTTAAAAATGATCTTTTCTACTTTTATTTTCTTCCTTTAAAACAACAAGAGAAGTATGCTAATCATGAATTATTCTGTATATATGTATAATGGAGAGAGAGAGATGGGGTTTAACGCCCACTCGACACAAACTAGGTTTATTTCGGGACTAACACATGGTTCAATTTTATTTCAATAATTCGCTTGCGTGTAGGGGTCTTTAGCAGTGGGAGGAAACTGGAGGACCCGGAGAAAACCGACAAAGTTGGACAGAGTTTACAAAAGAAATGAGGATTGAAATTAGTAGATATATGATCGGGACCCCCCAAAACACACCACTCTTAAATATGCAATATGCAAGAGCTAAATCTGCCTATTGCAGGTCTTTCTTTAGGCCTTAAATGTTACATAAATTATTGATTAGACATTTATCAACTTGTCAAGGTCATAATCAACTCTCGATGCCATCGGATGCTCGAGAATTTCAACGGATTTAAACATGATTGACAGTTAATGATTTAATAAAAAAAATGGATAATCAAGACTTTGTTTACTATCGTAGTCAAATATTGCGCTTTGGGGCTCTCGTTCTTATATTTACTACATGTAATTCTAGGCCTCCATGTGTTTTTTCTCCAGATGTTAATTTAAAATTTGCATTGTATATAAATATATAAATAGGTCTGTCTAGCTTCTGGACTACATGTATATACATTGTATAAAAATAGGCTAGACTAGCTCCTGGATCATATAAACATTGTATATAAATATAAATCAATGAAATAATATTATTTTAGTTTCTATCCTTTCGATATCAAATTTGTTTTAGACAATTCAGGAGTCAAATCCAGTCACTATAATTGTCACAAATCTGACACCCAATAATTACCCATTTTACAGAGCTACTAAATCTGGCATGATCTGCTACCACCAGATACCATATCCTAGCATGATCTGATACCAACTGACATCATATACTAGCATGATCTGATACCATCAGATACCATATAGTAGCATGATCTGATATTATCAGATACCATATAGTAGCATGATCTGATATCAGATACCATATAGTAGCATGATCTGATACCATCAGATACCATATAGTAGCATGATCTGATGCCATCAGATACCATTTAGTAGCATGATCTGATACCATCAGATACCATAGCCTAACATGATCTAATACCAACTGACACCATACACTAGCATGATCTGATACCATCAGATACCATATTCTAGCATGATTCTACCAAATGAAACCAAAGTCTAGCATAGGCTGGTATCAACTGACACCAATACTATCAGACACCATAACCTGGCTTGTCAATGCCAACATTCTGATAAAGCCTACATCTAGCTAGCCATATCTAACACCACTGGAAACCATACCAAGCCTACATCTAGCCATATCCAACACCCCTGGAAACCATACCAAGCCTACATCTAGCTATATCCAACACCCCTAGAAACCATACCAAGCCTTAGGCATTCATCCAACCCTATAACTCTAATGTTAGCTCTAAATGTTAACTTCTTTGACATTTTTTTTAGCCAATCAACTACATTCTACAAATTTGCAGACCAATAAAACCCTAGTGTTTTTTTCAAACTCAAGAAATATCAGAAAATTAATTTAAGTTCTGATCATTCAACGCCTGTGTATAATACACCAGTGATTGTTGTCCCGTATAATTCTCTTAGTTTTGTAATAAGTTGTCTTTCACCAATAACACTTAATGAGTTTGAGATTCAAGTGAGACTGTTAAAAATCTTAGTCTTATGAACTTTACAAAGTTCAAATAGAGAGAGAGAAATGGGGTTTTATTGTCCACTTGACACAAACTAGGTCATTTTGGGACTAACATATGGTTCAACAATTTGCTTGCGGGTAGGGGTCTTTAGCAGTGGGAGGAAACCGGAGTACCCTACTCCTTGTCACGTACAACCGGGGAATCGAAACCACGCCAGTTGACTCAATGAACCTTATGAACTATTCGGCCATCCAACAACCCCCCCCCCCCCTTAATGAGTTTGAACTTCAAGTGAGACTGTTAAAAATCTAAGTTTTATTAACTTTACAAACTTCAAATAAATGGATTATCCAAGGCAATGCAACTATAATCTGTTTGTAAATATGTTAAACATACATTATACAAGAGCTGAATCTGCTTACTTCAGGTCTTTCTTTAGGCCTGAAATGTTATCTAAATTATTAATTAGACCTTAATTAACTTATCCAGCCCATAATCAACTCTCAATGTCATCGCTAGCCTGCAATATTTATTGGATTATATGTGTTGCTTTCATTCATGATTTAATCATGAAATGGATAATCAAGACTATGTTTTTTTATCATACCGACTTTAGTAATGATGATCGAGGCAAGGCTGAAAATTCAATCGCTAAATTCTCGGTTCAGAGTGGATCAATTTGACTGAAATTTTCAGCATATTCCCTTTACATTATCTAGTTTTTAACTATTATAGTGAGAACTGACAGCTCTTTATCTAATCTCCCATAATGTATGTTTAATTATATATATATACAGTTATATCTGTAATTATTTTACACAGAAGATTGTATTGGTATTTATAAGATTGTGAATTGTCATATTTTTTTATAGGAGTAAATTGTTCATATGTTCATCATGGTTTTTTTTATAGTTTAAATACAAGTTCGTGGCTTTCCTTATTGATATTATATAACTGTAACGAGGAAAAAATTAAAAATATATATTCTAGTTACTTTATCAATAATGGCTTAAGGAAAAACATAAAAATAAAGACATGGTAAAGTCAGTTGTCTACATGAATGTAATCAGAATTTATAACATTAACCTGGAATCCCATAATACCAAATTATATAAACTCTACTGTAACGTTTTTGTTGACTTTATTGTGGCCATACATATGTAATGGGCAGTATATTCTCCAAATCCAAGTTGGGCATTACCTAAATGACTAATAATAATACTTTTCACTTATTGGTCTGAAAACAGTCGAAAATTTCCAGGTGTAACATCATAGTGCCCACACTAGTTTACATCTGGATGCCCAATATCTTGGTCCCAGAACGTCGTTCTAATATTCAGGGACTCCAATGTTCGGGGTTCGGGGAGGGGGAGGGTGTGGGGGCGGGCTTATCCAGGAAGACAGGAAGCCAGTCTAATCTTCAGGAACTCGGAGGGGGGGGGGGGGGGGCAGGAAGTCAGTCTAATCTTCAGGAACTCAGGGAGATTGAGATAAAAAATATATCTCCTTATACAGCAGAGCAATCTGGTGTTTTGTACAGGAAGTTCTGTACAGGAAGTCAAGATTCAAACTCTTTCACAATGCAAAAATAAATTCACATGCTTACAGTATTACATATCAGTAATGCTTGGAAATCAATATGACGTATGCCTAGTTATGCTGTTTTCATGCAGTTTCTATATTTCATTTGTTCTCAAATTAATAGTAATGCGGGTTGGGGGTGGACACTATGCCTAGTTGCATTAAATGATTTCATGCTACATTCAAACTGTTTTTGAACATTTCAAATTTGGCACCACTAGTGTGGTCTTTTATTCCGTTCCAAATTTGAACAATCTGCAAAATTCTAAATATCCATATGGGGCTAAATTATAAAAATGCACAAATAAAGAAGAAGCATGCAATGAAAAAACTTGAAATAAAAACAGAAACTGAAATAATTTCATATTTAAATTAATAATAGTGTCTACAGTAACACAAGTCTACTTTGTTCTTTAATGGGCGTCCTCGCTGAAGGAATTCCCACCAGGTGTCGCCAGTAAAAAGGCGGTTCCACGTGACCATGTCGATGGTAAAAGGACCGTGTTTCAACGTATAGGGATTAAATTCCATATTAATGACAAAAACTAACGTTTATCAACACATCAGTTTGTATAGCACGTACAGGAAAACAATGCTGTGCGGTATACAATGAGGTCATGTGGGACCGGCTCCTCTTTGAAATGATGTCCCTTTATCTCTAGCGAGGACGCCCATTGATCAATTAGCATGTGATACTATCGGTTTACCTGTGGACAGTGGAAAACATCAATAAGTTACTAGCTATTGACAGTGGTGTAAATACTGTATGTGTGATATACATGTACTGAATATTCCCCTAGTTTTATAAGGTATGTGTGGTATACTGAATATACCCTTAGTTTTATAAGGTATGTGTGATATACTGAATATTCCTCTAGTTTTATAAGGTATTTGTGATATACTGAATATTCCCCTAGTTTTATAAGGTATGTGGATATACTGAATATTCCTCTAGTTTTATAAGGTATGTGTGGTATACCTCTAGTTTTATAAGGTATTTGTGATATACTGAATATTCCCCTAGTTTAATAAGGTATGTGTGATATACTGAATATTCCCCTAGTTTTATAAGGTATGTGTGATATACTGAATATTCCCCTAGTTTTATAAGGTATGTGATATACTGAATATTCCCCTAGTTTTATAAGGTATGTGTGATATATTGAATATTCCCCTAGTTTTATAAGGTATGTGATATACTGAATATTCCTCTAGTTTTATAAGTATGTGTGATATGAATATTCCCCTAGTTTTATAAGGTATGTGTGATATACTGAATATTCCTCTAGTTTTATAAGGTATGTGTGATATATTGAATATTACCCTAGTTTTATAAGGTATGTGTGATATACTGAATATTCCCCTAGTTTTATAAGGTATGTGATATACTGAATATTCCCCTAGTTTTATAAGGTATGTGATATACTGAATATTCCCCTAGTTTTATAAGGTATGTGTGATATACTGAATATTCCCCTAGTTTTATAAGGTATGTGTGATATACTGAATATTCCTCTAGTTTTATAAGGTATGTGTGATATACTGAATATTCCCCTAGTTTTATTAGGTATGTGTGATATACTGAATATTCCTCTAGTTTTATAAGGTATGTGTGATATACTGAATATTCCTCTAGTTTTATAAGGTATGTGATATACTGAATATTCCCCTAGTTTTATAAGGTATGTGATATACTGAATATTCCTCTAGTTTTATAAGGTATGTGTGATATACTGAATATTCCCCTAGTTTTATAAGGTATGTGTGATATACTGAATATTCCCTTAGTTTTATAAGGTATGTGATATACTGAATATTCCTCTAGATAAGGTATGTGTGATATACTGAATATTCCCTTAGTTTTATAAGGTATGTGATATACTGAATATTCCTCTAGATAAGGTATGTGTGATATACTGAATATTCCCCTAGTTTTATAAGGTATGTGTGATATACTGAATATTCTCCTCGTTTTATAAGGTATGTGTGATATACTGAATATTCTCCTAGTTTTATTAGGTATGTGTGATATACTGAATATTCCCCTAGTTTTATAAGGTGCGTGATATACAGAATATTCCCCTAGTTTTATAAGGTATGTGATATACTGAATATTCCTCTAGTTTTATAAGGTATGTGATATACTGACTATTCACCTAGTTTTATAAGGTATGTGATATATTGAATATTCCCCTAGTTTTATAAGGTATGTGCGATACACGTAAGTAGCTGTGTAACATCATTTATGACAATGAAAACACAATCAAATAACTAGTTCCTTTTTTTCAGACAGACCTAATACTTGTGATGGATTCATGTGAGAAAGAACAATAAATATAAAAATACTTATAATACCTTGGGTGTATATCACTGTAACCTGGGTATCATTTAATCTTGTGTATCTAGCACTAATTTCTTTCACATTCATTCAATATCAAATCTTTGTTTAAAAATTCATAAAAATTGTTTAAAATCACCAAAATTCATCTAATTTGTACTTTCGTCCAGTTTAAAGCTGACCATTCAATTCTGATAATGAGTGTCCAATTTACAAGCGTTTAATTTCTCAATCACTGTTAAAAAAATAAACAAGCCAATTGATTATTGATGTATAATGATTAATTTTTGAACAGTGGTCAGGAAATTAATAACTTGGACACTCATCATCCAAATTAATCAGTTAGCTTTAAACTGGACACATATACAAATTAGATGATTTGGGGAAAATTTTGAATAATTTTTACGAATTTTTAAACAAAGATTTGATATTAAACAAATGTGAAATAAATTAGTGCTAGAAACACGCGATTAAATGATACCCAGGTTACAGTTTATCTTATTGGCTAAATTAAAGGATGTACAAATTTAACAAATTTGTCACAAAGGAATGCAATATACACGTACATAGTGGTCAAACTTAAACATGAAGTAGTCAGATCTAAAGTCTCATAAGTTTTTTCATATATCTAATAAATCCCAGGACAAGACGGACCTATTTTCAGCAGTCTCTTAAGATGTGTTGCCAGGCAACGAAACATATGCCCACAGCAGCTAAATCGTCTGGGCAGTCAACAAGGGTTGTTGCATATATTTTTCTTTTGTCAGTAATAAAAACATTTACAACACACTAAAATCTGATTTTGAATAACAAACTATTTGGCTTCAAGTTCAGCCATATATACTGACGTTTAGTATACAAAATATTTCATATCACGGGCCATAACTCTGGCAGTAATTATCGGAAATTGCTGAGAACCAATATTATTCCTCTTCTCATGACCTTAAACACTGTGTATAAATTCACTGTCAATCGGATATTAACTTGAGCCTCTAAAGCGTCCACATGATTTTTTAAAGCGATCAAGCGCCTTAAGACTGGCAGTAATTATTGGAAATTGTTGAAAATCAATAGGATTGCTCATCTCATGACTTTCAACATGGTGTATAAGTTTAAAGTCAATCAGATATTAACTTTAGCCTCTAGAGCATAAACAAGAGTTTTCAAAGTTATCAAGGGCCATAACTCTGGCAGTAATTATCGGAAATCGCTGAAAATTTTCGTCTCATGACCTTAAACACGGTGGTTTAATTTAAAGTCAATTGGACCTCTAGAGTGTCCACAAGATTTTTCAAAGTGATCAAGGGCCATAACTCTGGAAGTAATTATCGGAAATCTGTGAAAATCAATATGATTCTCCGTCGCATGACCTTAAACACTGTGTATTAACTTTAGCCTCTAGAGTGTAAACAAGGTTTTTCAAAGTTATCAAGGGCCATAACTCTGGCAGTAATTATCAGAAATCGCTGAAAATCAATTGGCTTCTTTGTCTCATGACCTTAAACACGGTGGTTAAATTTAAAGTAAATTAGATATTAACTTTAGCCTCTAGAGCATAAACCAGATTTTTCAAAGTGATCAAAGGCCATAAATTTGGTAGTAATTATTGGAAATTGCTGAAAATCAATAGCTTCCTTGTGGACACTGGACACCTAACCGACAGACGGAGACGACGACAATATACATTTCAATGTGGGCGTATAAAAAACCTTTAATGCACTTTACAGACGGCATGCCTGAATATCCATTCTGTTAGTTGCTTTGTTAATTACTAATTATATATATAAATACACAATCTAAAACTCAAATAATCCACAGCAAAGCAAGCTTCCATTTTCTTATAAAAATCAACTACTGTACTACAACACTCAATAGTTGATATAAATACTGTCTTCTAATTGGATCAACTCACATGTTACAATGAAATACAATCATAAAATTCCTTCAAATTATCTCCCTTGCCATCAAATTGCTCACGACTACCTCTAGAGTTGCATTTTGAGTGAGGTGAAATGAAGTTTCTTAGAATTATCCCCCTTCCATCAAATTGCTAGCGGCAAAGCTGCATTTTGCAAGACGTGAATAAGAGTAAATGCAAGCTGAATATGTGTGCTGTGTTAACTCTCTACTTAAAGGTTGTACACCCAAACATTATCCTGAACCCTCTGTTTGTTCAACATCATTGGAGTATTAATACAATGAACTACATGTATTCAGAGAGAAAAGGGGAGTTAACTCTACTTTCAGGATCAGGGGGAGCTGTTATTGATTGTACAGACAGAGATACAATTTGAATTATTTAACGAACATATCGGTAAAATATATAAAAACTCAATTTATTCTGTCTATCAATTGCTTACAAAGATTTCATAGCACCAGCGACATTACGATCATTATATGTCACACATTTCACGAAAATATAACTTTTTGGTCTAAATGTTTTCATGCAAGTTGTCTGCGATATCACTTCAGTGGAAGCGGACGTAAAATCTCCTGTTTAATTTAACAAAAACTTCTGCCAAATTAGAGCAAATTTTTTGCGAAATGCCAGTACTTAAATGGACGACATTCAATGTATTCATTGTAACTTGTAAGTTTATTGATGAGAACAGAAAACAGTATTTTAACTAGCTACTTACTGCTACTTTATTGTCACCCTGTTAGTGGAAAAAAATACACAATAATAGAAAAATAAACAATATAATAATTCAACCATCTTAAAAATCACTAGAAAGGCTTTATAAATTTTTTAAATAATGCAAGGAATTATGTCAACATATCCTTTCCATAAATATAACATAATCCCGAATGTCAATGTTACCTGTCACAGGTAGATTTCGGCCGTTCTCCGCGACGTCCTTTTTGTCCTTCTGCTCTATATTTCTATAAACAGGTCTAAAATGAAGTCACAGATTGTGTATTGGCGGAAAGTTATGACTATTCACGGAGAAAATCGCTAACATTGAAATGAAGCTTTTAAATAACTGACCATTTTATGGGTTCAAAACTTGTCAGTGAAATGTTGCAAAAACTGTCACCATGGTTGGGCCACATATATTGTCTGTCACATGACGTTATTTCAACGTATTTTAATACTTTTTATACACATCATTTCAATGGCTAATATTACACAACATTTTCTTGAAACTTTTATGACATCTGCCTTTTTTTAATTTTAGAGAATAATTTCTTTGTACCCGACATTTTGATTGCTTTTGAAATAATTGATGTTAATTGCTGTAACATGCCAACATCTGGTTTGACATTATAAAAAATCTTGAATCCCAAACTATTTTGTACAACTGTACGGTCAAATGAAAAGCTAATACATGATAAGAGTTACTTCCCTTGAGTAAAATCTAGCTGCCATGACACCATCAACGAGAACATTCACTATATGATAAGTTTTATACCCAGACCAAGTTGAGAAGAATTACGGGTGTACTGGGCATGTTGTTGTTTAATGGGGTAAACAAGTTATTGTTATTGGGAAATAGAAACCTTGTCCCGACACACATGTACCGGCCACCAAAATATGAGATTTAGAGAGAGAGAGAAATGGGGTTTAACGTCCACTCGACACAAACTAGGTCATTTCGGGACCAACATATGGTTCAATTTTTATTTCAATAATTCGGTTGCACGTAGGGTCTTTAACAGTGGGAGGAAACCAGAGGACCCGGAGAAAACCCCAAGGTTGGACAGGCGACCCTACTCCTTGTCACGTACAACCGGGGATTCAAAACCACGCCAGTTGACTCAATGACAGGCCTTATGATACAGCACGCACATACTAACCATTTGGCCATCCACCCCCCATATGAGATTTACCCAAAGGCATAAACCATATAGGCAGGCATAACCAGACACTTTATAGATGAGAGCACAGCAACTAATGCTTGCCCATATCTATGTATGAAATTATCTGAAAACTTTACTGCACTGTTTTTGGTCGGAATTAATTTCTGAAATACCATATTCACAGTAGTCGCATGTCTTCCATTCCCCCAGTTAAGATCAATCTGTTTCACAGAGAATTACGAGTCTCGTATAATATCGAAGTCATAGATGACTTCCTTAACACGTGCTGTCACAGCACGCGGTGTGAATCATTGGCTGAATGGCGCGTGCATTGTTTACATAAGACATAACTGCTTCGGAGAGAATGCTGCATTTTAGTCATTTTAATACCCATTTACACTAAATCGGAAATAATTTTTAACTACAAATACGTCAAACGCCTTTATTTATTTTTCCAATATATACAAAAAATGTTTTAGAATTTAATTTGTCGCAGGAAAAAAGTTAATATTTCTAGTTCATTAAGCCGCATCAATGTCATCCTTATCAGTGACTGTCGCGGCCAAGCAAATATTCACTGCGGATCAGTGTGAGTTAAGATATACATCAAAGTTGGAAGTTCAGAAATGAGCTTTAACAATATACATCATGCAAGCCTTTCCTGGAACCCAACTATACATTCTGACGGCAAAATTCATTTGAAGACATCGAAATACTTAATAGAAACCTTCAAATAGCAACAATAGGGACCAATTGAAATCTCCAAGGAAATAATCATGCTTTAACAACAAAGAGGTCAAATGAATGTTAAAAACAAATACGTGTGACAGTGTTTCCCGTTTATTCGAACCTAGACAGATTCTACGTGCAAATGTGAGAAAACGTAACAAATGAAAAAAAAAAAAATGAAAAATTATTTATAATTTATAAATCACATTTATTTCATATTTTTACTCAAAGAAAATTAATTGTTTTAAAGGGGCAGGCACTTTCACATATGAATATTTAGCAAGCTTTAAGCCCTATATATCTAAAAAGCATTTTTTCTGTTAAGCTACATGTAGGCAGTTCAAGGAAGGGATTCTCTATAAAGAAGTCCTGATAGGAAATTAAAATATTTTAAGCAAAGCTTGAAGCCCAGATACAAACATGACCAAACTATTGAAAACGATAACTTACCGAGACAAGACTGTCATCGTGAAAATATGAGGCTAAATCTCGGATACCGTTTATAAATCCACTGAAATATAATAAACATGGAATGAATATCTTTTATAACAATCTGGAGATACACAAGCCTGGAAATAAGGCACCTGTCACAGACAATGTCAGGCACAGATTCAGGCTTTGTCAGGCACAAAACCTCTGGTGTCTGTCATTTTGTCCGGCACTGATTTGTCTTTTTTATTGATATAATAAATACATGTCCGGTACTATGTTGAAAATGTCAGGTACTATTTCATTAGTGCCTGACATTTTGTTAGGTACACCTAAAATCGTTATTTCCTCGCCTGGAGATACAGTAATTGTCAGGGTTACTGTCAAATATGGTTTAATTCCATTTGGTACTTTCAATAAGATGAGCCGAAATTTCAATTCTATGCCAGGAGATTATTCAGCATACATGTAGATATTTTGATTTTTTTTTTTATCTTATTTAAACATACATTATGCAAGAGCTAAATCTGCCTATTATTGCAGGTCTTTCTTTAGGCCTGAAATGTTATCTAAATTATCAAAATGACATTAATTAACTAATCTAGACCACAATCAATCCCTGATGGCACTGCTAGGCTGTTATGTTTATTGGATTAAGTTCCGATTTGCTGTTCGACTTCCATTCATAATTAAATCATGAAATGGATAATCGAGACTATGTTTTTTATCCTACCGACTTCAGTAATGATGATCGAGGCTAGGCCGAAAAAATTCAATCGCTAAAATTTTCAGCAAATTCCCTTTACCGTATCTAGTTTTTAACTATTATAGTGAGAACTGCCAGCTCTTTATCGAATCTCTCTCATAATATATCTTTAAATGTTAAAAAAACCATATATGAGTACACACATCAGAGTAGATCGAGTGTGAGAAATTTGATATTGCCCGAAAAATGCAAATCACACACATCGATTTTAATTAAAGATACATTATGTAAGAAGATTTAGATAAAGAGATGGCTGTTCTTGCTACATTAGTTCAAATATAGATAATGCAAAATGAATATATTGAAAATTTCATTCAAATTACTTTCTTCTGAGCAAAGATATTAGCCTTTGAAGGTTTGACAAGATACATATGTGCACTGATTGTAACCACCGTACAGGTTGTTTGAATCTTAGCCTCGCTTCACCATTTTTAGATTAATTCATTCAATGGCTGAACCGTTCTAATCTACTCAAAATCGGACCTATCCAATGGCATCGAGAGTTGATTATGATCTTGTCATGTTAATAAATATCTAATTACTAGTTTATATAACATTTCAGGCCTAAAGAAAGACCTGCAATAGGCAGATTTAGCGTTTAACATCCACTCGAACAAATTAGGTCATTTCGGGACTAACACATGGATCAAATTTATTTTAATAATTTGCTTGCCCGTAGGGGTTTTTAGCAGTGGGAGGAAACTGGAGGAACCAGAGAAAACCCACGAGTTTGGACAGGCGACCCTACTCCTTGTCACGTACAACCGGGAATTCGAAACCACACCAGTTAACTCAATTTGCATAATGCATCTTTAATTGTATTATAGAAGATGTGTATAATAGGTTAATCATGAATTATAGAAGATGTGTATAATAAGTTAATCATGAATCCAATGATTATATTATAGAAGATGTGTATAATAAGTTAATCATGAATCCAATGATTATATTATAGAAGATGTGTATAATAAGTTAAATAACCTGTTGGCAGTGTTGAAAGCTTTTCCTGTATCCATCATTATATTACATAACTTGACCAGCTGAAATTGAAACCACAAGGATGTATATAATATATGATATATATCTAATAATAACACTCTACTATATATACTTGTAATTAACATCCCTGATAACATATAGCCCCATGTAATAACCATCCCTGTCCAGTCAATAAATACCAATACACACTATGTATGATCAGAGAGAGAGAGAGAAATGGGGTTGAACGTTCACTCAACACAGACTAGGTCATTTCGGGATTAACATATGGTTTAATTTTATTTCAATAATTCGCTTGCGCGTAGGGGGAGGAAACCGGAGGACCCGGAGAAAACCCACGAGGCTGGAGTGTATGATCAGGTATTTAGTTCATTATCAAATGAAATAACAGAAATGATCATTTAGATTTAACACCCCCTCTAATCTGAACATAATCAATGGTTAATTTGGAATAATTAACTACAATGATAAAATATCATCCATTTAATTAATTTACACACCTTTTCTAATTTTAACTCTAAACTTTCAATATCAGATTCGGCATCTTCCAGCGAGGCCCTGAAAAATCAATTGAGAACAGAAAGCTATAAAGAGATGTCTAATCTAATAATAGACCATTTCATAATACTTCTAATTTAGGTGGTAAGTTCACAATGTAGGCAGTGTTTGTTATCATTGATCCAATTATAACCAATATAACCATATATCAGGGTAAAGAACAGTTCCTGCTGATGGTCATGACATTGCAAAATGGTTTACAAAAATAGTTCAATTTCATTCAGTAATTAAAAAGACATGATCAATTAAAAATTTTAAAACATTCAGAATTCTCTGCAGACAATATAGTCTCGGTCACCCAGAACCTCCTAGTCTTCAGCACTGAACATGCGTACTGGGAGTTCGGTTTTTAATGTGGTTAATTATCCAGTATCTTTGGCCAGGTCAAGTAAGGCCAAGTCAAGTCAGAGTTGTGCCCCTTCCTGTAATAAATCCCATAATTCTTGCATTAATATAAACAAACATGAATCTTGATTCGTGATGATGAATCAGGATTAATTGAAAATTGAATAAAACATAGATATGGCCCATGAAGAGAGAAAAAAAAATTAAAGAGTGTTGGATATTGAACTAGAGTAGCAATGCAATCAAATAGATTTTCTGAAATGGAATTTTTAAATTAATATCATGGGCGTGAACATCTTGTTTTAGGACTAGTTACCTCCCTTAGACTTTGTTTATGATAATGTAAAAGACTGGATAATCTACCCAATGACCTATTATTCTCAAATGTTGACAATGCATCCAGACTTATATTCGTTGAATATTTTTCTGGATGATAAAGACTAAACAATATAAACAAGCCACCTATAAAATTTTTTGACGGCCATGTTTGTAATCCAATTGAAACCAATGGGATACTATCATCAGTCAATATTTAAAGGAGCTAAATTGCTAATATTTTGGACCTAGAAATTGGCACAAATCGGTCGCAACACATATAATAATGTAATATGAATTTATATGACCTGTTTTACATTCAATCGTGTCCGTTTTACTGTGAATTGTCATCAGTTATGTTCGGCGAAATACGCCAGAAGTCTCAACCGCAAGTCCGTTTCTAGTGTCTGGTCATTCTAGTCAACACCGATATTATTTATTGCGCATGCTCTCCAAATAAGAATATGATATCACCGTTTGACATGACTTGTGGAATATGTCTAGCCGCATTCTTTGAGCACCTTGTTACAAATGGCGCTGAAAAGCATTATGGTACACGATTCGTGTACCAATGGTAAAATGTTTATTTTGTCTTAAATATTGGATATCAGAAGCCCATCTTTTCCAGGTAAGATCACAACACAAATGCTGATTTAAATTGCAAAAAAATTTGTGTTTTCAATGTCGAAGATTTTGGATGATATTGAGTTACGGACTTAGCTACTTTAAGTTCAGTTGTCTTAATTAAAATGTTACATGATCACATTTATCATAAATAATGAACAATCAGATATTGTCAGAAAATACTATGAGATCAGTAACATTTAGGATCTGCCACTTCTACCTAACAATAACCTATCAATAATATTGAGCATAACAAGGAATAAAAATTTTTATTCAAAATAATAATTGTTTATAATAACAGAAGAGGCCTACAGGTATGTACAACTCTTTATTGTTAGCTAAAATAATTTTTGGATGCAATTCAAGTTGACTAGCCTACCTTATATTATAGTATATAATGCAGTTCAAGTTGGCTAGCTTTAGCTTATAATATATTATTATTTAATTGTATAAATTTTTTGGTTGAATGTCAATGATCTGTGTTGTATTCAACACCTCAATGCAACATTTCACTGTCTGAATAAATAACCCCCAGCAAATGACCGGGCAATTGGCCAATTAATTAAATGTCACAGTGGTCTGCAACTTCTAATTTATCAAAATTTTACATGAATTCAACCTGCATTTTTTTTATTTTAACATCGTGCCTAATGTTGTTGACTGAATTAAATACCAATGAGTAAAAAACAATGTGTTAAATAAAAATACTGGATCAAAATGCACAGTGGATATAACAGTGTGAACTGATTAAAATCAAATCCTTGATTGACATTATGATTATACAGTATGACTCAATTTCTTTCTTCCTGTCACTGCAGCCACTGTGCTGTCTCGTCATTTCGACTTTCGTCCGTTTACACATTTACCTAAATTTCGGCGAATCCTTGAGACATTCGTTAAAATCGACGGAATATTTCATTTTGGATGATTCGGTTACACAGTATAATTAATCTTTATCGTTTTTAAACAGCTAAATCATTTTCTGTAGAATATTTTCATTGATTCTCTCAATCACATGAACCACCGCCTTCCATGTTTATTTCCAGATCCACCGCCAGGTGGAGTTGTTATATCAAAATACGAAACTATATTTTTGATTATTAGTGTTTACATCAAAATTTATCAGTAATTTCCAGGCTGTGCATGGTTAATCTATAAAATATATATTTTAATGAATTGACAGAGTTGTTGAAATTTACACAAATGTGAAAATAAATAACAATGTGAAAGGGTCAAGGTCTAGTCTTGATCAATTAGACTCTCAGCAGGTCAACTCAGGTCACAGATCTACATGGCTCAGGAGAACGCGATAAGACCCAGTTCTTCGTCAAGGTCGTCGCGTTAAAATACATTGAAAGGTTAATAGATCAGGACAGGTGTCAAACTCATTTCGATTCAGGGATCATAAAAATTTAACTTCAAGTGAACCGGAGTCTCCGAGATATACCAAAAATTCTAAAATCAAAGTCAAACGTCCTTGAACTTTACTGAATTCTAAAAACCAAGTCAAACGTCTTTGACACGGGTAATTTTTTTAGACTGGTTTCCAAATTACCAAGATATAATATTGAACTCAACGTTCTGTTGTATTAAATACAACTTAGATAGGGGGGTTGGATGGCTGAATGGTTAGCGTGCGCGCGCTGTATCATAAAGTCTGTCATTGAGTCGACTGGCGTGGTTTCGAATCCCCGGTTGTACGTGGCAAGGAGTAGGGTCGCCTGTCCAACCTCGTGGGTTTTCTCCGGGTCCTCCGGTTTCCTCCCACTGCTAAAGACCCCTACGCGCAAGCGAATTATGTAAATAAAATTAAACCATAGGTTAGTCCCGAAATGACCTAGTTTGTGTCGAGTGGACGTTAAACCCCATTTCTCTCTCTCTCACACAACTTAGATATCTATGACATACAGTACAGAAATTAGAGTTTGCTGAGACCCCACCCCTCCCCAGCTACAGAAAGAAAAAGTAAATATGAGAAAAATGTTACGGTCGTGTGCTTTATCCTTTATCATCAGAAGATGGTGGGATGGGATGGGCATTCAAAGCCCTAGATAATGATATAATATGTGATTTCACAATTAATGCTTTGCATCCATGAAATTGAATCACAATGTGATCCTATTAATTTTACTTCATTATAAAAATTGGCGTCAAGCGGGTTGTTGGATTTCTCTCTATAAAAAGCTCAATGTGTATGTATGCCTACGTAATTCGGAGACTATGATGGCATCATGCATTGTCAACTGTCAAATTTCCTTAAAAGAACCCTGGAAAGACTCCCTTTCTGTAAAAATTCCTGAATCCGTCTCTGCCTTAAAAGACTGGATTAGCAGTATTAATATTTTTTAACGAATTTACCCCACCATGGAATGTATTATAATGCTCGCGAATTCGTATTTAATCCACTTCCCTGGTACAGTTTATGCAAAATTAAATGGGGTTAAGCTTTCATTTCTTTTGAACATACCTGTCAAATGAACACGGGACAGTTCGTGCGATCAATGACTGCATATATCGAGAGACTGGATGATCAAGACAAATCCAAGGTCACGGTTAATTTCAAGGTCATATTTAGTTGACTTCTGGGAAAGTTGCCGGTTGCAAGCTCATCATTAACAGACTAATTCAGGTGAGTTTAGTTTTACTGGAACTGCATTTTCTGGATAGCATTTTTATCCATCGACAGTGTGATAAAAGTAATTTTTCTGGTCCCAATTGTAAGTTTGGATGTGGGCATCCAAGAAATCAGTCCTTCATCATTCATGTCGTTCATAATGTTGAAATCAATCATGAGAACTTCATACTTTTTTTTTTAGTGATTTACTTTTAGTCGGATGATGATATGATTATTAAATTATATCCGCCGATTTGTAAAATAATTGTCACATTGACATTCAATTCAACATTATATGCATGTGGTTGAAAAGGATAAGAATTACAAACATAATGTTGTATAGGCCTATAAGTGACATTGTGTGTGTCACTTTTGGTCAGTTTCAAGAGGTGGGGTTTTTTTTTGACATGGGTGTTTTGACATGGCTGTTTTGACATCAGAATGAGAATGTTTATTTAATAATAGATACATTATGGGAGATTCGGTAACGAGTTGGCAGTTCTCACTTTAATAGTTAAAAACTAGATAACGTAAAGGCAATTTGGTGAAAATTTCATTCAAATTGATCCTCTATGAACCGAGAATTAAGCGACTGAAATTCCCATAAGCCTCGGTCATCATTACTAAAGTCAGTACTATAAACAGCATATAGTCTCGATTATCCATTTAATCGTTAATCAAGAAGGAAAGTTATGCAGTAAATCAGCTTACAATCCACTAAAGATCGCAGGCTAGCGCTGCCATCTAGAGTTGATTATGGCCTGGATAGGTTAATTAATGTCTAATTAATAATTTAGATAACAATTCGGGCCTAAAGAAAGACCTGAAATAGGCAGATTTAGCTCTTGCATAATGTATGTTTAATAATCAGGAATAGCTAAGTCCTAATTCAATCAAAATCAATAAGAATTGACTGGCTGCCTATTATGGCAATGTCAACTGAAATGAATTTGCCCATCCTTAAATAAATGAATGTGACCCAAGTGTTATCAAACTGAACATTTTACTTTAAAAAATTTCATGGACTGTTCTATTGTTGAGATAAGATTTGCTTGTTTGACATTTGTTATTTTTGGTCAACATGCGTACAAGTCTTTTCACATGTACATGTAGGCGTGTTATCTTATAAAGCTGTCTGTTATTAGATGTGTTATCGTATAGATTTTTTAGTTGGTGTGAAGATTACAGTTGATTACATTTACACCGTCTTATTAATCATCATGTAGGCTACCAAGTACAGCTGTACATGTACTTAAATTTTATTGCAAAACAGTTTTATTTTTTTTTAAGCTATATGATGATATATGTCCTATAGACATACATTGTAGGCTATACATGTACATATGTCATGTGAAATGTGGGATGGTTATTTTAAGAACTTGCAAATAAATTGTTGAAGAAGCCTCAAAATTGACAACTTGACATGTCAGGATTTCACTAAATGTGGTTATGTTTATTTTTTTTATTTTTTTTTCCAGTTCGCATCCAAGATGCCCATCAAATCGATCAAAGCTCGTCAAATTTTTGACAGCCGTGGTAACCCAACTGTAGAAGTTGATCTCACCACTGAAAATGGTAAATATATAAAAACTGAAATTCAAACTATTATTAGATATATTTACTAGTTTGAGTGCGTAACTTGATAATGATCAGGTCTTCTAGTTGTAGTCAAATTGTTTGGTCTGTTGCCAGCCTGTGGCATGCATTAAGGGCGTTTATACAGGGGAAAAGAACTGAATAAATGGTGGACTATGGATGTACATGTATAACCCTGCCTTTACTTGTATAGCAGGTTACTTTATAATGTGTGGTTAGATTGATCAATTATATAAGCTCTTTACAAACCCAATGGGTGGACGCAGCAACTGAAAGATAAAAAAACAAAAAGTGCATTGTCAAATTTTTCCCAAATCCATATATTGTTTTTAGTTTCTTTAATTTTCTCATGAATTATTTAAATTAATCTTCTATACACTGAATTCACTTTGATTGAATGACTTGAAATTTATTAAACCTAGAAATGAAATGAAATGGGGTTTAAAGTCCTACTCCTATACTGGGCTAATGAAGACAGACATACGCCATACAGTGTGCTATGAGGGAAATTTTGCCCAGGCAGCGGCACTATGGCCTACTCTTATCATAGACCTTATAAGGTTCATGCTCTTATATCAAATTCCAACTGCCAAGGGATCTTTTATGTGCACACCAATGTATGTACGAGACCTCTTTTTTTTTTGTCCCATCCGAACAACTAGACAGCTTTCTATGTCTGTCCTGTATCACTGACAAGGGGAAACCATATTGGAAAATCCCGATGAACTTTCCCGGCCAATGTAGGGATCGAACACGCGACCTCCAGCATCTTACCCGAATAGAAGACAAGTTATCACACAACAGATATATTATAAAATGTAACTTGTTTAATAATATGTCTTTGAGTTTGACAGGTGCCTTCTGTCCAGTCCTGTTTTTAAATGTTTTGGGTCGTTTAATGATAGAATAGATGATTCCAGACAGATTTCAGTGTATTGAGGTGTTGGATAGGTGGTTCCAGATAAATTTCAGCCTATTCAGGTGTTGAATAGATAATTCTTGATAGGATTTCAGCCTATTCAGATGTTGAATAATTTAATGATTGTATTTTTATAGGTTTATTCCGTGCCGCTGTACCAAGTGGAGCATCAACTGGTATTTATGAAGCGATTGAATTACGTGATAAAGATCCAAAAGCCTATCATGGTAAAGGTGTCTCCAAGGCTGTAGAAAATGTCAACTCACGAATTGCTCCATTATTGTTAGAAAAGGTTTGTATCCTTTAGACTAAAATACCAAACTCATTACTTTAAGGGAGCCACGGTGGTTAAGTGGGTAAGATGTTGGCTCGCTAACCTGGAGGTCGGGTGTTCGATCCCCGCATTGGAACGAGAATAGTTCCCCTTTGTCAGTGATACAGAACAGAGGGTCTGGCAAGGAACAACATATAGTCGTTCGGGTGGGACGAGGTCCTGTGTACACATTGGTGTGCACGTAAAAGATCCCTTGGCAGTTGGTATTCGATATAATAGTATAGCGTATGCGGTTCTCCCTTGTCAGTGATGCAGGACGGAGGGGCTGACAAGGAAAGCTGTCTAGTCGTTCGGATGGGACGAAAAACTGAGGTCCTGTGTACACATTGGCGTGCACGTAAAAGATCCCTTGGCAGTTGAAATTCGATGTAAGAGTAGGCCGTAGTGCCGCTGTCCGGGCAAAATTTCCCTCATAGCACACTGTATGGCGTATGCCCGTCTTCATTAGCCCAGGTTAGGAGCCGAACAGTAGGACGTTAAACTCCATTTCATTTCATTTTCATTTCTGTCTTCATTAGCCAAGGTCAGGAGCAGAATAGTAGGAAGTTAAACTCCATTTCATTTCATTTCATTACATTAAGAAAGTTTAAATTGTTCTGAAAATTAGATTTCCTGTTGAAACATTGTAAAAATAGTCTTCTTGATGGTGATATTTCTAGAGTAGGTTGATCATGGGGGACAGGAAGCCGAAATATTTCTATGGTAGTTGTTTGACATAATTATCTGGCATGCTGGTTGATGCAAATGAATTAATTTGTTAAAAGTAACATGGATTTATTTGTTTTTCTAGCAACCTGATATCAAAGATCAGGCAGCTGTTGATCAGTTGATGTTACAATTAGACGGAACAGATAATAAGGGTAGGTAACTCTATATAATATATAGGAGATAAACACTTCCTGTTTCGTATTTAGAGGGTTGTTAAAGTGCAATAGACCTATCCTGAGATGATTAGGACCTAAGAAGCGGTCAGTACCAGATATCAGATTCCAGGAGAACACTGGGTAGACAAGGAGTGCAGAATATAAACAATATTATGATATTATTTTTGAATACATAATCCCAGTGCAATCTCAGGAAACTAACAGTTGCTTCATAAAATTTCAACTTTAATTAAAGATGCATGTTTATTTTGCCAACAAAAGTTATATAAACTATTTAGACAATTATTCAAATCAAGTCTCTAGATTATCAGAAGGTGGATATTTAAATAGATTAAAACACGATTGCCATTAAATGATTTAATTTTAAAATGACAAAATGAGGCTAAGACTTGAATAGCCAGTACCGTTGTTCCGATAATAAACAATCTATGCCATGTATTGTCAAAACTTTAATCAGTGATAACTTCGCTCAGAATAAAGTACTTTAAATGAAATTTTAAATATATTCATTTTGTATTATCTATTTTTGAACCAGTATGGCAAGAACAACCAGATCTTTATCTAAATTTTACATAATGCATCTTTAATCAGTACATAATGCATCTTTAATCAGTACATACATGTACATCATCGGATGGTATTACCATGGGCGTCACACCTTTTGGGGGTCTGAATATACTTGGACCCCCCCAAAATTTACATAGTAAGCCCTAACTCCCATTTATTTACAACAATTATTAGGATTAGTTAAGATTCTATCTGTATAAAACCTGTACATATCCCAATATGGTTTACATTGCTAAAATAAAACACAGAGAGAATCATCCTGGAAACATGTGTGAAGTGAAAAGTACCCGAGTTCCATAAAATTGTTTCTAGTTATCCTGTCAGTAATATTTTGTTAATTTTTTTCTGCCACTTATCAGAGTGAATCGCATGTAGGTACCCAAAAACATTATCGCCTAAACCAAATATTTATCGCCCACTCAGTCAGCCATGTTGGCGATGTCTGGGCCAATCAGCAAACGAGATGTGTAGACAGCATAGCCACATGGTGTTTGTTTATATTTTTTAGGGGTTTTAAAAAAGGGTTAGGGTTAGGGTTGCGGACCCCCCCCCCCAATATATATTTCACGGCTACGCCTCTGGGTATTACAAATGGTGTGAAGACTAAGATAAGTGTGAAAACTAGCGGACATATTAGGAATTACATCAACTTAACAACTAATTAGGCCGAATTAGGGATTATTTTAATTGGCATTTGAGAATACAGGATTTCCTGAATAATTTTAGAATCGAGAATACAGCCCTGAATGATGATTATAATCAAGAGTCCTGAATGATAATTATAATCAAGAGTCCTGAATGATGATTATAATCAAGAGTCCTGAATGATTTTTTAGTCAAGGAAACATGTAATCAAAGTGTTTGGACCAATGGCTGTTTACTTCCTTATTTTATGAATTTTTGTTTGTGTATATTTCAGGAACCCTTGGAGCTAACGCTATCCTTGGAGTGTCACTAGCCGTCTGTAAGGCTGCCGCTAACCACAAGGTAAGGGATATAACTCATTTTACTAGATCTAGTTGTGTTGAGGGGACGTAAAATTTTTCTTTCTCTGTGATTGGTGACCTGTGTTGGGGGCTGGATGGCCGAATGGTTAGCATGTACAAGCTGTATCATAAGGTCTGCCATTGAGTCAATGGGCGTGGTTTCGATTCCACGGTTGTACTTGACAAGGAGTAGAGTCGCCTGTCCAATCTCGTGGGTTTTCTCCAGGTCCTCTGGTTTCCTCCCACTACTAAAGTCCCCTACGCACAAGTGAATTGTTGAAATAAAATTTAACCATATGTTAGTCCCGAAATGACCTAGTTTGTGTTGAGTGGACATTAAACCTCATTTCTCTCTCTCCGTCTCAGTGTGATTGGTCATATATATTGTTTCTATCGTTGCAGGGTGTCCCACTATACCGCCATCTTGCTGACCTGGCTGGTAATAAACAAGTTATCCTCCCTGTACCATCGTTTAACGTCATCAATGGAGGAAGTCATGCTGGTAATAAACTCGCTATGCAGGAATTCATGATTCTTCCATTAGGTGAGTACACCTTACGTCTATTGGTACCAGTACGGGAAAAGTCTGGTTTTAAAAAGTTTCCACCCTTGAATTGAGTTTGACTGTTTTGATATCAAGTTCGTTATTGACTGTTTTGATATTTTGTATACAAGTTCCGTTATTGACTGTTTTGATATTTTGTATACAAGTTCCGTTATTGACTGTTTTGATATTTTGTATACAAGTTCTGTTATTGACTGTTTTGATATTTTGTATACAAGTTCCGTTATTGACTGTTTTGTGTATTTAATTTAAGGAGCTAAATCATTCACTGAAGCGATGAGAATGGGAACAGAAGTTTATCATCATCTTAAAGCTGTCATCAAGAAAAAATACGGACAAGATGGTAATTAAATTTTTATTGATTTTCTTTATGTTTTACTCAGCGGGTTGGATGGCCGAATGGTTAGCTCGTGCGTGCTGTATCATAAGGTCTGTCATTGAGTCAACTGCCGTGGTTTTGGTTCCCTGGTTGTATGTGACAAGGAGTAGGGTCACCTGTCTAATCTTGTGGGTTTTCTCCGTTTCCTCTGGTTTCCTCCCATTGCTAAAGACCCCTACGTGCAAGCGAATGATTGAAATAAAATTGCACCATAGGTTCGTCCCAAAATGACCTAGTTTGTGTCGAGTGGACATTAAACCCCATTTCTCTCTCTCTTCATGTTTTCCTCAATAAACTCGGCTCCCCTAATTTAATATTTATTAAATTCTGGAGAGCAAGATCTATAGCTTTTGTTTTCATTTCAAAAGCATTGTTAATGATAGTATATGGGTTAGGATGATATTTTAGATAAGGTATAGTCAATAATTTTTGATTTTATAGTATGATTGTTTCAGCTGGTAATGTGGGTGATGAAAGGGTTTTATACAACGATTGTTTCAGCTGGTAATGTTGGTGAAAAGGGGGTTTTATAGAATGATTGTTTCAGCTTGTAATGTGGGAGGTTTATAGAATGATTGTTTCAGCTTGTAATGTGGGTGATGAGGGGTTTTATAGAATGATTGTTTCAGCTGGTAATGTGGGTGATGAGGGGTTTTATAGAATGATTGTTTCAGCTGGTAATGTGGGTGATGAGGGGGTTTTATAGAATGATTGTTTCAGTTTGTAATAAGTTGGTTTATAAATGAATGATTGTTTTTCTTTCAGCTTGTAATGTGGGTGATGAGGGAGGTTTTGCACCAAACATTCAAGATAATAAAGAAGGTTTGTGATAGCATTTTACAGATTTACTTCTTTATTCAGAAGGAGTTGTGAGAATTGTTCGTTATCACAAGATAGGGGTGGCTCAGTAAGATGGTGGGTGCCACGGTGGCTGAGCAAGTAAGATGGGGTTAGGGAGTGGCTCAGTGAGTAAGAATGGGGGGGGGGGCACAGTGGCTCATTGAGTAAGATTGTGTGGGTGGGGGGTGAGTGGTGTCATTATGGCTCAGTGAGTAAAATGGGGTTTGGGGGTTGTCACGGTGACTCGGTGAGTAAAATGGGGCTTTTGGGTTGCCACGGAGGCTTAGTGTGTAAGATTTGCATTGGGGGGGGGGGGCACAGTGGCTCTGTGAGTACGATTTGGATTGGGGGGTGCCACAGTGGCTTGGGGAGAAATCTTAGTGTTGGTATAGAAAGTAATATATCTATGTCTTTTGCTCAATAGGTTTTCAACTCACTATTATACGATCATAGGTGTCATTCTCACACTTAAAACTCATTTACACCGGAAATAATAACACAATTACCTCCCAATTACCTCCCTTGTTTTCTATTCACCACCATGGAGTAGCTATCTTCAAACGTTTGAATTTGAATTTGAGAATGATATTTCTGCCAATTTCTCAACTGGCAATGGATACCATCTATTTTAGAGCTTTATTTTAATACATTTTAAAAATATAACTTAAAAATATGAAATTGTAACTTTAAGTAGAAGGAATCCTGGTCATTACCATAAACTGAAGTCAATAAAATTCTGGGCCCTGTTTCTTGAAATCTTAACTAAAGATAAAATCCAAATTTTAGTAGATACTTCAATTTGGATTGGCTAAGCACTAAAATCAATCTAATATTATCCAATCAAATTACTAAAATTTGGAATTTATCTTAGTTAAGATTTCGTGAAACAAGCCTCTGACCTAGAAGTTCATTGGGAACATGTGACAATGGTTGATTTTATATTTTATTTTGTTTAATGACAGGTTTGGAACTTTTAAAAACAGCCATTGAGAATGCTGGATATACCGGACGAATTAAAATTGCCATGGATACAGCAGCTTCTGAATTTTGTAAAGACAAAATGTACGATTTAGACTTCAAAAATCCTAACTCGGATAAATCTCAATGGGTAAGTTTATACAAATTTATATCTATATTAACTCATTATTAAAATATCTGTAAGGTGTGGCTAGGGTTTTTATTTTCAAAATTATATAAGCTGTACTTTTCATCAGGATTTCATGATGATCTCAGTAACGGAAAGATTATATGTGAACTGTGGGGGGGATTGGATGGATGTCCAAATGTTAACACTTGCGCGCTGTATCATAAGGTCTGTCATTGAGTCAACTGGTGTGGTTTCGATTCCCCGGTTGTACGTGACAAGGAGTAGGGTCGCCTGTCCAACCTCGTGGGTTTTCTCCGGGTCCTCTTGTTTCCTCCTACTGCTAAAAACCCCAACGCACAAGCAAATTATTGAAATAAATTTGAATCATGTGTTAGTCCCGAAATGACCTAGTTTGTGTCAAGTGGACGTTAAACGCTGTTTCTCTTTCTATATGTGAACTGCTGTACTTACCATCAGTTAACATGATCCCACTAAAGAAGAAATTATATGTGAACTGCTGGATGATTTCTTAACCTATTCATTGAATATTTAGAGTCAAGGTGGCTCAGTGAGTAAGATGTTGCCTTGCTAACCTGAAAGTCCTGTGTTCGATCCCAGTGTTGACTGAGAAAGTTCATCAAGATTTTCCTGCGTGGTTGCCCCTTTTTAGTGGTGGAGGACAGGGCATGACAAAAGACAACGTAAAATCCTTTTAATTGAACAAAAGACGGAAGTCCTGGGTAAACGTTGGCGTGCACATAAAAGATCCCTTGACAGTTGGAATTTAATATAAGAGTAGGCTGTAGTACCGCTGTCCAGGCAAAATGCTTGTCTTCATTAGCCCCATCTGAGCAGACTAGGACATTAACCCCATTTCATTTAATTGTATATTTTAAATTATAATTTTAGTTGACGACTGATCAGTTGGCAGATCTTTATCGTGGTTTTATTAAAGACTATCCAATCGTATCGATTGAGGATCCATTTGATCAGGATGATTGGGAAGGTTATAGCAAACTTACAGCTTCTGTTGATATACAGATTATGGGGTACGTATGTTTCATATATTCCGGTCATTTACGTCATTCATAAATGCCACATGATAGACTGGATTGTCACGATTCATATAATGCCACATTATAGACTTGATTGTCACGATTCATATAATGCCACATGATAGACTTGATTCATAAATGTCACATGATAAGACTTGATTGTCATGATTCATATAATGACAAATAATAGACTTGATTGTCATGATTCATATAATGCCACGTTTTAGACTTGATTGTCATGATTCAAAGAATGCCATGTGATAAACTTGTCAGGATTCTTTATGTCCGGATTCCTAGAATTAAACACAGTGGGCTTGGTTGTCAAGCAGGGCTTGAATTAGCGGGCGACGTGGGCGAAATAGTCGCCAAACCCATTGATGACTTCGCCCTAAAAGGCAATAGGGCGAAGTTGAAGTCGCCCTCACTTCGCCGTACATTTGTGCAAGGGCGAAGTAGGTAACAGGCATCGATATCGAGTATCAACGGTAAACAAAGCATTTTCAAAACAACACAACATGCGTTCGCATTGTGAGCTTCGAAGGGAAAACTGAAAATTAAACAAGTTGTGAAAAGCAAAACATGTATTAATATTTTGTTTTTCGACTTTCTCTGTGTTGGCTGTGACAATGTTTAATAGTTTCAATGATAAACATTGTATTTGATGTCAACAGGAATTACAATTCTTTAAAATAAAGCGAAGGAATCGAATCATAAATCTCAGTTACAACCTCTGGCTTCGTCCAGAGAAAACAGCCAATCAAAAGCTGTCTTCATTAGCCCAATTCGGAGCAGAACAGTAGGACGTTAAACCCAATTTCATTTCAGTTAGGTCTCCAAGTAATGTGTTAATGTAACTTGAAACTATTTTATTTTCTAGAGATGATTTATTGGTAACTAACCCAACTCGTGTACAGAAAGGTATTGATCTAAAAGCCTGTAATAGTTTATTATTGAAGGTGAATCAGATTGGTACAGTTACAGAAGCTATTCAAGCGTAAGTTATTATCAATTCTTTATCAGTGCTAAAGATGCCCATGCAAAAAGGAGCTATTGAAGTAAAGTTGTGCATGTGTGTGTTAGTCACCTAAAGCCTTAGTTTTTTTTCATTCATCTAAATATTATTTAAAGATTACCTTTCAGTCCTTAGTTTTGTTAAATCAGCTTAAAGAGTGACTATCTGTTGTTTTTGATTTTAATTGGACCACAAGTTGAGTTTATTTTACTTAAATCGGTGGCTGTATTTTAACTGTGTGTGATTTATTGTATTTAACTATTTATAGATGTAAAATGGCGCAGGCAGCAGGTTGGTCTGTGATGGTATCACATCGTAGTGGAGAAACAGAAGACTCGTTTATTGCTGATCTTGTTGTTGGTTTATGTACCGGACAGGTTAGTTATTATATCTCCCTGTAATACTCTTGTCTAGTTAATATATCTCCTTGTAATACCCTAGTTAATATATCTCCCTGTAATACCCTAGTTAATATATCTCCCTGTAATACCCTAGTTAATATCTCCCTGTAATACCCTAGTTAATATATCTCCCTGTAATACCCTAGTTAATATATCTCCCTGTAATACCCTAGTTAATATATCTCCCTGTAATACCCTAGTTAATATATCTCCTTGTAATACCCTAGTTAATATATCTCCCTGTAATACCCTAGTTAATATATCTCCCTGTAATACCCTAGTTAATATATCTCCCTGTAATACTCTAGTAAATATATTTCCCTGTAATACCTTAGTTAATATATCTCCCTGTAATACTCTAGTTAATATACCTCCCTGTAATACTCTAGTTAATATATCTCCCTGTAATAATCTAGTAAATATATTTCCCTGTAATACTCTAGTTAATATACCTCCCTGTAAAACTCTAGTTAATATATCTCCCTGTAATACCCTAGTTAATATATCTCCCTGTAATACTCTAGTTAATATATCTCCCTGTAATACTCTAGTTAATATACCTCTCTGTAATACTAATACAGAGGCTACACAATTTTAGCGTAAGGATGAACGTCAAGGGTAGGTAACCCTAGATAACATTAACAGAGAATATCACTGACTACTCATCATCTAAATTGAATAACAGAAAATATCATTAGCTATTCCTCATATAAAAAAAAGTTTCGTATCGAAATGACCTCCCAATCAACCTGAAAATAAACAACACACTCTCAGTCATTGTCTTAACAGGAAACCCCTGAATTGACCATCTTCAAAAAAAAAAAAAAAGAAGTTTAAAATTTGGAAGACTTTTTGTACATTTGAAACTATGATACCATGTCTAAAATTTGATTTTCTTCATTTTCAGATTAAAACTGGAGCTCCATGCCGATCTGAACGATTAGCAAAATACAACCAGTTGTTGCGTATAGAAGAAGAACTTGGAAGTGAGGCTGTATACGCTGGAGAAAAATTCCGCAATCCTCTCGCATAAATTAATATCTTTGATTTAGTATTAGAGAATATCATTGGCTGTTAATCATCTATAGTGAATAATTTTATTATGATTTAATTTTAGCTTTTCCTAGTTCCTAGTCTTAGGTGAAATGGGGTACAAAACCTCATAAATATCGAGCTCTAAATTCAACCTTGAAATTTTTGAAATTGGTTTGTTTGAATGATTTTGGTTGGTTGACTCTGCGGTTTTAGCTTATGTCAAGTTTTCTGATTTCTGTTTTAAGTCTTGATTCACAAACAGACCTGAACAAGAAACAAGGAGAAATTAAGTTTTAAAAAAAAAACAGTGCCTGGTCTTAAGTAACAGCTAAGCATTAAACTAGATCCTGATAATATTAATACTATTGACTATTAATGGTGAAATTATTTGGATGTTATTGATGTGTCTTTACAAACTAACATTATTTGACTCATGTTACCAGAAACCTTGTTCATTTAGCGGCTATTACAAACAATGATCTTGTTACAACCTAGTTTTTGTATGTAAAAATAAAGTGTGCTCAATATTGATGATATCTGAGGATTTCTCTGCTGATGGGTAGAGATGTAATGTTTCGTATATTGAACTCTTTAATGTTTCTGATAACATGGTCCATATTTAATATCTGTAAAATTACAATGTTATTAAAGTTTGTCTTGTTGGCTTTTTCGTGGTATTAGCTAGTCTGCTCCTTGTCCTTTTGGTATATTATCAAACCAATACCCTGTTATTGGGGCTTCTCATCCTTGTATTGTCTAGCCTGGAGTCTGCTATTATTTATCCATGCTGTATAATCCCTGCTTTCTAGATTAAAGGTTTACTTTATAGGTATAGAGAATTCCTTATACTAGGTGGTCAAATTCAGTTTGAACTTGCTTCACTCTGTGTATTATGTAGGTGAAACTTGCGTCATTCTGTAGATTATGTAGGTGAAACCTGCCTCATTTTGTGTATTACAAATTATATCCAAATTATTCTCCTGAGTAAATACAGTGCAAAAATTCCACTTAATTAACTTTTGGAAGTTAAAACAAGATATTATGAATCAAAAATTATGGATTCATGATTATTGATGAAATTTGTTTTTATATTTGAACAATTTTGTAAATAAATTGCAGATATATTTGATTTGTGCCATATGTTTAACAAATTGTTGTTAAAATTTATTGTTTCCAAGCTTTGCCATGTTTGTTTACAAGTTGTGTTTTGTTTATATTTTTCCTTGTTGAGATAACTGAAGGGTGCTAACTCTTATTCCATTCCTCAAATCCGTTCTACACTACATCACTTCCTGTTCCGGTTTTTAGACACAAATAGAAAGAACTCCATCCTTTCCTGTTCCGGTTTTTAGACAACAAATAGAAAGAACTCCATCACTTCCTGTTCCGGTTATTAGACCCAAATAGAAGAAAATACTAGATCATTGTATCATCTGGAAAATATCTTTCTCTAGGGTTAGGGTTCGGGTTAGGTTTATAAATTACATGTGTACAAATTGAAGCTGTTACAACGGTGGATTGTGGCTAAATCTATTCTGAAGGGTTAGGGTTAGAATTGTGGGTATAAACATTGACAGATATTTTCCAGATCGGTCAAGATCCAGTAGCGTGCAAGAAAATGATCTAGCTGCCGTACCAGACTCTTAAAAGTTAATAAATGGAACAGACTTATTTTAGAATTCAACCAGATCATCCATGGCTACTTCCAGGGGCCTGTTTCACGAAATTTTAACTAAGATAAAATCCAAATTTTAGTAATTTGATTGGATAATATTAGATTGATTTTAGTGTTTAGCCAATCAAAATTGAAGTATCTACTAAAATTTGGATTTTATTTTTAGTTAAAATTTCGTGAAACAGGGCCCAGACCTTATTTAGTCTGTTATTAATCTCAGTCAAGTTATAATTTTAGATATTTGAGAAATAGGATCAGCGTTAGAGCTCATTCAGTTATCCATGCCCAGCATCATCCTAGTGCTATATTATGATGTAACAACCAATTTCATTGGTTCAGATATACTGTATTGTATAACGACTGGTGTTATTGGTTAGTTTAATATGATTTGTTGAAATATTTCCTAGATTATTTTGACCAAATTAGCGAAAGCCAGTGAAGAAAATTGTGTATTTATTTCAATTTTACAATTTCTATCACTTATGACCCAATTCCTTGTACCTAGCTATTAAAATTATAAAATAAAATTCAGTATTTGTTATGAGAATACCCAGTCTATGGGATGTTATGCTGTCGCTGCTGCTGTATCATTCCTCAGTATAATGGTTAAAGAGCAGGATATGAATCCCTGTAGAGAACATCGATTTGTTTTTTGGAATCCATAATAATGGGTTGTGAATTATTATAATAACAGTGGGTGCCTAGTACCAATCCTTGTGGAACATCAGTTGTTATAAATCAAAATGATAGCTTATGTGAAGGCAGATCAATTGACTTAAAATAGATATAAAAATAGGTCGCTCGTGGAATTGGACTTCCTAACAACTAATACCTCAATTTACATCTCCGTGAGCTTGAATTTAAATTTCAAACCTCACCCAATTCGAGATAAACATCGGAATCAATTGACACCTACACGTAAAGTGTTAAAAACAGACTGGAGACTACTCTTCCCTGATCTTAAACCAGAAGGGGGGGTTGGATGGCTGAATGGTTAGCGTGCGCGCGCTGTATCATAAAGTCTGTCACTGAGTCGACTGGCGTGGTTTCGAATCCCCGGTTGTACGTGACAAGGAGTAGGGTCGCCTGTCCAACCTCGTGGGTTTTTTCCGGGTCCTCCGGTTTCCTCCCACTGCTAAAGACCCCTACGCGCAAGCGAATTATTGAAATAAAATTAAACCATATGTTAGTCCCGAAATGACCTAGTTTGTGTCGAGTGGACGTTAAACCCCATTTCTCTCTCTCTCTCTCTCTCTCTCTCTCTCTCTCTCTCTCTCCTACATTCATGGAAATAACGCCGTTTTGACTCACTCCACTGAAATCCAAACTCGACTTTGTCTCCACCTTGTCCCCCGCTTCTCAAATTCCTGGACACGCCCCTTAATGTCCCTTCACTGGCTCCCAGTTCACCAAAGTATAAAGTTTAAATTACTCCCTTGTCCAAGCTCCATCGTATATTTTTTTAAAAGTCGTGTCTAGCCTTATACTGCCAGTAGAAATCTCCATTCTAAGAAAAAACATCTTCTAAAATCTCAAACTATTAACTTTCAAATTGCAAAACGCTCCTATCCCTATGCTGGACTCTTTCTCTGGAATAAACTAAAAACAGTCAGCGAAACAATTAACGCCAGTGGTCCATTTTAAATGAAAAGAGATTTTAACTCAAAAAGTTATTGTTTCAAAACCCCGATCTGTAAATAATCAGTTAATATAACAAACAGCGCCTTAGGAACTGTAAACCGGTCTTCGGTATTAAAATGCTTTCAAAATGTACGTTTTCGATGTAGCTGTATCCATTTTTGTACACATTTTAGTGATTAAGTGATTCCCCTGTGTCAATATAGGAGAAATTCAAATTAGGGATTTAGATTTCCGATTAGGGATTGGAGATGAATGATACTCCTACCTTAGACCTAATACAATGACATTCATCCAGTATCAAGTAAATTTCATTTGGAATGTCTCACTGCGGTAGGGGTATGTCGACTGCGGAAGCTGATCATGCCTATTGAAGCAGGTGGCGAATATAATTCACAAAATGGTTCAAATGTTGCGACACAAATGGATACAGTATCGTCTGTTTGTCAGATATGCAGTGAACCATTTGATAATGAACAGCCCATCGTTATTCCGAAAATAACGGTTATTAGAGGCCTTGCACAATGTTGTAACGGAATTGAAGTGGAGGAGTCTGTATCAAGGTCTAGACGGTCCGTAGTACAGGGGCGACGACAATCTGGTTAAAACACAGATCCTATTTCGTTTCGTTTTTATAGTTCAAAATTTCGTTTTACTTGTCTTTACTACACTTGCATCTGGAAGAGTTGTTATTTAACTCATGTTCTGAATGGTGTCAGGGATTAGTCAATGAAACAGTCTGTTACGGCGAGCTTTAGGCGTGTTCTGCACGGAACTGTGGGTAATCCACTAGTAAGATCAATGCTGATTGGTTAATCAAATGTCTGACATCATAGGGTCATAAGTCGGTCTTTTGACCCCTGACGTGACCTATCGTTATAACTTGTCAGATCTTCATCTAGTGTAGTGTAGGCCATCGAAGGTATAAAAAAAACGAAACGAAATATAGATCTGTATTTTAATCAGATTGGGGCGACGACAATATACGTCCACATGAAAATGTGGGCGTATAAAAACAATTCCGGCAGCCTACGATGTTATTCATATTATCTACGATACGAAATGCACTTATTTATCAGAAAAAAGTTTCGCCAGTAAACAATCGCTTCAGGCTTTACAAAATCCCATTTGGGAACTTTATCCAGTGTTCTTTCATGTGCCTCAAATGTGATCCGGATAGAAAATAATTCGGCAAAATGAAATGGTTAGCGCGTACGCGCTGTATCATAAGGTTTGTCATTGAGCCAACTGCCGTGGTTTCGATTAAGCAGTTGTACGTGACAAGGAGTAGGGTCGTCGCCTGTCCAATCTCGTGGGTTTTCTCCGGGTCCACCGGTTTCCTCCCACTGCTAAACGCGCAAGTGAATTGTGGAAATAAAATTGAAAATATGTTAGTACCGAAATGACCTAGTTTGTGTCGAGTCTCTCTCTCTCTCTCTTGGGATTCTATATTTTAGCGGCAAGACAGCTTCGTCTATATTAATTGAATTGGACAAATACTGAATTGTAATTCGTGTTTTTAATTTCAAATATTATGGAAAATATTGGGTTAGATGTTTAGCTCCTTTAGAGTTCAAACCACATGAAGTATGCCACGTGAAGCAAGTGACGCCAGGGCCCGCTACAGAGCTCTCTGGGCCCTATGACAAGCAACTCGGTCAGGGGATATAACACGACATACCGTTTTAGTTTTAATGATGTAATAATAATCAGATGAACACGATTTTGACAGGACATTTTAAGCAAGCAATCAAATGGAAAAACAAAAACCCTGACCATCAGACACCAAAATATCAAAAAGAAAATTTTCTTCATAACGATTCGTTCATTATTTTTCTTTTCCGAGGGGGGGGGGGGGGGCACGGTGGCTAAGTAGGTAGGATGCTGGCTCGCTAGCCTGGAAACTAGGTCGGGTGTTCGATCCCTGCATTGGCCGAGAAAGTTCATCCAGATTTTCCAGCGTGATCCCCCTTGAGTGATGCAGGACAAGGACAGCTATCTATAGTCGTTCGGATGGGACGAAAAACGAGGTGCTGTGTACAAATTGGCGTGCACGTGAAAGATCCCTTGACAGTTGGAATTCGATATAAGGGTAGGCCGTAGTGCCGTTGTCCTGGCAAAATTTCCCTCGTGGCACACTGTATGGCGTATGCCCGTCGTCATTAGCCCAGTTCGGAGCAGAACAGTCCGTAGGACGTTAAACCCCATTTCATTTCGTTCATTTGTTTTTTTTTAATACCCAAAATTATGTTGAACTTGATTCAAACGGAAAGGGGTCCGGATACTCTGACGGCGACGAGAGCCTCGAGTCGAACGAGGACGGGCCGGGGCCCCACGGCGCGTAGGCTTTTAGTTATTGCTTTTAATTCATCATTTTGTTTTAAAAGGTGGACTGACAGAATCCGATTCTTATCCTACCCCCGCCAATAGGTATCCTTATTCAGAAAAAAGTCATCGGTATTCTTCTACTTTACGATAAAGGAATAGTGTATATTTTTTATAAATTTATACAAATTACTCGAGGCTCCGAGCCACTGGATAATTGTTTCAGCCTCACCCCCCCCCCCCCCCTCTCACGGGCTCTCTAGTGACGACAATTTCCACCCTGAACTAAAGGCGTATAAAATAGGTTAACACTTATATTCAATATAATAGTTCTTCTCCGTGCTGCACAATAATACAGTTTGGGTCTATGTATAAATAAAGGGTTTTTTCTTAAATTGAACATGCCTGCTTTGTTGAGAATTTGACTTGACAATATTATGGGATGTCCTGACCTTGAAACGCCCACTCTAAGTACGAATGCGTGACGTATATCGGACCTAGTGTATTACCGTATTATCCATAAGAATTTATTGTCCCGCGCCTTTCAAAGAAAGCTCGAGAAGGAGGGGTGGGGGGTATTAATCTGTCCGTCTGTCTGTCTGTCTGTCCGTTACACTTTTCGGGACACAATAACTCTCTTTTAATTGAGTTAGAATTTTCAAACTTGGTGTAGGTGTTTATTAGGTGAATGCCATGATGGAGTTCAAAGATAAACATTTTCGGCTTAGGGTAAGCAGAGATAAGCAATTTGATTGGTCGATGCTTTGGAACACGATAACTTTAGTTCTAATCAAACATACATTATGCAAAAGCTAAATCTGCCTATTGCAGGTCTTTCTTTACGTCCGAACATTTATTAACATGTCATCTGATATCTCCGATATTAAACAGATTAGAACTGTTCAGCCATATTTTGATTTAATCTAAAAATGGAGGAGCGAGACTTACCTTCGAACAACCAGTACGGTGGTTGCAATTAATCCACACGTCTTGTCAAACCTTCAACGGCTAATATCTTCGCTCGCATGAATTTTTAAAAATTATTCATTCACATTATCGATTTTAGAACTATTATAGCAAGAACGGCTAGCTCTTTATCTAAATCTTACATAAGGTATCTTTAAGTGAGAGTGATGGAACTCGGTGTATAGTTTCATTATATCAATATCTTGTAGGTGACAAGGAGTAGGGTCGCCAGGCCAACCTCATGGGTTTTTTCCGGGTACTCCTGTTTCATCCCACTGCTAAATACCACTAGGCGCAAGCGAAGTAATGAAATGAAATTGAACCATTAGTCCCAAAATAACTTAGTTTGTGTCGACCGGACGTTATTAAACGCCTTTTCTCTCTTCCTCGCTCTCTGGAATACAACTCAGTCTGGTGTTTACAAGGTTAATTACGGTAAAAGTGGGATCAATTTTCAACGTCTTAATAAATAAGAGATTTATATTTCTGTAGACTAGATCAAAGTTGACGATTGACACCAATAATACATTTATTCATGCGATGGTTTCGATTATCCAGAAATATTTACATTGTATTTAAATAAAAGAATGAATCTTAGATAAATAGTCATTTTAAAACAAGTCATTTCACGCCAAATTTTAACGTTGATATTAAAAAAAAGGTCAATGTACAATCAATCATGTGTTTACATTTTAAAGGATTGCTCGGTGAACTTTGGTTTTATCACCCGAGAATTTGTCGTTTTATTTTATATTTTAAAATATTATTTTAATTTGTGAGGGACATGTTGCCCGAACAGCGACACTACGGCCTACTCTTATATCGAATGCCAACTGTCAAGAGATCCTTTACGTGCACGCAAATGTGTACACGAGACTTCGGTACTTTGTCCCATCCGAACGACTAGACAGCTGTCCTTATCAGGACCTCCGTCCTGCATCACTGACAAGGGGGTGGAGGACCACGCCGGAAAATCTAGATGAACTCTCAGCCAATGCAGGGATCGAACACCCGACCTCCGGCTAGCGATCCAGCGTCTTACCCACTTAGCCACCGTGCCCCCCCCCCTCCAATTATTTTGTTAGGACAGAGACATAATTTCTGATAATCAACTTTCAAATGTTGTATCTGACATCCCCAGCAGTTTATATATATATATTTCTCTGACGAGACAGACGCCATTAAAGGCACAATCATACAGTAAGTAATTGTTAGCACGTGCGCACTGTATCATACGGTCGGTCATTGAGTCAACTCGTGGGGTTTCGATACACCGGTTGTATGTGACAAGGAGTAGGGTGGGTTTTCTCCGGATCCTCCGGTTTCATCCCCCTGCTAAAGATCCCTACGCGCAAGCGAATTATTGAAAAACAATTGAACCATGTGTTAGTCCGGAAATGACCTAGTTTGTGTCGAATGGACGTTAAACCCGATTTCTCTCTCTCTCTCTCATAAGTTAATATTCGTTTGGTCACACGGGGAACATGAAAGGGGCTATGGGCAGATATATAGCTAGGCCCTCGGTTCAACTGGTTTTCCTTGGACCCTATCGAGACTAAAAAATAACTGACAAAGCTATAGAAAATGACTGAATCACCTTTTCCTCACCTCAAGTGATAAATCATTCTTCTCCTCGGATTTAGCCGATTTTCCGACGTGGTTTCCCTTTGTCAGTGGTGCAGAACTGAGGGTTTGACAAGGACAGCTGTCTAGTCCTTCGGATGAAACGAAAAACCGAGGTCCCGTGTATACATTGGAATGCACGTAAAAGAAATTCGATATGAGAGTAGGCGATAGTGCCGCTGCCCGGGCAAAATTTCCCTCATAGCACACTGTATGGCGTATGCCCGTCTTCATTAGCCCAGTATAGGAGCAGAACAGTAGGACGTTAAACCCCATTTCATTTCATTTCCTCGGATTTAGACCATTATTTTTTCAGTGGATGTGTGAAGATAACCTTTTCTTTTTAGATATATGTATAATGGTTGTTACTTTTTCAATCGGAATCCATGGACCCCAGGCCCCTCATCGTCTCCAGATCGCGTCCGGCGGTGAGAGGCCCAACCCCACCATGAAAAGGACATAATATACCAATTAGGGCATGGATTTCGCCCGTCTATAGGTAGCATATAATACCATTACTAAGAACCTTCCTCTTAAAGGCTCAATACCACTCTTGTTGTAACTGAATAATATGCCCCAATCTTTATTCTGGTCAACAAATTGTACTATATTACAATATTCCAATTAATTGATGATACAAATTTCATCTTAACACACCTAATTTAAAAAATTGGAAAAATTCAACTAAATGATTTGAAAAGCCTGACGTAAAGCTTTTCAAATGTGACTTGGATTTAAAAATATTTTTGAACCCTTTGGACAAGTAAAATAGGATTTAATGGATAATTTACACAACAGGTAGGACACTAACACATTTAGTACTTAGAATAAGGCTATTTTTTATTTTCTGGAGCTGTCAAGCCAGTTAGAGTGTTATTGTCCCTTTAACGATCGGGAAATACACTGGTTTATCTGACATATACAGAACAAGAAAATAACAAAAAAATAATAAAATAAAAAAAAACATCGAGCAAACAAACGAAAACGGCAATAAAACAAAATTGTTGCTGTGTGTTGTTGTTTTTTTTTGTTGTTTTTTTTTTCTCTTCTTATCACCGCCTCGAGCGTCTCATATTAGTGTACATAGATTAATAAATGCATTGTCTCAACATTCAAATTTGATTAGAATCGAAACATTGAAATCAACCTTTGATGTGGCCATATATTCCCAAATAAGTTTATTGGCAAGAAATCATAAAATTGTTATATGTAGAAACCTATAACAGCTTTATTTGTTAAAATATTCAAATTTAAAGGGTATTTTACAGTCATCATGCTAACGGATAATTGAACTTTTAAATCTATATAAATAAAATCAAAGATGCCTGTGTGTATGTGTGTGTGTTCGCCAATTACGCTTCGTCGCCGCTCTCCATCCTCCAAATATTATGTAGCATCAAATTAACCAGCATGACTCCGTGGATGTTTTAGGCCATCAAATGCGAATTAGACAACCGCCCAGGAGAATTGGACACCGGGCGAATTTGGACTCCTGACGAAACAGGTATCCTGTTAGTAGGCTATATAATACCGACAAGTCTATATAGTGTTTATATTTTTGAACGGGCATTTATAACATTTTTAAAAACATTCGGATCACTTCATAAATTGGTAGAAAAAACGAAATGCGCCCATTCTGTACATACTGTTGATCAGCCAGGGGCCTGTTTCACGGAATTTTAATCCAAATTTTAGTAATTTGATTGGATAATATTAGATTGATTTTAGTGCTTAGCCAATCAAAATTGAAATACCTACTAAAATTTGGATTTTATCTTTAGTTAAGATTTCGAGAAACAGGGCCGTAACCCAACTGGAAGGTGCCTATCTATGGCATTTAAAAATAGAACATTCTTCACCAAAACTAAACAGATTGACTAAAAGTGTTGCGTAAGTCATAAACAGTTAATATTAAAAATGGAATTAGGAAACAGGGAGAAAAAGAAAAAAAAAACGCGATCATGTGAACATTATTTTCGTATCGCATTATTATCGCTCTTTCTCCGAGAAGTCCAAAAAGTGTTAATATAATATTTCCCGCACTTTAGGTCAAAGGTTATTCGGCTGCTAGGTAACGCTACTGGTGGTAATAAAGCTATTCTGACGTTTTACTTTTATTGATCCCCTTAAGTAAAGTAGTTCAGCGAAATAATGTCATTTAATAATGGTATTTGAGAAACCTCTTTCCTTTATATCAAATCTATTGGATATATATTGTTATGTGATGCTGGTGAAGCAACAATCCGTGAGGAAATCGGTACAATATTTTTTGTGACCGCGGATGAATATATGTCGTCATCGGTAAACAAATGTAGTGCAAGTACCTGTAAAAATGGCGGAGCTGGAAAGTAGCCTGACGGCAATGGACTGGCTTCACCGCCTCCGTGTCGGTGGGGCGATTACCGGGGGACATATAGGAGTTGGGGACAATATCAGTAAAACTGCCGGTGGGCAGTTAGCGATGAGAAAGGGGCCGAACTCCCCACTCGACACAAATGCCATGTACGAAAATGGACACAGTCCTCCTGGACATCCGAACACTCAAAAAGACGGTAAACCACCGTACAGTTATGCTAATCTCATTACGTTTGCGATTAACAGTACGGGCAAAAAGAAAATGACACTCAGTGAAATTTATCAGTGGATTTGTGAAAATTTTCCGTATTATAAGGAAGCTGGTAATGGCTGGAAGGTGAGTTCAACTGTTAATTAGGTCAACTATCGGGCTATTCCAGTCCTCCGCATGTCTTACAGTGCTCATGTCATCAGGTAGTTCCATCGAAGTGTGACGGAGCACCGACACTCCGTCGATAAAACTGATTGACCCATATTAATAGATCTTTACGTAAATAATTATGATAATTAGATTAGTGATTAAACTGATAAACACCAATTTAATCATCTCAATAGATAAGCACGTAATCACTTTGATGGATCGGATTAGCCTTGACTGATGTGATTACCTTGAAACTTGGGGATTGATAGAACTCAACTAGGTCAAGTTCCTTGACATATTCAGGTACGACACAGAAATGGTCAATACAAAGTTTTGGTTTGGATAATGGAATCAGTATTGTTGGATTGGCAATCAATAAATGTTTCTTATGTTATAAGATTAAGAAACAACTAATACTAATACTAATCACTATTACAAAATGTGTTTTAAAATTGCACAATAGATAGGCATACTAAATGAGAATATAGAACTGTCAGCAATATAAATATGAAATAAAAGTTTAAAGTACTGATTTTTATTAATTTATTAGCTTGATGCTTGAGGCTTGAGCTTCACAGATAAGATTTTTAATAAGATAAGATTTTTTTTGTATCGAAACATCTATTTAGGACAGCATACAACAGATATCACCATTCTCTCTGTGATATCATCATCGGTTAACATGGGCGGTTCTGCCCATGATTGAATTAAAGAATGATATGGAGCCAAAGTTATGATACACAGACTATATGATTGATTATTTTATACTCGGTTAACAATGGCCGTTGCATACATGTAGGCGTTGATTTGATAAAATTATGACTAAAATGGTGACCAGTGACCACTGTCCGCGTTACAGCACAGGAGTAACCGTTTTATTAAAGAGATGGAAAGGAAGAGTTACAAGAATTTATTGTGACTGCTTACAAGGAGATGTCGCTAAAACCGAGTGGCTGCTATAAGGCTGACCTTAAAAATATCTTTGTTTCGCCTAACGCGACCGACTAACTAAAACCACCCCCGACTTAAATTATTTTATTGCACTTTTCCGCGATCTTTTTATTTTATTTTGTGTGTCAACCTGAAATATATCACGAGAGTTATTTCCCTTTACTATGGCTATGGTTTGATTCATTATTGAAACTGGTTGATCAAGACGAAAGCGTCATAGGTGTCGCTTCTCAACAAAATGGTTGCAGACGAAAGCACGTCCATTCCCACGAAATGATTCTGCCTCTATGTCTGTGGGGCGTCGTTTTAAACATGACGACGATATTTTCAATATCCGTTTTCGAGAAAAATAAAGGCACAACCCGCACGATCGTTAAAAACGTGTTGAGGGAGTTTCAAACGTGAGTTTGTCGCAATTTGTGTGCGAGTCGTGCATCAAGAAAAATCCCGATGTCATTGATTTGTTTGCCAATAAAAGAAGACGAATGTTTGCACCCGGAAAATTATCAAGCTGTCAAATTAGCTCTTAAAAAAAAAATCTGAAAAAAAACCCGACCTACCGACCCTTCTCCTCGATTGTGGGTCGGGTTTGGTGAAACAAAGATATTTTTAAGGTCAGCCTAATGTTCGTAACTACTGTACATGTAGAGATGTAAACAAACTGACTTATAGCTTAATATTTTGAAATATATTTGATCGTTCAGCTGTGGTCCCATCACTAATAGTAATAGAAATATAATTTAATCATTCAGCTGTGGTCCCATCACTAATCAGCATTTGATTTATATTCGAAATCTTTAGCTCCTATGGAATAGGCATATAATCTGTTTAGAGACTTAGGTCTCTAAAATTTTCATATTCTGAATATTGTTGATGGATAAACCAAAAGCAAAAGATTCAAAATGTGATCAACTTGCAAGATCGTATTAAATTATACAAGTTTACCAATGAGAAATTGGGTTATATTTTCTATGCATGTATTTTTGCAGAATTTGTTTTTCTTTTACAGAATTCAATACGTCATAATTTATCATTAAATAAATGTTTTCTCAAAGTTCCCAGATCTAAAGATGACCCTGGAAAGGTAAGTAAATATATTTTTTGTATGGTGTACCTGTACTACAGTACCAATCTGATTAAAATACAAGGGCCTTTTTCACGAAATTTTAACTAGGATAAAATCCAAATTTTAATAATTTGATTGGATAATATTAGATTGATTTTAGTGCTTAACCAATCAAAATTGAAATATCTTACTAAAATTTGGATTTTATCTTTAGAAGAAACAGGGCCCAGATCTATATTTTTTTTTTTTTTTTTTTTTTTTTTATAAATATATATTACATGTATATACTTTCGATAGCCTCTACTACTGTACATGTACCTGAAGATCTGACCAATTTTTCGGGGGGTCACATCAGACCTCCTACAAGCTGCTTTTGACCCAATGATGTCAGACATTTGATTAACTAATCAGCGTTGATGTTACTAGTAAGAATACCCACAGTTCCGTGAACCGCAGTTCAAGAACTCACCACAACAGGCCGTTTCATTGGTTATATAACAACTCTTTCAGATCCTATTGTAGTAAAGACAAGTAAAGTGAAATTTTGAACTATAAAAAACGAAATAGGATCTGTAATTGATACAATACAGTACATGTACCTGTACATAAACCTCGGGTGTCTGTCAACGTTGATCTGTGACACAGGTATAACTAGACATGACATAACATCCAAATTTATATAGCGCAATAAATACTCCTATTAGGAGTTTCAAATGTGCTTGCAAAGTTATAAATTTTGGTTCCATTTCATCCCTATTGTTGTATGAACAGATGAGTTTTCAGTCTTGTTTTGAAATTGCAGACAGACTCTGATTCTTTTATATGAAAGGGTAGTGAATTCCACAAATAGGTACATGTACATGTATAAGCCTAATGGTCAGTTTTTAAGATAGTTTGTTTACTTCAGATATTTTTTCAGGAGTGGGAGGCAGCATTTGACTCCTCTTTCGATGCATTCAATTTTAACTTGACTTTCTGTAAATTAGCCCATTGTTAATAATTGTATTGAAATTTAGAATATCATAATTATAAGTTCTGATACAATTCCTGACTAAATATTTGGAATGACGTTAAATTTAGATCCACAAGTAGTACACGTGGTTCGCTATTTTCCTGAAAATCTTTTGTGTAGCTTTCTGCTTCAGTCGATAACTTCCCAATACTTCAAATCTTTGTTTTGGATCAAGGATCAATCATAGCAAAGATCTCTATGTTAAAATGATTTTCATATCTCGAATATGTTTAACAACCAGACACCAACTTTGTCCTTTAATTGCGACATATATTTCTACATGTTATTTAAATTACAGTCCTTCACGTTTAAGGGGAGCTTTCACTCCTGCTCCTCTTGACGCACGTCAGCTTTCCTTCGAAGGGCAGGACGGAGGGGCTGACAAGGAAAGCTGTCTAGTCGTTCGGATGGGACGAAAAACCGAGGTCCCGTGTACACATTGGCGTGCACGTAAAAGATCCCTTGGCAGTTGGAATTCGATATAAGAGTAGGCCGTAGTGCCGCTGTCCGGGCAAAATTTCCCTCATAGCACACTGTATGGCGTATGCCCGTCTTCATTAGCCCAGGTTAGGAGCAGAACAGTAGGACGTTAAACTCCATTTCATTTCATTTCATTTCCTTCGAAGGAGTCATTAAAGACTCATGCAAATTAGCTAAATCGCTCTCCTAAATATTGAGATTAATAAACTACTTTCAGTTTTTGTTTACTTTTAAACTGCATATATTCAAGGTATCAGGAACTTTTTATGGCTCCCGCACAATTTTATAAACATAAAGGACTGAAATTAATTCCTCATGACCCTCTGCTTTATTAACAAACTTGCTGTAGGGACTACTGGTACATGTAATATGCTTATAGAAAAGTTGATGAATGATTAGATGATTGACTTTGTTTATTTTTGAGATTCCTTAGATGAGCCTTTGGGCATAGCCATGTTTGATTGGATAAAAATTTGAGTATAGTTTATGTTATTCAATCTTAATTCCTGATTCTTCGACTTTTTTCAAAGAGCATTGGCTGCAAGAACAACGAGATGCGTAGCGTGTCCAGGAGAAATATATGCCACACAAAATGTCATTCACCACTACCAGATATCGCGGACTTGTACCTGAAAGTGCCAGAGTTGGTTCTTGACGTTGTCAGTTACAAGTGCGGGGATCACGGTGTCTAAGTGGGTAAGGCGCTGGCTCGCTAGCCTGGAGGTCGGGTGTTCGATCCCTGCATTGGCCGAGAAAGTTCATCCAGATTTTCCGGCGTTGTTCTCCCTTGTCAGTGATGCAGGACAGAGGGGCTGACAAGGAAAGCTGTCTAGTCGTTCGGATGGGACGAAAAAAACGAGGTCCCGTGTACACATTGGCGTGCACGTTAAAGATCCCTTGACAGTTGGAATTCGATATAAGAGTAGGCCGTAGTGCCGCTGTCCGGGCATAATTTCCCTCATAGCACACTGTATGGCGTATGCCCGTCTTCATTAGCCCAGTTCGGAGCAAAACAGTAGGACGTTAAACCCCATTTCATTTCATTTCAGTTACAAGTGCGTTAATTACAGGCTTTGCTTGTATTATTATGGTAATTTTATTATTTCAGGGATCATATTGGGCAATAGATAGTAATCCTCCAGATGATCCACTTCCAGCACGACATAAAAAACGCCGACCTGGGGAACGGGTAAGTTTTATTTAATTACACCATCATACTTTATTAACATTCATCTGTACTAAATTAAGTTCGAATTCTTCAGGCTCCAGATATTAAAGTTCAGACATATTAAAATAATAAATTCTCACAAGTTAAGCCCAACACAGACTGACTATAACAATTGTTGGCGTCTAACAAAACAAATGGAGACCATATTGGCTAAAATGATTGAATCTGTTGACAACATACATGTACATGTAAGGTACAATTTTATGGATACATAATTGTACCTTGTGTTAATATGTTCAATTAATAAATGCCAATCAAAGAACAGTAAATACTTTGATTGGTAAGTGTTATGAATTAAAACAGGGGAGGTGTACATTTTAATTTGCTGTGTATATTTATATAAAAATTCAGCTAAAATTTCTTAGCTGCAAATATGCAAATTGATTTTACTGGTCAGCCAATCAAATTACAGTATTTCTTAAAATTTCGATTTTATCTTAGTTTAAGTTTTCGTGAATAAGGGCCCCGGATCTATATTTCGTTTCATTTTTTTATACTTTCGATGGCCTACACTATATGAATATCTGACCGGTTGTTCTGGAAGGTCGCGTTATGGATCATACCAGCGGCTTTTGACCTTATGATATCAGACATTGATTGATCAATCAGCGTTGACGTTTCTAGTGGTTTACCCACAGGTCTGTGCATCGCACACCAAGAACTCTGCGTAACAGACCGTTTCATTGACTAATCCCTCACTTCAACCATACATATAACAATTCTTCCAGATCCTAGTGTAGTAAAGACAAGTAATACACAATTTTGAACTATAAAAAATGAAACGAAATAGGAGATGTGTTTTAATCAGATTCCATGTATAGGAACTCCTGACAAAACGATGAAGTTATATCAGGAGTGCTAGTAATAGTCAGCATACACTGCCTCGTGCATGTCACTGTTTACATATAATAGATCAACAGTTTGAACTTTGATAGTTGTAATAAGTTTGATGATTGAAACAAGTTCTATAGATTTCGTTTTATTTGACAGGATTCTCCATACAGTCCTGATCACGGAGGTACGCCAATATCTAATCCAACCTTGACCTCTATTAATCTACAAGTTACAACTGCTCCTGCATCTCATCAGGTAATAATGTCTATTTATAGAATCATTTATAGAATATCTCACTGAAACATTTACCTCTTGTATTCCTCAATACATCATAATACATGTCTGACATAGATGTTGTCTCACTGAAACATATACCTCTTGTATTCCTCAATACATGTCTGATATAGATGTTGTCTCACTGAAACATTTACCTCTTGTATTCCTTAATGCATGTCTTATATATGAAGCGTTTGGCTGAATGGTTAGCATGTGCGCGTTGTATTATTAGGTCCGTCATTGAGTCAACTGGCATATTTTTGATTCCCAGGTGCTCGCTAGCCTGGAGGTCGGGTGTTCGATCCCTGCATTGGCCGAGAAAGTTCAACCAGAATTTCCAGCATGTTTTCCCCTTGTTAGTGATGCCTGACAGAGGGCCTGGCAAGGACAGCTGTCTAGTTGTTCGGATGGGACGAAAAACCGAGGTCCTGTGTACATATTGGTGTGCACTTAAAAGATCCCTTGGCAGTTGGGATTCGATGATATAAGAGTAGGCTGTAGTGTCGCTGCCCGCGCAAAATTCCCCTCATAGCGCACTATATGGCATATGCCCGTCTTCATAAGCCCAGTTTAGGAGCAGAACAGTAGGACGTTAAATCCCATTTCATTTTATTTCATTTCATTTGATTCCCAGGTTGTACGTGACAAGGAGTAGGGTCACCTGTCTAACCTTGTGGGTTTTCTTCAGGTCCTCCGATTTGCTCCCACAAACAAAGTATTAAAATAAAATTGTACCATATGTTAGTCCTGAAATGACCTTGTGTGTGTCGAGTGGACGTTAAACCCCATTTTCTCTTCCAGTCTCTTACTGTTATATAAATGGATATTGTGATATAATTATTGATGTATTTGGAGATAATATTTATATTATTTATGTATCAGGCACTCGGCTGTTGTTTGTCGGTTTTATATAGTTATAGATGAAAATATAGAATTTATAGATTACCGGGACTAAGTATGGTTATATATAAATCAGTATATTTTAACATTAGTAGTAATATGGTTGGAATGTAGACGAGATCATATATAAATCAATATATTTTAACATTAAATAGTAATAGGGTTGGAATGTAGACTAGATCAATATAGTATTAATGTCACCATGACAATACCTTATGTCATAAGGTGAATAACAGGTCATCAGTTGTTTCAATGGGCTAGGTGGAGGAGGATACTGGTCTGGTGGGTGGGGTGGAGATGCTGGTCTACTGATTGTATCAGTATACGCTGAGATAATTCATCAATGACTTCAATATCAATGAGTTAATTCACCGAAAAAGTTCAAAATTTGTGAAACATCTATTTATAGTATCATTGACAAATGGAATGACAAAACATAAGATAAATAATTCGGTGAAGTTCTTATTTCCTTCACCTGTTATAGATTTTTATACGCCCACATTTTCATGTGGACGTATTATGCCGTCGCCCCTGTCCGTCCACAATTGTTTGTGGACACTCTACAGGTCACAATTCTTATCCGATTTAGACGAAACTTGAAATATAGGTTTATCTCCAAAATATTTCGGCTGCTTTCGATATTGGCATGTATCGGATCGAAACTTCATGGATTATGGCCCCTGTTTGTACGAAAAATCACGTTTTTAGCTTGTGGACACTATAGAGGTCACAATTTTTATCCGATTTTGTTGAAACTTGAAATGTAAGTTGATAACCCAAAGATCTCGGTTCCTTTCGATATTCGCGCATATCGGACTGTAACTTCCTGAATTATGCCCCCTGATTGTACAAAAAATCATGTTTTTAGCTTGTGGACCCTATAGAGGTCATAATTTTTATCCGATTTAAAAAAAACGTTTTATTATATCACCGTTACACCCTAAGGGTGGCCGAGTTCGAATTTCGTGAAAATCGGCCCAAAATTGACAGACAAAATGGCCGTCGTTCGTTCTCAAATAGCGTAAAAATATGGTATATCAAGGTTGTGGACCCTATATAGGTCACAAGTTTTATCCGATTTTGTTGAAACTTGAAATGTAAGTTTATAACCCAAAGACCTCAGTTCTTTTCGATATTCGCGCATATCTGACTGTAACTTCCTGAATTATGGCCCCTGATTGTACAAAAAATCGTGTTTTTAGCTTGTGGACCCTATAGAGGTAATAATTTTTATCCGATTTAAAAAACCGTATTATTATATCACCGTTACACCCTAAGGGTGAATGAGTTCGAATTTCATGAAAATCGGCCCAAAATTGACAGACAAAATGGCCGCCGTTCGTTCTCAAATAGCGTAAAAATATGGTATATCAAGGTTGTGGACCCTATAGAGGTCACAATTTTTATCCGATTTTGTTGAAACTTGAAATGTAAGTTTATAACACAGAGATCTTGGTTCCTTTCGATATTCGCGCATATCGGACCGTAACTTCCGGAATTATGGCCCCTGATTGTACGAAAAATCGCGTTTTTAGCTTGTGGACCCTATACAGGTCATAATTTTTATCCGATTTAAAAAAACGTATTATTGTATCACCGTTACACCCTAAGGACGACTGAGTTCGAATTTCATGAAAATCGCCCAAAATTGACAGACAAAATGGCCGCCGTTCGTTCTCAAATAGCGTAAAAATATGGTATATCAAGGTTGTGGACCCTATAGAGGTCACAATTTCTATCCGATTTTGTTGAAACTTAAAATGTAAGTTTATAACCCAAAGATCTCGGTTCCTTTTGATATTCGCCCATATCGGACCGTAACTTCCTGAATTATGGCCCCTGTTTGTACGAAAAATCATGTTTTTAGCTTGTGGACCCATTAGAGGTCATAATTTTTATCTGATTTAAAAAAACGTATTATTATATTACCGTTCCACCCTAAGGACAGTTGAGTTTGAATTTTGTGAAAATAGCCCCCAAATTGACAGACAAAATGGCCGCCGTTTGTTCTCAATTAGCGTAAAAATAGAGGTCACAATTTTTATCCGATTTTGTTGTAACTTTAAATGTAAGTTTATTATCCGAAGATCTCGGTTCCTTTCGATATTCGTGCATATCGGACCGTAACTTCCTGAATTATGGCCCCTGATTGTACGAAAAATTGCTTTCTTTTTAGCTTGTTATCTATCCATCTCTCGAAAATGTGGGCGTATCCTGCCTGGCAGCCGCTGGTTTTTTGTTGGAAAAGTTGACCTACAATTGGGCCATAAATCGCAGTCATATCATACTCCCCGAAGTATTTCGTTTGATTAGAGCTAATCACACTAAACACTGCTTTAATGGAAGCAAATTTCGGTTCCAAATTATGACTGGTCAATAGTCTGATTAACAACCAATAGCTAACTGCGTAACAATATTAAGCTTTAATCATAGCTCCACATTGGACCGAATATGTTTAAATAATGTTACGTCATGACTCACGATTTTATTATACCCAATTAACCAATATTGCAGAAAAACTAATTGTGTGACAAACGAGGCTATCGATTCTGATAGAATGTAAACAATACTAAAAAAAAAAAAAACACAACACAGTTTATATGGAAATACAATCACTGGTTTATAGGCATAGCATGTTTCAACAAGTATTCTCTTATAGTTATCAAGCACAAATGTGTGTTAATGAACTTAGTAAACTATTTTCATCATTTGTGCTTGTCATGTTGCTGTACTTGGGATTGATTTGATTGAACGGGAAGAATAGACACACACCCTCAAAAGCTCAAGTACATGTATCTGAAGCCAATCCAGCAATGGGCAGAGAGGGATTTCTTGGGTCATTGCTTCCAGAATATGGAGTCATATTAGTGATGCATATTGATTTCATCTCATAACATATATATTAACTGTGTTTTCAGCTTGGTAAATCTATATAAATTAAATTAATGATGTGTGTATGTTCACCTATCACTCTTCGTTGCCTTGCCGTGCTGTACCCCTACATATGTGGTATCAATTTAACATGTGAATGTGTCAGACCATTGAATCTGGGCACGCCGGCACGGCTGAATCAAGGTTTGTCGGCGTGCTCCATCCCCACATACATAGTATCAAATTAACCAGCATGACCATGTGAATGTTTCAGGCCATCCAATTTGGGCCCTGGGTAAATTAAGTCCCTGGGTAAATTGGGACCTCATACAAATTTGGGCCCCGGTGAATTTGCATCCTGGGCGATTTTACCTACACTACATGAAGATCTGACAAGTTGTAGCGAGGTCAGAGGTCATACAAGCAGCTTTTGACCTTATGACATCAGACATTTGATTAACCAATCAATGATAACAACTCTTCCAGATCCCAGTGTAGTAAAGACAAGTAAAACATAATTTTGAAACATAAAACATGAAGCGAAATAAGATCTGTGTTTTAATCAGATTGCGAACAAAGCCGGGTATTGTGATAGTCATGAATAAAGTATCTTGCTGTGTCTGGATGGTATTGATGAATTAACCACATATTGATTGGGAATTTTTATCATTTCAAGTCTTTCCATGCATACAAGACAACTTACACATTTTACAAATAGTATTGAGTTAAAGATGAACCCCCACCAGTTATGATAATTAGTCTGGACTGGAAACAATGCCGGCTCTATAGTACTTAAACCATTGATGTGGAGTCAAAAGATTGTATCTGATGGGGGATGGATTGCCGAATGGTTAGCATGTGCGCGCTGTATCATACAGTCTGTCATTGAGTCAGCTGGTGTGGTTTCGATTCCCAGGTTGTACGTGACATGGAGATGGGTCGCCTATCCAACCTCGTGGGTTTTCTCTGTGTCCTCCGGTTTCCTCTCACTGCTAAAGACCCCTATACGCAAGAGAATTATTGAATTAAAATTGAACCATGTGTTAGTCTTGAAATGACCTAGTTTGTGTAGAGTGGATGTTAAGCCCCATTTCTCTCTCATTCTCTCTTGTTTCTGATATTTGCACAATTGTATTGGAGAGCCAGAAATGGCATTTGGACTTGGGACGGGGGGCATGTTTAACTCTTTATTTTTCAGCACCAACTGGGCATACTAAAGACTTGGCATATATATACATGTAGATTTACTAGCATGGTCATATTTCCTCTGGGGGGTTGGATGGCTGAATGGTTAGCACGTGAACGCTTTATCATAAGGCCTGTCATTGAGTCAAGTGGTGTGGTTTCGAATCCCCGGTTATACGTGACAAGGAGTAGGGTTGCCTGTCCAATCTTGTGAGTTTTTTCCGGTTCATCCGGTTTCCTCCCACTGCTAAAGACCCCTACGCGCAAGCGAATTATTGAAATAAAATTAAACCATATGTTGGTCCCGAAATAACATAGTTTGTGTCGAGTGGACGTTAAACCCCATCTTTCTCTCTCTCTCTCTCTCACTCTCTCTCTCATCTTTCCTCCATTCTCAGCCAAAACTGGGATCAGACCTTTGATCTCCTGATTAGTGAGCCAATATCTTAAACACACTGTTTTGGTAATAAAGTAGACTCATATTATTGTTTGTTGAGTGGTGTTATGCTTTGGGACATAATGAATACATTTAATTAACTTGATATGAAATCTGAATATCAATTACATGATGGATAATTGTTTGCGATACGATTATCTAACATTGGATGGCTGGATGGTTGGTGTGTGCACGTTGTATCATAAGTTCTGTCATTGAGTCAGCTGGCAGGATTTCGATTTGTCAGTTGTATGCGACATGGAGAAGGGTCGCCTGTTCAACCTTGTAGGTTTTCTCGGGGGTCCTCTGGTTTCCTCCCACTGCTACAGACCCCTACTCGCAAGCCAATTAATGAAATAAAATTGAACCATGTGTTAGTCCCTAAATGACCTAGTTTGTGTCGAGTGGGCGTTAAACCCCATCACTCTCTCTATATATATACGGCTGTATAGATCATTGATTAACCTGAACTATAATATCCAGGTTGTTATATAGAAACAGATTGTAATGCAAGCTATAGATCTTTGATTAACCTGAACGCGATGGGCAGGTGTAAAATCAATACATTGATTGAATATGTTGAATTCTTGACATACCTGGAGTTCTATTGACGGTAGTACAAGTAGACAATAAATCGATAAGGGAGAACTTTTACCTATAATACTCACTGGATAGATCATAGCTATTTCCTATTATAGACTTGTATATCCAGTGATAAGTCTATCTTCTCTTTGAAAGAACTACATGTAAATGTACATGTAATTGATGTCATCTTGTCAATTAAAAAGCACTTATGGATCTAAGCTTTAGACTAGAATGTCTATGGGAATCAGTTCGCTGTATTTACATGTATTGTGAGGATTTCTGCTTTAAAATTAAGTGAATGTTATTATGATGGGTTATTGGAAAATTACACAGAAAATTAAAATTATAGGATCCCAGAAATAGATAAAAATTAAAATGCAAATTATAGAATCAGTAAAATAGATTAAAATAGTCACGTGTCCACATATAAAGTAGAAATTCACACCTGAAATGTATAAAATATCTCATTGGTATGCACGTAAAAGATCCCTTGGCAGTTGGAATTCGATATAAGAGTAGGCCGTACCGCCGTAGTGCTGCCGTCCGGGCAAAATTCCCTCATAGCACACTGTATGGTGTATGCAGGATGTTAAACCCCATTTCATTTCTTATATTTCCGTTGTATTTTAAGATTACCAACAAAAAAAATTACTGAAATATACGATGAATCTGTGTAGTAGTAGAATTTATAGAAGTGTTCTACAATATTTATTACAGCATCTTCTGCAATAGGTTTATTGATATTTTCACTGTTATGTTGCAATACAGTGGTTGTATTGATATTTTCACTCTGTTATGTTGTAATACAGCGGTTGTATTGATATTTTCACTGTTATGTTGTAATGCAGTGGTTGTATTGATATTTTCACTCTGTTATGTTGTAATACAGCAGTGGTATTGATATTTTCACTCTGTTATGTTTTAATACAGTGGTTGTATTGATATTTACAATGTACTGATATTTTCACTCTATGTTGAGAGCATGCGCAATAAATACTATCGGTGTAAACTGGAATAGCCAGACCCTAGAGCTTGCTGTTCGATTGAGACTTCTGGCATATTTCGCTGAACATAATTGCTTGGACATGTAAATGTAGATTATTGTGTCGAAGTTGTGAAATGAAATGACCTTTAACGTGCTCGTGTAGACCTATATCAATATGCTATATACACGTACTACTCTAACCAATATTAAATATTACTGGTCTATTTTAAACATACATGTATTAATAAACCCTTTTATTTACTTTAATATACATATCTAGAACCCTGATCATATACATGTATGGCATACAGCCAGTACACTGTAATATCTGCTGGATTATTGCCAAATGACATAGTAAAATAGTAAACATTTGATATATACATGTAATCACTTGTGAAATATATAAAATATAGTATAACTTATATACTGTACGAATTTAAAAAAAAATAGTATGCTACACCATTTATTGTAGTTTATTTAAATGTTGATTTATTACCATTACTCGACAGGCATGAAATGCCAAAACAATAATCCCAGATATTGTATTAAACTATTGAAGTGTAAAAATTAGGACTACACTCTGTAGATAATGATTAAAATATTTAAAGATACATTATGGCAGATTAGATAAAGAGCTGGCAGTTCTCACTATAATAGTTAACAACTAAATGATGGAAAGGGAATTTGCTGACAATTTCAGTCAAATTGATCCACTCTGAACCGAGAATTTAGCGATTGAATTTTGGGCCCGAATCAAACATGTTTAATATATTCGGCCGAATTATATTCGCCTGGTGTATCCGCTTCGCCAAAGCATTCGGCCAAAAATAGAATTCATTAGCCAGTCACCACTCATATCGAGAAGTCACATGATAGATTGAAGCCATAGACGCCGCCATGTTTAATCATGTGACGTGAAAGGTGATGCAATCGACAGGTTGAATTGGGCGAAGCATTCGGCTAGTGTGTCCACCCATTCGGCCGAATAAAATTTGGCACCGATTGATTCGGCCATTCGATTCGGCTTATGTGTCCACTGCTTTAAGCAGCAGATCTGGTACTAGTTTATAATGCCTGGTTTATAATGTCTGGTACTAGTTTATAATGTCTGGTTCTAGTTTATAAAGTTTGGTTCTAGGTTATAATGTCTGACACTAGTTTATAAACTATGTTGTCTGATACTACATTGTATGTTATAATGTCTGGTACTAGTTTATAATGTCTGGTTCTAGTTTATAATGTCTGGTTCTAGGTTATAATGTCTGGTTCTAGGTTGTAATGTCAGGTGTCTGGTACTAGTTTATGGGCACCTGACATTTCAACAGGGAAACCTAAAATCAGTATTTCCAGACCGGGTTACTGTAATCTAAAAGATTTCCAAATAAAATAAATTGATGTGTGCAGTGTTTAATATTGAAACAGATCAAAGCAAGATCTTTTATTTTTCTATCTTCAGCTATTTTTTTCTGATGGTCTATAAATAATCGTTTGAACAAGTTTTATAATAGCTCAAATATTGATCAATACCGGAACTTGTCTGTCTTCGGTTAGCGTCCTATACATCCCTCCAGCTATAAAACTTCTATTAAAACGTTTGATAGACTACATGAGATGTAAACTCTGTATTGTGATGATCAATCGATGATTTAAATTGTTGTTTGTAGTAATTGTACTTTACCTGCTGGCGTCCTTTATTGAATGTCAACTTTTAATATCAAGTTTAGAAGTCGATTGAAAATGAATACCAGAATTGATTATTACTGAATGTTAGAAACTTGAATTAAAAACTATGGATATTTACGAATATTCATAAACCATTAAGATGAATACATTACAAATGGTTACTTAATTTCAAATACTATTTTACGTAATTAGCTTGTGAGACTTTGATGTCATGCATGTATATATTGACTTAAAGAGTTTTACCACATAATTAATGAACTATATTTTAGACTGTTCTCACATACAAGGGCATGGATCTGTCATAACTTTTGGGGGGGACGGACGAACCCTGGAACCTTTCATTACCAAACCAAAATAATAATTACGAACAGGTTACCAGTGTTATTTCGATGAAAGCTGTAACTAGGGGTAATATGATGATGATATGGTAAAATTGACTACCTACAATTAAGGAGGAAGATATCGTGAAGATGAATTACTGTGGCGAGACCCAAGGCAGTGGTTAGATAGCCTTCAGAACGGGACATTCATGTGGATAAAAACCTGAAAATCTGTCCTTGCGATCAAAATCATGGGGGGGACAGAGACCTATTCATCCCCCCCTTCCGATTCCAAGGGGGGGACCCGTCCCCCTCGTGCCCCCCCCCTAAATCCACGCCCATGATCACATAATGAACTATGTTTCAGACTGTTATCACATAATAAACTATATTTTAGACTATTATCACATAATTAACTACATTTCAGACTGTTATCACATAAACTATATTTCAGACCGCTACCACATAACAAAACTATACATATATTTCAGACTGTTAGCAAATACATCTAATATTAATAACCTATATTTCATGTTGTTATTACATGTACTGGTGGTTTATATTTTAGACTGGTATTACCGGTGATTTTATATTTCAGACTGTTATTACCCATGGTTTTATATTTCAGGTTTTATATTTCAGACTGTTATTACCCATGGTTTTATATTTCAGACTGTTATTACCTATGGTTTTATATTTCAGACTGTTATGACATGTGTTGGTTGTTATATTTCAGACTGTTATTACCGGTGGTTTTGATGGAAATCCTGTCAACAGTGAAGATTTAAACAATTCATTCATCACACTTTATAAATCAGTGTTTGAAAATTCTACAGGTAAGTTTATTCAGAAATACCTAGACAGGTGAAATACCTGGTAATACCAGGAAATACCAGGACAGGTGAAATATCTGGACAGTCACAATAGCTGGTCAGATGAGTTCATTGAGAAATACCTGGCCAGGTGAAATGCATCTGTCTAAACTTGTGAACTTAATAGATTTTATAAGTAGACCTATTCAATAATTATCAGGTTGTTTACAAGAAATTAAATGATATTGATGATATTCACAATTAATGATTATAATATTATGGATAAAACACTACCAGTAAACTAATATTATAATTGAAATAAGCTTATACATGATATCTAATACAGCTGTTATAATATACATGATATATAAAAACAACTGTTACAATATTACATGATATATAATTACAGGGAATTTAAACGCTTTATTAAATGGAACTCAACCTCTCAATTTAACTGGTAAGGTTAATTTTATTATAAAGGGGATCAGAAGGTCTTGTGAAAAAGTGTAGGTCAGCCCACCTGACTATTTGGGGTTTCCTGCATCTGTTAAAGCCCCCAACACATAAGTGGTTAAGTAGAATACTATATCTTAGTCCCAATACTATCTGTTATAGAAACAAATAAAACAGATAATTACCATGTTATACCATGGAGTCGGCTCATAAGTTTTTAGATATCTCCACTTGTGGCACTTGATGAAAGTAGACCACCAATAATTACCTCCTGTAGGATCGCCCACCATATAGAACATAGAATATTTCTCTCCTTTGGCTTGATTTCACACCCAGTCTTCATGTAAAAACTGTTGACTGTTAGCCTGTTACATTTGATTTAACATTCAGATTGTCAGGTTGCCATAACAGTAGATTTAATATTAAGATTGTTAGGTTGCCATAACAGTTGTATATATTTTCAGGTCCTAATTTAAGCAACTCAACTGCTGAATGGTTACAGAATTTAGATACGTTAAAAGAATCGATGAGAACGTCTGATTGGCAGAGTATAGATATGACACAATTTCAAGGTAGGCAACTCTATTTACCAACAACTTCCATAATCACAAATTATCTTAGCATTTGATCATGTGACATGGCGAGCTAATCATAACATTTGATCATGTGACATGACAAGCTAATCATTACATTTGATTACAGTCACACAGAATTTGATTAATAGGAAAATTATTTCATGTAATTTGTGATTTAGATTTCTCCTTGATTCCCTCAGAATCTTCCAGCTTTATACTCCTTGGGGTTTCCTAGTTTATCTGAAAATCGTCTCAGAAGTGTCATGAACATTAGACATGGATCAAGGATCTTTGAGCATAACATTCCAATCTTTAGTACCAAGAATGTGACTAATATTATGAATAGTCCTGTATGCTGTTCACTACTCCTTGGTATACCCATTTTTTCAAAAAACACAGTTCGGATTACAGGCCTGATACATCATTTGCATTTTCGCTAAAATATCCAGTTTCTCATAATCTTGTGGCTTGGATTCAATCGGATTAGGCCCATTCGGTTCTCCACTACCAATAATGAACTGGATCAGATCATTTTTGGACTGATATTCCTATTAGAGGTCAAACTTTCCCAATATTGTGGGTTTCAACAAATTCCTATAGCACTCAGGGGGGTTAGCACGTGCGCGCTGTATCATACGGTCTGTCATTGAGTCAACTGGCGTGATTTCGATTCCCTGGTTGTACGTGGCAAGAAGTAGGGTTGCCTTTCCAACCTCGTGAGTTTTCTCCGTGTCCTCTGGTTTCCTCCCACTGGTAAAGACCCCTATGCGCAAGCGAATTATTGAAATATAATTCAACCATGTGTTAATTCCTAAATGACCTAGTTTGTGTCGAGTGGACGTTAAACCTAATTTCTCTCTCTCTCTCTCCCCTATAGCGCTAAATGATGCATCAGTCCTTTGAAGTTGTTATTTTATAAAATAGAAATGATATAATGTTATATATATATAAAATATTATGCTTAGCATGCAAGTTGCATGTACGTGTATTATATAGTCCATTCATGTATACGGTTTAGTCATATTCATATAGTATAGTCCATTCATGTTCATAGTCATTCATATGTTTATAGTCCAGTCATATTCATGTACATGTATATAATCCAGTCATATTCATGTATATAGTCCAGTTATATTCATGTTTATAGTCCAGTTATATTCATGTTTATAGTCCAGTCTTATTCATGTTTATAGTCCATGTTTATAGTCCAGTCTTATTCATGTTTATAGTCCAGTCATATTCATGTTTATAGTCCAGTCATATTCATGTTTATAGTCCAGTCATATTCATATGTTTGTAGTCCATTCATGTTAATAGTCCAGTCATATTCATGTTCATAGTGGAGTCATATTCATGGTCCAGTCATGTTCATAGTGTATTCATGTTCTTAGTCTAGTCATATTCATGTTTATAGTCCAGTCATATAGTCATTCAATCATTTGCATGCTTCTTCTTCAATCTGCTTTGACCCTGACTAAAACTGACTGTCAATATATTTATTGGAATTTCAAAATCATGATATCCGTTTTAACTTATGAAAGATTTAAATCAATTTATTATAGATTCAAATTGATTTAAATCTTTCACAAGTTAAAACGGATATCATGATTTTGAAATTCCAATAAATTCCAATTACGTTGTTATGATTTTATATCATTTGCTTGTAATAAACAGTTGCTTTCATTGAAGATCCTTACTTTGCTGATTTATTTTGCTTTTTTTAATGTTGACGGCCATTCTTCAGATACTTTAAGCAACACTTAATTATATTCAGACACTGTTAGAAATAAAATATTCAATCAGGGTAGAAAACGTATCGAATAGACTAAATGGCACATTGTGCATCATCATATTTGGCACTCGTCGCGTTTCTGGCGAACCGACGAATCTGATATATTTAAGTATGGAGAATTACAATGTATGCGTTTGAAATTTTTGTATGGAGAATTACAATGTATGCGTTTGAAATTTTTGTTCTGCTGTTATCTCTGTAGCCATCAAATATTAACATTTATTTATGATTTAATATTTTATACATATACATCAGGACGCGGAACGCCATTTACATAAATGTTATTATTTGATGGACATAGAGAGGGCAAATTTCAAACGCATAATTCTCAATACTTAATTATTTCAGATTCGTCGGTTGGCCAGAAACGCGATCACAATGAACAGATTATATTCATCTTTTATGAAACAGACCTGGCTATCAAAACAGGTTATTAATTGGTTCCAGTTATACAAATGATGAAATATTAGATTTCAAATTGTAGTTTTGCACGATATTATTTGCTTTTTATTTCAATGTGTGGCACCTTCATCATCCAACCATGTTACATCATACAACACTTGTTCCAGAGGCCAAACCAATCATATGAAGTCTTACAATACTCATGTAATAGGTACAACCAATCATATTATGGCTTACAATACTCATGTGATAGGTACATGTACAACCAATCATATTAAGTCTTACTATACTCATGTGATAGTTATAACCCAATCATATGAAGTCTTACAATACCCATGTGATAGGTTCAACAACTACAACCAATCATATTAAGGCTTACGATACTCATGTGATAGGCACAACCAATCATATTAAGTCATACTATACTCATGTGATAGGTAGGACCAATAATATTAACTCATGTGATAGGTACAACTAATCATATTAAGGCTTACAATACTCATGTGATAGGTACAACCAATCATATTAAGTCTTACAATACTCATGTGATAGGTACAACCAATCATATTAAGTCTTACTATACTCATGTGATAGTTATAACCAATCATATGAAGTCTTACAATACTCATGTGATAGGTTCAACAACTACAACCAATCATATTAAGGCGTACGATACTCATGTGATAGGCACAACCAATCATATTAAGTCTTAGGGCCTACTATACTCATGTGATAGGTAGGACCAATCATATTAACTCATGTGATAGGTAGGACCAATCATATTAACTCATGTGATAGGTAGGACCAATCATATTAACTCATGTGATAGGTAGGACCAATCATATTAACTCATGTGATAGGTACAACTAATTATGTAATATATTACAATAATCATGTGAAAGGATCAGTCAGTATGAAAGGAATCATAAATCTTTTAATAGTCATCCACGAGAGATAACCAGGGGAGGTAACTTATGAGCAATATACAAAGGGAAATAACTATTGTTGTAGGTTTGATGGAAACGTTGAAGAATAAAGATCTGACAGCAAATGATCCGGATGTCATTGACCTTGCTTCTTCCCTCAATAATTTCTTCAACCAATCGGGTATGGCGTTATCTCACGCTGCCCTCACTGCTACTGACTCTCTACTCTGTGGTTAGTACATTGTACATACACTTCAAAATATGAAAACCTGAAACGCTACAATTAAACTATTAACACATACTTATGGAAAAAAAACAGCTACTTATTTATTTGAGCGACGTTTCGAAGAGTATTCTCTCAAGGTTATCAAGCTATATTTGTTATAGTTTTCTTTATAAATTAGGGGGGTTGGATGGCTGAATGGTTGGCGTGCGCGCGCTGTATCATAAAGTCTGTCATTGAGTCGACTGGCGTGGTTTCAAATCCGCGGTTGTACGTGGCAAGGAGTAGGGTCGCCTGTCCAACCTCGTGGGTTTTCTCCGGGTCCTCCGGTTTCCTCCCACTGCTAAAGACCCCTACGCGCAAGCGAATTATGTAAATAAAATTAAACCATATGTTAGTCCCGAAATGACCTAGTTTGTGTCGAGTGGACGTTAAACCCCATTTCTCTCTCTCTCTCTCTCTTTATAAATTAGCCTCATAATTTATGTATTACTGTATTACCATGATAACCTTGAGATAATCCTTTTCGAAACTTCGCCCAAATAAATAAGTAGCGGGTTTTTTTTTCCATAAGTAGGTGTTATAGTTTATTGCTCTATCCAGTTATTAAATGCCTCTCAAAGACTGCTACAATTAAAGGGAGCTTGATTGAACATAACTCTTTCGACTTTCAAAAACATGTTAAAAAAGGCACCGACTGAAAGGCATTGAAAAAGGTAAGAGGAGCCTTATTGGACAAAAACGTTTAATTTACAAAAAATATTGTTAAAAATCACATCCTTTATGCGTTTGACGTGTGTCTGTCCAGAATCCAGGGAGTTGTATCCATGGGGAACTCCTTTGATTGTATCTCCAATTGAGTTATGTTCGTCAAGAACCTGTTTGATTGTACCCTATGTTAACCCCTATTGTTTGTATTGATAATGGAGGTGTCATATAATAGTATTTCTGCATGGCTTATGTTTGAATGAAATTATTTTATTAATTCATGATAGATTAGTTTTCTGAATGTTTTAGATTATAAATTGATGTGTTTATTGGTGCATGTAAATTTGTTAAATTAAATGAAAGTATTTGTATGGTAATAGAGAAGTAGCTAAATCCTGTTTTTACTGTATTTTAGGAGCTGGTAATAATTTTTGTAACAGTTCTGGATCGTTACAAGGTCCGTTGGGTGTTGATCCATCGTCTGTCGACACTGTTAGTCCAAACTCTCAGGTATGGTCAAATAAAGATAGCGTTATATTTATAGCACGATTCTAGGTTGTGGCTATTCCACATTCTATGCTGGAACCTAGTGGGAGCCATGGTGGCTAAGTGGGTAAGATGCTGGCTCGCTAGCCAGGAGGTTGTGTGGTCGATCCCTGCATTAGCCGAGAAAGTCATCAGGAATTTCCGATGTCGTTTCCCTTTGTCAGTGGTGCAGGAAGGCGGCCTGACAAGGACAGCTGTCTAATCATTTGGATGGGATGAAAAACCGAGGTCTTGTGTATACATAGGCGTGCACGTAAAAGATTCCTTGGCAGTTGGAATTCGATATAAGAATAGGCCATAGTGCCGCTTCCCGAACTAAATGTCCCTCATAGCACACTGTATGGCATTTGGCCGACTTCATTAGCCTAGTCGCAGCAGGAGGTTAAACCCCATTTCATTTTCCACATCCTCTGCGTGTTAGATGATAAGGGCTGTCATTGAGTCAAGTGGTGTGGTTATGATTCCCTGCTTGGTTTTCTGTAGGTCACATCCAAGTGAGTTATTTAAATAGAATTAAACCATAGGTTTGTCTCTCTCTCTCTCTCTCTCTCTCTCTCTGGACAGTGACATGTTTATCTATTCTTCATTGAATTCCAGGTTTCAAGGGTTCGATAACAATCGAACTGTACATGTACATATAAAATAAATTAAATATATTTTCTATGTTTTAGAGTGCATCTGAAAGTTTTTCATCCGTCAATACTGCTGTTTCTGCTGCCACGGCAACCACACAGTTTCATCCTGGTGAGGAAATCGAGGAAGACGACTTTAATTGGGATAAGTTGTTATAGTTTCAGGGTTTCCATAGTTACATGTATCACATGATCAGTCTCATCCAATCATATTAATCAAAGTAGTCACCAGATAGTTATAAAAACTGTGTACACACCCCGTTGAATTTACTGAATGAAGCGCAATGCATACAGATTTTCGTGCCTACGATTATTTCTTGGTGTGTCCAGTATATATTTTAAGGGCTGTTTTTATTTTTTTTTCAAGAATTCCCTGAAATGTTTGTAAATAGTTTAATGGACTGCACTTAAACCAATATGGTTTGTGTTAATTAGATGACACTATGTATTTTACTGATGCTGTGCATTATGTAAGAAGACATTCATGTCTGTTTATGGATATTGTTGTTATATTATTTTATTTATTAAACAGTTATTTAATTACTGTCTGTCGTTATGGCAACAGAACATATTGAGGCACACACTGCTTCACACAGGTGGAGCTGCATACTTTGTGTCACTTGGTATATATATTATTGTAAGGCGCTGATGGTCATTGGTTAAAATTAACATTCCATATTTAATCCATCCAATCAAATACCTCTCGTAAATGTGGCCTTTTTAATCGATGGAGAAAGTTTTGTTGTTGAGAAAGTTTTAGGACTGATATCGGCCCCTAGATCTTTTTTTTTTAGGACCACAGAAATGAAATACAATTGGGTTTAATGTCCTACTGTTCTGCTACAAACTGGGCTAATAAAGATGGGCATATGCCATACATGTACATTGTGCTAGGAGGGAAATTTTGCCCGGACAGCGGCACTACGGCCTACTCTTATATCGAATTCCAACTGTCAAGGGATCTTTTACATGCACGCCAATGTGTACACGGAACCTCGGTTTTTCGTCCCATCCTTCCTGCATCACTGACAAGGGGGGGGGGGGGACCACAATGGATTTATACTGCCGTTTGTGACTGAAAGTGTCTAGGTTTCTGATTTTATTATATGTTAATATAAGGAAGAAACGAAATATAAACAAAACCAATTGAAGTAAATAGAATTCATACCTCTTTTACAGGGATCTATGGGCAGATCAGTCCAATTATAACTTATACTCAGACAGCTATTTCTTTTAAATTATTTATATTATTGTTTTGTTTTTGTTTTTATTTTTATTTGATTGACTAAATTATTTCTAACTTAAAACCAAACCGTCTTGAACTGTTTTTATTCAGTCTGTTTTATACAGTGATCAGTATATATGTATAGAGAGATTTTTTTATTTATAACTGAAAGTTGCAGATTAAATGGTAAGTCTATTTAACTTTAAGAGTACCAATAGAGAAACTGACAAGTGTCATGTGTATAACAGATTATGCTTACACAAGATATCACTTGGCTTGTTATCAATTTAACACGTTTTTTAACTTACAAATTCTACTGTATTATTAAAACCCCTGTTGTTCATTTGCATTTTTCAGTAAATATCAAATTGTCCATAGCTTACTCCACTCTAACTTGTACTGAAATTGAGTATCAGGTCCCCCGAGTTCACAAAGCATTCTCAGACTTAAGTTAAGAATTTACTCAACTTTTAATCACTGTTTATGCTCCAAAAACACAAAACTTTGCACATAGTTTCTTATTGATGTATTTGATACATTAAAATAAAAAATGTTTTTTATAAAGGGCTATATTTTAGTTAAAATAAGGCAAACAATTTTGAGTAAATTCTTAATTTAAATCTGAGAATGCTTTGAGAACATTTAATTAAGAAAACAAAATATCAGCAATAGATAATCTCTAAACTTGGATTCAGTTGCATTAAAAAAAGAGGTCCATCAAAAGTTGGCAACGTTTTGTATTTTGTTAAACTGAATGGATTGAACCATCTTTGGACTGATATCGTCGGTGAAGTGTCAAAAGGGTGTATCTAAGAATTTCTAAAGATTAAGAAATAGAACCTTTTGCATTTCAAAATTTCCACAAATCAAGATACAACATTTGTACACATGATACCCAGAACAGTTCTAATTGGCGTAGAGATACACAGCTTAGGCAGAAATGTACATATTAATTGGGAGATTTTAAAAATGCAAAAAAAAAAGTGTATTTGACTAATTTCCCAAGATACATCCTTTTGACACTTCACCGACGATATGCCTTTTAAAGATTCATCTTTCCCAATTTTATAGTTTACAAGAGGTTCCACAAATGACAATAAAAGATTATGTTGTTTTGAGTCTGATATGTAAATATTATGTGCCATCATCCAATGAACTGTTGTATTAAGAATTATTGTGTAAATAGAGAGAGGAACTTAGATGTTCAGATTGTTTTATTTTTAGTTATATTTTGATATTTATTAGTAAATATTTGACTCCTGCACGATTTGATTCTGCACACGCCACTAAGTTAATGCCTGATATATTGTTAGTATAGATTTTATAGATTATAGCTGTGACTTAAACCCGAAATTTTTTAAATTAAAAGAATGATTATGTATAGAATTTGTGAAATGATAATATTCTTTGTTAAAGATACATTATGTAAAATTTAGATATAGTGGTGGCCGTTCTTGCTATAAGTGTTCGAAAATAGATAATGCAAAATGAATATATTGAAAATATATCACTGTTTGTAGTTTTGATAATATGTACATTGTATACATTGATTGTTTATTATCGTAATCACAGTTCTGGTATATTCAAGACTTAGGCTCGCTAATCCATTATTAATTTAAATCATAGAATGGCCAAACTGCAAGCATCCGATGGCATTGAGAGTTGATTATGGTATTATGCTAATAAATGTCTAATTAATAATTTATATATCATTTAAGGTAACCACCGTACTGGTTGTTCAAAGCTTAGCCTAGCTTCACCATTTTTAGATTAAATCAAAATGGCTAAACCATTCTAATCTACTTAAAAATAGGAGGTGCCCGATGGTATTGAGACTTGATTATGGTCTTGTCACGTTAATAAATGTTAATAATAGTTTATATAACATTTAAGAGCTAAAGAAAGACCTGCAACAGGAAAAAATGAAATGGGGGTTTAACGTCCTACTGTTCTCCTCCGACTGGGCTAATGAAGACGAGCATATGCCATACAATGTACTATAAGGGAAATTTTGCCCGGGCATTGGCACTATGGCCTGCTCTTATATCGAATTCAAACTGCCAATGTATACACAGGAGCTCGTTTTTTTCGTCCCATCAGAATGACTAGACAGCTGTCCTTGTCAAGGGGAAACCACGTCGGAAAATCCTGATGAACTGCAATAGGCAGATTTAACAATTGAATAATGTATCTTTAAGGAAGAAAACCAAATTGTCAGTTCGATAATCAATATTATAAATCAGGCTAAAATGAAAGTAGTCCTGCTCATTAAGTGCAAACAACTGTCTTTATTTCATTTTGACTAAAAAAACTTTTTATTTTTGGTCAGATTGAAAATTTAACAAATCATGTGTTTTTTAAGCTTTTAAATGTATTTATGAAAGGTCATGATATGAATAAATCTATTTGCAAGATATACATTTGTTTATGACTGAAAAACGTTTATTTTTGATCAGATTGAAAATTTAACAAATCATGTGTTTTTTAAGCTTTTAGATGTATTTATGAAATGTCATGATATGAATAGATCTATTTTCAAGATATACATTTGTTTATGAGTAATATATAAGTGTTGATCAGTGTTATTTGTGGCTCAATGACAATAATTGAACAATCCTGTTTCCTACTTCTCAGTCCTAATAAAACCTTTATTTATTATAAGATATAAATTATGTATGAAAATTGTATATTATTTTTATCTTGACATGTTTTAAAACCATTTTTAACCTTGAACTGTATTTTATTTAATGTGCTTATTGTGGATTATTCAAGGACTTTTTATACGTTAAATTATTTGTAACATGATTAATTGTTTCAATTTGAATTATTATGCCGTCCAAGAATCTAGTGGAAAACCAAAGTATTGATATTCGATAATTCAGATTGGGGTATTTTTTTAAAACAGTTTTTCCGTCCTATTGAAATACTGACATTACTTTTTTGTGTTATTTTTAACAATGTAGGTAATAATAACAGTGGTTTGACTTATATTTTTTTTAACAGATATGTTTAAAATTTACACTGGTAGCTGACCCCTCTTATGGTCTGCCATGACTTGAGTACAATTTAGCCAAGTCTGGACATTCTAGTTGTGCCTGACAAACTGTCGGACACTTACAAACTAGAAGGTAACATTTTAAACTTTGTACTAAACATGGATTAAAAAAAATGAGTAAAAATTTGCCAATCTTTGTGACTGAGTTCCCTTTCCAGGCCTTGGCACGGTTTGTCTGTTGTGTGATAGGTGTTACTGGTTTCAACACACTGTGTCGTAGTCTGTTCACGGCACTGTGTCCCAGTCTGTCCACAGTGTTGCAGTTTGTCCATGGCACTGTGTCCCAGTCTGTCCACAGTGTCTCAGTTTCTCCACGGCACAGTGTCCCAGTTTGCCCAACACTTAGAGATATTCAGTATATTTATAATGTAATATTTATATCTTGAAGAGTTCCGTCCTGTTTTTAACAGAAATGAATTGTAAATAATTTTGTCATCACTGCTTCAATTATTCATCATTTTATTATCATGGCTTTTCATTGCTGAGAATATCATTATTATATAGAGGACTTGAAATGTACAACATAATGAAATCTATGTCAACATGTTAAAATCAACTGAATGGATGCCACAACTGTGTTGTGATAAAATCTAGACTTGAGTTCACAAACCATTCTCAGGCTTACTTTAGGAATTTACCCAACTTTCAATCATTGTTTATAAGAAATATCTTTGATCCAGAAACACAAAACTTTGCACATAGTTTCTTATTGATGTATTTGATACATTAAAACAACAAAAACAAAAGAGTTTTATAAAGGGATATATTTAAGTTAAAATAAGGCGAACAATTTTAAATAAATTCTTAAATCTGGGAATACTTTGTGAACTCGGAGCCAGAAACCCAGTAACAAGAGGCAATACAGCGCTATTCGGAATACAAGAGCCAAAATATTTTGGTTTGTTACTCAGCTGTATCGATATGTTGTTGTAATGTTATTTGGTAAAACGAAACGTTTTGGTTTTGATCATTACCTGAGCCCGAATCAATGACATGTATCCGAGAAAGAGATTTTTCGTTGCTTGTTACAAATGAAATGAAATGGAATTTAACGTCCTACTGTTCTGCTCCTAAACTGGGCTAATGAAGACGGGCATACGCCATACAGTGTGCTATGAGGGAAATTTTGCCCGGGCAGCCTTGTTACAATTTGAAACTGGATGATTGTTGGGATTTATTGTTCTTTAAGGCAGTTAGCTATGATGTTTAGTTGATTTATTTCATTCACTGAAAAACATTTTTAAAATGATATATAGGAATCTGCCTTGTGATTGGCTATACAATTATTTTCTGGTAGATATAACAAACAGTTCAGTGTATAGAATGGCAGATTTCTTGAAAGTCGTAGGGGTATTGGAATCAGAACTTGTAGCATCTCAAATGATTTAAGTTTTTTTTTTTCTAACTCTGGTAATTTGAGAAGTTTAATATAGCTTGTATGGTATGAGTATCAGGGTGTTGGGTGGTAACACTCGAATACCTTGCAGCTTGTATGGTATGAGCACCAGGGTGTTGGGTGGTAACACTCCATGGGTCAGGATTTTTTAGTGTTTTGGTAATCCTTGTAAACATGCTCAATAAGAAATAAAACTGTTGATTATTTTAATTATTATAGTTCTGGCATCTTTTATGCCTATTTATGGGTCAACACATGTAAATAGTTTTCATTCACTTTGTCCAAAAAATACATTTATAAATAAATAAGAATTTCGGAGATGAATTTAGTAGGATAAGGTGCAATAATTAATCCTAGGAGGTATCCATTGGTAACTTGAACCATTTAAGAATACCGCCTTTTGATTGGTTAATACCTAGGATTTTAACAATTAGCCAATCAAAATGCAGTTTCTATGAATAATTATAATTATTTAATTCCTTGCAATTTTTACATCATGGCTTTGTGAAGTTGTAAATGTCTGAAGTAAAATAGTTGAAGTTGTAGTCTCTATCCTTTAGACAAATATTCTATGACTAGAAGGTTCTGGGTGTCCGAGACTAATCTCTAACCCTTTATTTAGAATTCACATAAAGTTGTAATTGAATTACAGACAAATAAATATAACTGTACGATTTGTGAGTCAAATTATTTTATCTGTTTTGTTTATTCAACAGTCCAGATATAGCTAAATAAACTCTGAAAAACCACACGTTTTATATTTTGTTTTAAATCTTCTAGGGTGGTTTTAATCACCATTAAAAGGAGGGAGAGAAATGGGGATTAACATCCACTCGACACAAACTAAGTCATGTTGGTATTAACACATGGTTCAATTTTATTTCAATAACTCACTTGCGCGTAAGGGTCTTTGGCAGTGGGAGGAAACCGGCCGACCCAGAGAAAACCCACAAGGTTGGACAGACGACCTTACTCTTTTTCACGTACAACCAGGGAATCGAAACCGCACCAGTTGACTCAGTGACAGACTTTATGATTTAGTGCACACATGCTACATGTAACTATTCGGCCATTCAACTCCCCCCCCCCCCCCATTAAAGGACAATATTTGTATCCACCAATATCACAAATATAATTTTAACGCCAAAATATTTGCTAAATTTTTTGGCTTCAAAGAGGATAACTCTTGTTTTTCCATCAGTTGCTGCTTCTTCAAATCCTTGTTACACAGATCTCTGTTTTAAAATTTTATTTGGAATGTGTTTAACCATCACATATTTAATATTGGTGGACACCAACAGTGTAGAAAATAGTACCTAGTGTGAGAGTGACAAAATATTTTGGTTATAAATTTCTGTACTAGTCTGAAGAATTATTGGCAATTCCTTTAGACGTTTGTTCTGTAAGGGTCTGGTAAAGTGTGGGTTATATCTAGGTAAAGGCAGGTGAGGGTTCAGTAAAGTGTGGGTTATATCTAGGTTAAGGCAGGTGAGGGTTCAGTAAAGTGTGGGTTATATCTAGGTTAAGGCATGTGAAGGTCCAGTAAAGTGTGGGTTATATCTAGGTTAAGACATGTGAGGGTCTAGTAAGGTGTGGGTTATATCTAGGTTAAGGCATGTGAGGGCCCAGTAAAGTGTGGGATATATCTAGGTTAAGGCAGGTGAGGGTCCAGTAAAGTGTGGGTTAAGGTCACAAAATCTCAAAAACATTGATCATCATCTTAAACAGACAGAAGTAAAAACAATCTTAACCCATAAAGTTAAATACAAATGTGAAATGTTTGGAAACCATTTATTAATGTTTACAAATTATAATATATACATGAGTGATTGAGATGAAGCAACTATAACAGATATATTGATCAATGATCTTCATAAAACTTGGGTAATTGGTTTCCCGTTAGATTAACTCGTTCTACTCCATCTTTAGTAATGGCCGCCAGTCGAATAATACCCCCACTAGATCCATCTCTATTCATAGCAAGAGATAAAGCTGAAATAGAATCAGTAGCAGTTATAATATAGAAAGGGAGAGCGAGAAATGGGGTTTATCTTTCACTCAACACAAACTATGCCATTTCGGGACTAACACATGGTTCAATTTTATTTCAATAATTCACTTGCATTTAGGGGTCTTTAGCAGTAGGAGGACCCGGAGAAAACCCTCAAGGTTGGACAGATGACCCAACTCCTTGTCACGTACAACAAGGTAATTGAAACGTGCTAATCATTCGGCCATCCAGTTCCCCATATAGAAAGGGCACTGGCGCTACAGCCAGATCTTAAACATGCATTCCACAATGTGTACACAGGACCTTCGTTTTTTTGACCCATCCAAATTACTATACGTTGTCCCCTGTCGTGCACCACTGACTAAGGTGGAAACCACGACAGACAATTCTGGTGGACTTTCTCGGCCAACACAGGGTTCAAAATTATAATATCAATGTTCGGGAGGTAAATTAACTTGTTGTTTTGTCAGAAGAGCAGCATGATCGATCCCCATCCTGGGTAATTGTTATTTCCTCTTGTCTTTAATTATGGAAATGAAAGGGATTCAATTTCTCATCAACACAATGAACCAGTTTCGTCAAGAAAAGTTGTAGGCCAATAGGACTCGCTGCCATTCACGAAAGTTGTAGGTCCCAAAATTTAGTTGTGGGCCCAATAAATATTAAAATAACACACGTACACTACCCCACCCCAAATGCCTTTATTTCTAAGTTCTAGCCATTTGGGACAGGTGAAAAGTTAAAATATGTATTTAATATTGATTGGCTGTACACATTACAATTTTAACTTTTGAAGGATTTAATGTTAATACTTTGTGTAAAGAAAGATAAAAATCATTCCACCCCTATTTTACCCAGACTTGATATTTATTTTTTCTGTAATAAATAAATATTTACTTGTAGTTGTAATAATCTTAATGATTATATACTATTCAAAAAAAGTAGGGGATATTTGATTTTTAAGTGTTATTAAAGTCACCTAATGAAACTGACGAAGAAACAAATGACAAAATGAAATGAAGTTCACATTCATCGATTTATTCCAAATGATCGTTAGACTAAGTAAGGCACAGACTGACCATTATAAGAGTAAAATGATACCCGGGGTCAAACAGCAAAGTTACCACAGCATCACAACCAAGTCAGTAACGGGTAAATCCTCCTCTGTTTGCCAAACAAGCATTGATCCGACGTGGCATACTCCTAATGAGACGTCTAAGGTCATTTTGGTCCAGATTGTCCCATTCCTGTTGCAACGCAGCAGCAAGTTCTTGGACATTGGCAGGACGTTGTTGTAACCTCTGTCCAAGCATGTCCCAGACATGCTCGATGGGGGAGAGGTAGGGACTCAGTGCTGGCCAAGGTAATGTGGTGATGTTCTGTTGTTGGAGGTAACCTGTAACGATCCTGGCCCTGTGACATCTTGCGTTGTCATCCTGGAAGATGAAACGGCGGCCATGACGTCGTGCCAACGGCACAACATGGACTGCCAAGATGTTGTCCCGGTAGTACTGGCCTGTAACACGCCCTGCAACAACATGTAAAGCCGTTCTTCCAGCATTAGTGATGCCTCCCCACACCATAACAGAATCACCCCCAAATCGATCATGTCTGATGACGTTAACGTCTTGGAAGCGCTCGTTTCGACGACGCCACACCCTCCTACGTCTGTCCAAAAAATCAACAGTGAACCTTGACTCATCTGAAAACATCACATTGCTCCAGCGTCGATTATCCCAGTGTTGACGATCCCTACACCAACGACGTCTTGCCTGAATGTGATGATCTCTCAAACAAGGGATCACGCGAGGACGTCGGGCGCGAAGGTGACACCTATGCAGTCGATTCCGAATCGTCTGGCCACTCACTCTCACACCAGTGTCTGTTTGAAGACGAGCGCTGATCTGATTTGCTGTGATGACACGATTTCTCAAGGCCAAGGTACGGATAAATCGATCCTGGGCTTGAGTTGTCGCCCTTGGTCGACCTGAGCTTGGTCTGTCCTGTACAGATTGTGTATCACATGTCTGGACCATAGCCTGCTTATGACAGACTGAGAAACATTCATCGTCCGCGCCACAACCGCCTGTGTTGTGCCGATCTGTAGCATGCCAAGGGCACGTGACCTTTCATTTTGGGTAAGCCGACGCATATCAAAATTTATTTTCTGGTCACTAAAACAATTAAACTGATGTTTCCACCCTGGAATTCAATGCCACAATGACTGTAACATTCAAAGTCAGAGTCGTGCAAATCTTGGGTTGGACCCCCATGATGATCCCAAGCATCACCTGCATTCCATGCGGTAGCTATTGGTGCGTTTGGGCGTCACATGTAACTGGAAATGTTTCTTCTGTTAGGTTCTATAGTGACTTTTTTCATAGTCATTTGCATATTTTAGTATTATGCCCCCAAAATCAAATATCCCCTACTTTTTTTGAATAGTATATATAGGTCTATTAGTACTGACAATATATCTCAAAATTCCATTCACATAGAAATCTGAAGATTATGGATTAAAATGGCCCTTTACACTCTCCGAAAATTAACAGAAAATATTGTTCATTTGAATGAAATGAAATAAAACTGGCCTTCAGGTCCTTCCAGACATAGATTAATGTCTTACATTTCAATAAACATGTTAAATTTACTGTCCGGTAGCAACAATCATTTTATTTGTTTCATTCATCATGACGTGTGGAACTGACCGTGACCTCTTTCAAAATGAAAGTAAACTATCACGGCTGTTTGACAGACGACACATCATTTTTTATCATTATTAAACTGACCTGATGTCACACGTTGGGATAGTCCATATTTATGAAACCATAAACTCTTTGTTATTCTTTCTATATATGACATATTGTACGTGCCTGTTTTCGAAGACTTGGGTCTCCATTACGGTAGTGAAATCGTCATTAAAGAAATAGACTTGATAATCAAGTCTGCTAGTAAATTACGAGAGTTAGAAAGAATGACGGGAAAGGTCACTCGTTTTTACATCACTGGAATTGTATTGTTACCAGTAGTTAGGCTTTCAGGGAATTTTCAGCTCTGCTTTTTCAATTTCATTTTTACAAGACAAAGAATTTATATCATGTGAATTTTTATTATTGGATTCATGACAGTACAGTGGATGGACTAGTTTAGTAGCACAGTTTGGATTTCACAATTGAAGGAATTATAATATGCCGGATTATGCATGTGTGTATTCAATATCGGATAAAGACAAATAAGACAGTAAGTAAGGCATACTATCGGAACACACATTCATCTATTCCATACTTGATTAAAATGGTTAAATAATATTCTGCCTAACTCTGGGAGCGTGCTGATATTTGCAAGCACAACCTCACTCACTCACGATTTCTTTCGGTGGACAATTTTATTTTCATTTCCGATAATGAAATACAGTTAAATATCTGGATGAAATATATTACGGATAGGGACAACATAAATATTTTCAAAGGAGAATTTGATAGAACCATGAACAAAATATCCATGACACATATTTTTCCGACAAAAACAGTCGGCTCACAGGGCCGACCCACCATCTTCAAAATAAAAAGATGTCGGCCCGCCAAGTTATTTATCGGCGCTGGGCGGACGGACCGACGTAAATTTTAAACACTGCAATGAACTAAGACTTACTGTCACAAGAGAGAGAGAGAGAAATGGGGTTAATGTCCATGTGACAAAAACTAGGTCATTTCGGGACTAACATATGGTTTAATTTTATTTCAATAATTCGCTTGCGCGTAGGGGTCTTTAGCAGTGGGAGGACCCGGAGAAAACCCACGAGGTTGAACAGGCAACCCTACTCCTTGTCACGTACAACCGGGGATTCGAAATCACACCAGGTGACTCAATGACAGGCCTTATGATACAGCACGCACAAGCTAATCATTCGGCCATCCAACCAACCTACTTTGACGAGGGGGGACAGAAGCGTTTCCTCCTTGTCTTCAAATTTTAACTGCCAAGGATACATTAATGAGCCCAGTTTCTTGTCCCAGCCGAACAATATCAGTTTCATCCCCTTGACATGGTTGTGTCCAATAATCCCCAAAGAAAACACACTGATGGGTACAACTCACCATTTGCTACGAAAGGTAGACATTCTTCTTTAGTCATATTTTTCTTAAACTGTGAATCAACGTAACCATAGAGATATGTACTTCCTGATCCCCCGATAGCAAATGGCTGCCTTATTACCATACCACCAAGTGGTACAGCAAAAACCTGGATAAAAAATAACATCAAAACATTTATAAAATGTAAAACGAATGGGGTGTAACATCCTTCCCTTACTGGACGAGGAAATGTTTAACATCCTGCACTGACTGGACACAAATGTTTAACATCCTGCACTGACTGACGAGGAAATGTTTAACATCCTACACGGACTGGGCGAGGAAATGTTTAACATCCTACACGGACTGGGCGAGGAAATGTTTAACATCCTGCGCTTACTGGGCGAGGAAATGTTTAACATCCTGCACTGAATGTGCAAGGAAATGTTTAACATCCTGCACTGACTGGGCGAGGGAATTTTTAACATCCTGTACTGACTGGGCAAGGAAATGTTTAACATCCTGTACTGACTGGGTGAGGGAAGACTGGCATATCCAATACAGAGTGCAATGAGGGAAATTTTGTTCGGACAACGGCACTATGGCCTAGTTTTATTTTGAATTACAGCTGTCAAAGATTCTTTTACATGCACATCAATGCATACACGAGACATCAGCTTTTTGTCCCTTCCAAATGTTTAGCCACTGTCCCTTACCAGACGCTCAGTCCTGCACCACAAGGGGAAAACACAACGGAAAATCCTGAACCACCATGGATCTCTTTATTAAATGCAGAAATCTAAATTTATTGTAAAGAAATTTCACACAGCAATGCATAAAAAAAATCTGCTAAGCTTTAACTTTTATTTTCTGTATTGCGTTCACAAGATCGTATTGCGTTCACAAGATCATATTGCGTTCTGTATTGCGTTCAAACTTTCAAAGGAAAGATAAATCCACTCAAAATTACAACAGGGTAACAAAATTTCTTTACAGAAGTCTTCCATGTTACCATTTTCACAAGCTTTTATAAATTTGGAAGTACACTGGGAGATAATTTGGAGACTTGCTCAGACTGGAGCCCATTTTATTATAGAATAGCGAAAAATAGCAATGGTCACAATAAGCTTGTAATACTATTGACCAATAGCGAATTGTCATTAAGTGGAGCCTTAATTTTGTGAAACATGCTTATCGGGTTTTGTTTTATTATTAGAATGGACAAAAAGCAATGACCACAGGAAGCTGGTTAATAATTCACACCAGGGTGAAAGATAACAAAAATGAAATGTGGTTTAACGTCCTACTGTTCTGCTCCGAACTGGGCTAATGAAGACTGGCTTACTCTTACATCGAATTCGAACTATCAAGGGATCTTTTACGTGCATGGCAATGTGTACATGGGACCTCGGTTTTTCGTCCCATCCAAACGACTACTAGACAGATGTCCTTGTCAGGCCCTCCGTCCTGCATCACTGACAAGGGGGAACCACGAAAAACAATATAAATGGCCACAGGAAGCTGGTTCATAATTCACACCAGAGTGAAAGATAATGAAAACCAGAAACTGTTTTAACTACGAACCTGTCCTCCTTCCTTTTTATCCCAACCGGCTACAATAATACCAGCCGAGATGTTGTCACGGTGATCATAACATAATTCTTTAAATTTGTGAGCTGCTGTTTGTACAAACGGTTCTTCTCCCATCTCCATTCTAAATATAATAAATAAACAAGTTAGATTGCCAGAAAATGGAACAAACACCCACAGTACAAAAAGGCAATAATGTCAATTCTTAAGTTCTATGACACAATCAAGGGCAATCACTCCATAAGTAATTGTCAAAATTTGGTGATATTCTACAGGCTTCTTTGCTTCACTAAACCAAAGAATGTATATAATATAAGATTCAAGCAGATCAAATAATAACTTTTGATACTAGAACATTCTACAAAGTGAGCAAGAGCAAAAACTCTGGAAGATAAGGTCAGAAATTCCTGATCATTTGATAACACTATTTGTCATTTTAGCATGAATAAGATAAAGCAGAACCACTTGATGTCAACAACCTTTCACACCAACATTATACATTTCACATAGAATCAGGTTAAAGGTGCACTTACTGATAGAAATTCAGCTGATATTTGACGACATCTGCAACGGCTTGCGTGTCGGCTGCTGAACCGGATCGACAACAATAAATCTTATCTGAAATTTTTGTTAATTTATCTGTAACTCTATTGGCAATATACGCCCTGAAAATATAAGCAAACAATAGATAGAGAATAGTACTGGATTAAAAAGGTCTATTAGATATTCGATGAACAATAGTGCCATCACACTGTTTTATTGATGAGATGAATTAAGATTCACCTTCTTGTTATTCACGGTATTCAATTGCGAGATCGTAAACCAAAACGTTAAGTCAAGTTTTTAACAAGGTTAAAGTTCAACGTACCCCGATGTTGTTCTAGAATCTGCACCAATCACAACACCACCATCAAATTCTACAGCAGCTATAGTTGTCTAAAAAAAATACAAATGACAGAATACAGTCAAAACTATCAAAGTTCATAAAGCCCATTTTTGGTAATTTTTCTTGAAGCTTCGAAGGTTGAGAGGATATTTATATTAACAATTTCCTCTATGCAACCCCCCCCCCCCTCCCAACCCCTTTTTATGGAATGTTTTGTCAATAAACTATTTTTCTGAAATATAAAAATGTACTTTAAAATACAGTCAACAGACTAAGCCTATTACGGTACAATTATTAGTCTATTTCTGACTTGTTATTATCAAATCTTGATTGCATCATCAATTAATATTCTATGACACTGACAAGATAAATAATGGTTCCTGTTTTTTTTATATAATTAAAACAGAAGAAAAGTTTATATAAGTAGGGTGGCCCATGATAAATATAATTCCCACTTATACTGATATTCATATACTGTTTTGATATAATGCCACCACTATTCATACTGGCTGGGAATGCCAGTTAACTCGTTCACAAATATCAAAATACATGTACATGGATTGATTCATCCTAGCGGCATTGGTTGACTCGTAAACACGCCCATGGCGACTAAATTTGTTACTGGGCGAATGAATTAAAAAAAAAAAGCCTTAGAAATACATGTACAATGTATCATGCCGTAGAATAGCTGAAAAACATTTAACGGTAAATTTGATAATCCCGGAAATATACAAACTGATTATTGATAGGAATTAGTTACAGTAAGTTGCCTTTGTGAAAATAGGCCATGTGGCAAATAACGCATTGACAGGTAATTTTGATAACCCCATTAACTTGCTGGTTTTTCTTAACAAGGCCAATACTTGACCGATTGCTATCCCAAAATAATTATTCTCTGTGAGCACGGTGCATTCACTGGTCAATAATAACATATTCAATATTACCTATATATTAATAATAATAACCATTTCTATACATAAAGAACAATTTTTGTCACAAATCCATTTGAAATTCAACAATATGATGCTACTTTATTGTCTTTATTACCAAAACATCTCGGTCATAAACAGAGAGAGAGAGAGAAATGGGGTTTAACGGCCACTCGACACAGACTAGGTCATTTCGGGACTAACATATAGTTTAATTTTATTTCAATAATTCGCTTGCGCGTAGGGGTCTTTAGCAGTGGAAGGAAACCGGAGGACCCAGAGAAAAACCCACGAGGTTGGACTGTTATTGGTTCCTGGTTTCTATACCTCAACTATTTTATAACATCCGTTGATTTAGTTTTATATTATATAGGCCTATGCCACGTACAACCGGGGAATTGAAACTCCGCCAGTTGACTCAATGACAGACCGTATGATACAGCGCGCGCGTGCTAAACCATTCGGCCATCCAACCCCGGCCATAAACACTTAAAACAGTCAACCAAGCTAGTTGATTATTGGGCAAATAAATGTTCAAAATGAAATGGGGTTAAAGGTTCTACTGTTCTGCTCCGACTTGGCTAATAAAGACAACATACGACATATAGTGTGCTATGAGTGAAATTTTTCTCGGGCAGTGGCTCTATGGCCTACTTTTATATCGAATTCCAACTGCCAAGGGATCTTTTATGTGCATGTCAGTATATGTATATACTCGGGACTCGGTTTTTCTTTCCATCCAAATGACAAGACGGCTGTCCTGCACCAATGACAGGGGTGAAACCACATCAACAAATCCTGATGAACATTCTTGGCCAATGAAGTGATGGAACACGCGATCTCCAGGCTAGCGAGCCAACATTTATAATAATCCAACATTTTTATTTTGATAAAATGTGTTAGTCCATTTGATAGAATTTATGCAATAATTGTTCATGTGTGTTGAATAGTTGTGATAGACTACATTTTTTTATTTTACTTGATATCATTTAATTAAATCTTGTATTCCTATATTAAATTTAATTATTGTTCATGTGTGTTGAATAAAAAAAAACTTGAGCAAGTTTAGTCTATTAATTGCGGTACAGCACGAATTTTCGTTTATGATAAAAATACCATTCCTAAATTTGGAATATTGGTTGAGCGCAGTTATGAACCGGTCTGCGCAGACGTCAGTTCAGAATGGCCGCCACATTCAAATGAATGTTGTTTGTGTTTTTATATCGTACAGTTCTACATGAAAATAGTGTTGGATTATTATAAATTTGTGTCAGATGTGTCAGGAAATGATTCCTGTTGGTGATCAAAGAAGAATCACTGCGAAAAATAGACGGTAAGGATTCCAAAATAGCCTTAGAACCGAGACGAGGAAAAGTCTTATTTTCATACTAGTTGCCAATAGAAGCTGGCAGTAACGGATAGAGTCCAGGTACTAGGACTATCATATTTCGTTACTAAAGTAACTACGGTATGACACACTACAGAGGTGGGAACAGCAATGTCCTCTCCTCGTATGGATGCAACAGAACTGAAAGAAAAATAACTGTTTTAACAGTTTTTGAGACATCTGCTCAATTGTGTGATATTATATTAATACTACTACCACTACTCAACTGTAGCCTACTAGTATTAGAGTCTATACGGAGACGCTACACAAATGTGACAAAATATTCCATCCATGATCATGATTCCTCAAATGAAAGTGGTGACATCATATAAAATATACGTCCTAGACATTTATAAAAATGAATAAAACTGAAAGAAATGTCTAAATTGATAAATACCCCTGTCGTAAGTTCTGTTTTAAGCCAGTCGGGCGTCAAATTCGACATAAAAGCCGGTTCGCGATTTTTGCTTATCATGCTGGTAGCCATGTTGGAAAATAACAGTAGAGAACATGCGAAGGGAAATAACTCCATAAATTTAGTCTACCAGGGTTGAGACTACTGTTGCTCTTCCGACATTGCCAATGTTAAATCAGTGCCATTCTAAAATTCCTGAACATGTCACAATCATCTAACAATCTAGATTTATCTTTATACACCCTGTCAAAGGAGATTGTAGACTATGACTTCAGTTTCGCACGTGATTTCCACTATTTCATGTCTGTTTCCACTAGTTCCCGATCCTTCCGGGTCAAAATCATGAATATTCATTAAACCTGGCAGAATATGTACATTCTGAGCTGACACCCTTCTTCGATTCTAGACAATAACAAATATTGCCAAGTCAGAGAGAGAAGGGGGCGGGGGGGGGGGGTAGGAGAATTACTATAAATAGACTGACCACGGTGGCTCAGAGAGTAAAACGTTTCGTTTTCTATCCCTGTGTTGGCTGAGAAAGTTCATCGGATTTTCCGTCGTGGTTCGCCCTTGTCAGTGGTGCAGGACAGAGGACCCGTGTATACATTGGTGTGCACGTAAAAGATCCCCTAACAGTTGTAATTTGATATAACAATAGGTCGTGGCACCGCTGTCCAGGCAAAATTTCCCCCATAGCACACTGTATGGCGTATACCCGTCTTCATTAGCCCACCCGGAGTAGAACAGTAGAACGTTAAACCCCATTTCATTCCATTTGAGTAACGATCTATAGGGAAGTAATTACTAGCCTTGATCCTTTTAAGGAATTTTTAAATTAATAGTTCAAGAACATCCGCGAGTAAAAAAAATAGATTTTAGAAAACGTACTAGTGACCCTGATATTAGTAAAATCATAGGACAAAGAGAACAGCATAAGCAGAATTTGATTGAACACAAAATTAGAATCTCAATTTATCAAGCACTTTAGCTGTTTACGACGTTAGCTAAAACATGAATTATAGATTTGCCTTAAAGGGAGTGCAATTCTATTCTTTGGAACCTCCAGAGAGACGAAAATGGATTTAAAGCACATATAAAGAAAAGAAATGAAATGAAATGAAATGGGGTTTAACGTCCTACTGTTCTGCTCCTAACCTGGGCTAATGAAGACGGGCATACGCCGCACAGTGTGCTATGAGGGACATTTTGCCCGGGCAGCGGCGCTACGGCCTACTATTATATCAAATTCCAACTGCCAAGGGATCTTTTACGTGCACGCCAATGTGTACACGGGACCTCGGTTTTTCGTCCCATCCGAACGACTAGACAGCTGTCCTTGTCAGCCCCTCCGTTAAAGCACATATAACATAACATAACATAACATCCAAATTTATATAGCGCAATAAATACTCCTATTAGGAGTTCCAAATGCGTTTGCAAAGTTATACATTTTGGTTCCATTTCATCCACAGTGTTGTATGAACAGGTGAGTTTTCAGTCTTGTTTTGAAAATGCAGACGAACTTCGATTCTTTTATATGAAGGGGTAGTGATCGAATTCCACAAATGAGCTGAAGAGTGCTGGAATGAACGTTTGGTCAACAAGAGTATTTTAAATAGTATTCGTTTGTGTACAGGAATATTGTAAAATAGTACAATTTGTTGACCAGAATAAAGATTGGGACATATTATTCAGTTACAACAAGAGTGGTATTGAACCTCTAAGCAATTATTATAAAATTGTTATTTTGTCCTTTGTGAAAGAGCCATTACTAATTACTTCCGCATTGTCTTGTAGGATATTTTGTTTGTGCTCATTACAAACCTTGTAATACACGATTCGTGTACTGGTTATAAACTGTTCATTGTGTCTTTGGATATTCACAGCAAGATAACAACATCAATATTGAAATGGACCAATATTGATGTGTAATTCGTGGTTAGCATGTGCGCGCTGTATCATAAGGACTGTCATTGAGTCAACTGGCGTGGGTCGCCTGTCCAATCTCGTAGACAGGGATATGGGGTTTAACGTCCACTCGACATAAACTAGGTTATTTCGGGACTAACATATGGTTCAATTTTATTCAATAATTCGCTTGCCCATAGGTGTCTTTAGCCGTGGGAAGAAACCAGAAGACCTGGAGAAAACCCACGAGGTTGGACAGGCGACCCTTCTCCCTGTCACGTACAACCGGGGAAACGAAACCACGTCAGTAGACCCAGTGTCAGACCTATGATACAACGCGCACGTGCTAATCAGTCGGCCAACCAACGGTTAGATCTATTAGATAAGGATAATTTCAAGTTTGGTCAGAGGTCACGAGATATAAACAAGGGTCGCGCTAATCCCAACCCTACCCTGAACCTAGCCCTAACCTTATTTACATCCCATCGACCTTGACGAAAATTGAGCTGACCTTAACAAATAGATTTAGCCGCCATCCAACTCCCCTTGGACTATATGACAATGACATATTATGTTTTTGTACCTTGTCTTGAAATATCTTATATACTCTGAAGTATTGATAGATAACCATCAAGTCATGAATTATACAAGATGTTTTTCATCAGTGCATCTTAGTCACTTTAAATCTAATAAAGTGACATCACTATGTATCATAGTTATACGACCAAATATGGCAATGTGCCATGCTAACATCAATATACCAGTCTTTATCGATCTGCAGTTTTCTCGTTCAATTTATTACTCCTCATCTCGCCCACAAAACAAATATAACAAAAAGATAAAATCACAAAAAAAAAAAAAAAAAATAAAAAAAAAAAAAAAAATCCTCAAAAAGTAAAAAATCTTGGATTAATTGTGTCATGTTGGCCTAGTTCTGATCGATATTATGCTGTCCTCGTTTAGAAAAAATAAAGAAATAGTTCCGTTTTTATAAAAAGAGGATTAACCGTAAACAAACAGTTTAGCCCCAAGGATGACCTATATGTTATAATTACTCGTTCATTGGGCTTGGTTGTTTTTATCACCGATAAACATCAGTCGATAACTGAAACAGAAAAAAAAAGCAGGGCTGTTTAGCACATCATCTGTCTATAAAGGTTCGATTTATCGGCGCCGATAGCTGAACAGTCAAAGGTTTATAATGGAAACCCAGAGAGAGGCTGACTGGGTATAGCTCTGGGCCCTCGGACCCACTAGTTCCCCTTCCCCCCACACACACACCGGCTCTCCCCATCGCGGCGAAGAACACGTGCCATGATCTATCAGTATCTATCTATTTCCTCGGATTTAGGCTATTATATATTTCTCACTAGATGCTAAGATGAATTTTATTGATGTTGGATTTCTTTGTATCCCAAATAGCAAGACAACTCCCATGTATCTACAAAGCTCCGATTTATCGTCGCCGATACCTGATCGAACAAAATACCAAGCCTATTTATTTCAACAACACGCATATTTCTGTATTTCACAAACATGTGTTACCATAGAGAAATTGGGTTAAAGAAGGGAAGAATACACCACACAGTGTGCCATAATGGAAAGTTTGCCCTGACAGCTAGCGCTACGTCCTGCTCTTATTTCAAATTCCAGCTGTCAAGGGTTCTTTTACATGTACATGTAAGTGAATGTGTACGCGAGACCTCGGGTTTCGGTCCCATCCGAACCACTAGACACTGTCCTTGCAAGGCCACCCACCCTGCACCACTGACAAGGGGGAATCAGTCCGGATTATCCCGAGGAACACTGGGAGAGAACCCGAGACCTCCTGGTTTAGCAAACCAGCGAGTTACTCACTGAGCCACTGCGGCTTCCTTGTGTTACCATAATAATCGAGAAAGGGTAAGCTTTGCAGAACAGAGAGAGAGAGCGAGAGAGAGAGAGAGAGAGAGAGAGAGGGGGGGGGGGGGTAACGTCCACTCGACACAAACTATAGGTTATTTCGGGAATAACATATGGTTCAATTTTATTCAATAATTCGCTTGCGCGTATAGGGGTCTTTAGCAGTGGGAGGAAACCGGAGGACCCGGAGAAAACCTACAAGGTTGGACAGGCGAACCTACTCCTTGTCACGTACAACCTTCAAAAACAGATGTCCGTTTTATACTATTATGAGACTAACAGAGTGTTTAACGGAGTTTAGATAAAACTGTGACAAATAAGTGCAGTTTTCATACATTTGAAACTAGATATCTGACATCGAAATATGTCACCCTGTAGTTTAATAATTTGATAGAACATCTGATCCATAAATCGCCATAAGTACTAATGGGAAATACCCCGTCTCAAAGCTTAAAGATACATTGGTCCCAAAATGACCTAGTTTGTGTCGAGTGGACGTTAAACCCCAGTGAGAGAAATGGGGTTAACGTCCACTCGACACAAACTAGGTCATTTCGGGACTAACATATGTTTCAATTTTATTTCCATATTTCGCTTGCGCGTAGGGGTCTTTAACAGTGGGAAGAACCGGGAGTAAACCCACGAGGTTGGACAGGCGAACGTACTCCTTGTCACGTACAACCGGGGAATCGAAACCACGCCAGTTGACTCAATGACAGACTTTATGATAAAGCGCGCACGTGCTAACCATTCAGCCATCCCCCCCCCCTCTCTCTGTGTAAAGATGCATTATATAAGAACTAAATCTGTCTATCACAGGTTTTTATTTTGGTTTCAAATGTTATATAAATTATTATTTATACATTTATTCACATGACAAGCCTATAATCAACACTTCAAACCACTTGATGGCCGATATTTAAATGGATTAGAACATCCGCGAGATGTAAACTAGTAAGCTCTTTGTGTATATTTTATATAAACAACTACTACTCAACCCACATGAAGTCAATCTGAATAAAATTAATTTTATTTTATTTTTGATTTACATTGACTTTAAGTCTTACAGCTGTCAGAGAAGAATGTAGGTATGTCAACTCCCCTTGAGCAAAGACTATGCAAACTATGTGATAGCAACCACAGGCGTCTGTAACGTGGAAAATATTTCAAAAATAACATCAAACTATGACTAAGTATACATTGTATGTCTAAAGTCTATTACGTCCAGGGTGTCACGAACGCTAAGTGGGTAAGACGCTGTTCGCTAGTGTTCGATCCCTGCATTGACCGAGAAA